AAATTCTACCATGTATAATTGGTCATATAAACTGTAATAAATAAAATAGTAAAGTCATGTTTGAAGTCAATAAGGAAAGTAATTTAAGATCATTGTCAATGATGAGAATCTAGACTGATCACTTCACACAAAAGCTGTTTGGGAAAATCTTTTCAAATGACATGATTTGCCTACTGTAACGTTGATGTTGATAGAGAGATGTTTTAAAAACACTTCGGACGCATGAATTTTATAACGTGTTGTTTTCAATTTTTACTTCCTTTTATGGCAGTCTTTGTCTTTGTTCTGTGAATATGAAATCCTGCTTTGTACTTAACCATTCACTTTGAACCATGATATGCAAAGTCAGTAGGAAGACATAAATCACCCCACCATAGAGTATTACTCTGACACCACTTGACAACTCATTGCTCTTACTTGTAAATGCCCAATACTTAACAAAAATACCACAAATACCAATGGTTTGTGGTTTAACCTGGGTAGTGATTCAACCGATGATATCCCTAACCACAAACCAACATGATAGCATAAAACTAATAGACCAATTGTTGGATGAGGTTCACCTGATTTGTCAATTGATTGTACAATTGATTTGACAACAAAAAGAACAAGACGCAAACCTTTTTGAGTTGATAAAACAAGGTTTCCCTGTAGGAATAAGAAAATTAATAAAATTTACTTTGGTCCGAACTTGATCAAGATTATAAAGAAAGCAAAAATTATCCTTGTTGTTGTCACTTCTCTCATACCTAAGTAACCATTTGAGAGCTGTCAACTTTTATAGTATATAATGAAAGAAATGTTGGAAAGAATTTTTGTACATCGCAAAGTATCCATCAAAATTTCTACTTTTCACAATTAGCTCTTGTATTGACGTTAGTTAAAAGACATTTTATTGTGTCACATGAATTGTATTGGTGTATGTGTGTAATAGATATATAATGAAGAATAAAAAAGAATACTAGTAAAATAATAAAGTTTAAACTAATTATAACTATTGACAAGTTTTCTGTCAAGGTGATGGAATGTGTCATCCCCAGTCCCCCAGGCACTTAACCGGGTAGAAGACATTATGACTTAAATGACGTATTGACTGTATGATTTGGTGTACAATTACATCAAATTAGGCAAATAAAAATAACAGATACCCACAATTTTAACATATTTATCAATCAAATAAGTTTCATTATTAACTTCTTTAACTCTTTCATCTTGAATTTAGTGGTGCATCAAATAGAGTCAAAATGAAGTACAATTGCTAACAATTACAGAAAGATTTTTCTTTAGATCGGAATCATAGCCGTTTAATTAAAAGTTATGTAATATAACATTAAAGTAAGTACACGACCATTGTTTTGTAAGAAAGTTTAGATCATCACTTTTTTTCTAACCAGAAGATGGATGTTGTGGAAGTTTTGTGGAATTGATAGATTGGATGGTATTACACACCTGTGTGATTATGTTTGTGACCTGATTGTTGTATTATTTACATAAATTACAAATTCTGACAGGTATCTTATATTTAATGGTATCATATAAGGATTGTAGTGTTTTAAATGAACAAAATGATTGGAATTTTGGATTTTATTGAAAGGACAACATTGTTTTTAGTGTAGAAAGGATACATTTAAAATGTATGTTAAACCTGGGATTTGTTTCAAGTAAGCCTATTTCATTACATGTTTTTAATGAAGAGTACACACATGACAGATATTTGTATGTTGCTGGATTTAGTAAATATATTTCTTCGTTGACATGAGGTATGAGACTAATTGTTTGCTAATGTAATGCAGCCATTTTTGTTTTGCGTCTGACAGAGACAATAGTTATTATATTAAAGGCTTAGCATCAATACCTAATATTCAGTTTAATTATTCATGCATCTAAGTTAGGACTTCTCTCGGTTAATCAGGTTTGTTCTTATTGCAGATTTTTACTCAAGGTACATTTGCATGTAGACAATATCTCTAACAGATATTAACAGGTTTGCTAGAAAGGATCTTTAAGAAATTTTAACATTGTTTTTATTCCATATTCAGGTAAACAATCTCTACTTTGATTTCAACAATTTTCCATGTTGTTTCTTGTTATGTAAACTGCAATTTGATGAGTGTATTATGATTATTGATAAGCTAATGTTTGTATGAATAGATCTTTATGAGAAATTACATAATTCCATGAACACAAGCTTCCTATTGATTTTGAAAATTTACTTTTCTGGTCTCAATGATTAGTCTGTAATAATTAATAATTTGATAGTTGAGCATTTGTCATTATAACTCAGGTGTTTGTAGTCTAGTCCAGGTCATTTTAGAAAAAATAGACATATCATATGCTCTATATCTAATTGCCGCAAAGCAGTGTTGAGGTGGCTGGGGTGTCTTCCTCCATCTTGGATTTTGAAGTAGCAGATGACAATTGGTCTAGATCTTTAATGAAATGTGCAAATTTTGAGAGTAGTATGTAATCCATGTGCAAGACCTTTCATGTTAATATAGAAAATAATGTGTTTTATCATATTTACGGCTGTATTTTCTAAAAAAAACACAATATTTTTGTTTGATTCATTTTTTTTCAATTTTGCCACATAGGGGGAGATAACTCAGATAGTAGGGGAGATAACTCAGATAAAGTAATTTTTGTCGAGCTTGCGACTTTTGTCGCAGAAAGCTCGACATAGGGATAGTGATCCGGCGGCGGCTTTAGCTAACTTCTTAAAAGCTTTATATTTTAGAAGGTGGAAGGTCTGGATGCTTCATACTTTGTATATGGATGCTTCATGTTACGAAGTTTCCGTCAGTCACATGTCCAATGTCCTTGACCTCATTTTCATGGTTCAGTGACTACTTGCAAAAAAAGTTAAGATTTTTTGTAATGTTAAATTCTCTCTTATTATAAGTAATAGGATAACTATATTTGGTATGTGCGTACCTTGCAAGGTCCTCATGCCCGTCAGACAGTTTTCACTTGACCTCGACCTCATTTCATGGATCAGTGAACAAGGTTAAGTTTTGGTGGTCAAGTCCATATCTCAGATACTATAAGCAATAGGTCTAGTATATTCGGTGTATGGAAGGACTGTAAGGTGTACATGTCCAACTGGCAGGTGTCATCTGACCTTGACCTCATTTTCATGGTTCAGTGGTTATAGTTAAGTTTTTGTGTTTTGGTCTGTTTTTCTTATACTGTATGCAATAGGTCTACTATATTTGGTGTATGGAATGATTGTAAGGTGTACATGTCTAGTGGGCAGGTGTCATCTGACCCTAACCTCATTTTCATGGTTCAGTGGTCAAAGTGAAGTTTTTGAGTTTTGGTCTTTTTTTCTAATACTATATGCAATAGTTCAACTATATTTGGTGTATGGAAATATTTTATGATCTATTTGTCAGTCACGCAGGTTTTATTTGACCTTGACCTCATTTTCAAGGTTCATTGCTCAGTGTTAAGTTTTTGTGTTTTGGTCTGTTTTTCTTAAACTATAAGCAATAGGTCAACTATATTTGTTGTATGGAAGAATTGTTAGCTGTACATGCCTGCCTAGCATGGTTCATCTGACCTTGACCTCATTTTCTTGGTTCATTGGTCAATGTTTATTTTACTTGGTTAATGTTAAGTTTATGTGACAGTTGTAATAAAGCTTTATATTTAGGACTATCAACTTAATATCAATGATTAGTAAAGAAGGCGAGACATTTCAGCGTGTGCACTCTTGTTATAATAGAAATTGTTGTGAATTTACCTATTTTTATATGTAGCAAGAAAACACGTAAGGTGACCCCATTTTTTCTTTTTCTCATCTGAAAGCATGTTATAAGAGCTTTCTTCTCACATCTTATCTTAAATTCTATGGTGTAGTTTTCTTTTTATCACACAAAATTGGATTTTCCATGAATAATCTATACAAAATCTGACAATTTTGCACAACCTGTAGTGTGAAAAAAGTCCCTTGACCCATACTTTTTATTATATTTTGGAAAAAAGCATGATAAAAACTACAATTTGACAAATTATTAAAAAATTATATGGATTTTAATTAAGACCCCCTATCCACCTTAATAGTTTTATGTTAAAGTTAACTTGAAAGCACTTAATATCAAACAACTTACAATCATAAAAATAGATTAAGGTCATCAAAGAAAAGGTCATTCTGACCTCTATTTGTTGCTTCATTAATTTTGCTTAACGCCAATTTAAGGTTTAGGAAACTAAGGGACATAACTTGGTATAATGTTTCACTCCTTAGTCTGATGGCTTCAATGAAAAGTTAGTTACCTAACCTACATTTCATGCTTTACTGACTTTAGAGAAATTTTACTTCTGAGTTTATCCTATAGTTTGTCTTACAGTCATGTGACTTTATTTTCAGATGCAAGGTTCATAAAATGTATAGTCACTATAACCAATTATATGAATATTTCATGCTATTTCTCTGTGAAATTAAATTCTACTTCAATAACAGATTTAATTACTCTTTTTGATTTGAAGAGGCTGTAATTTATTATTAGAATGAGACAAAGTTTGTAATTGTAGATTACTTATCTTTACTTTCACAAACCTTCAGAAAGGTTAAAAATGTGATATTATACAATCTAGGAAGAAAGAAATATCGTACAAATGTTAATCCCTGATGCAGCATTTATCTCCACACGACACGACTTGAAGTTGGTGTGCATAAACTTTTTTATCCAGACTTAAAATTTATTACTTGATTAATATTATTTCGTAAAATTACAATTATACCAGAGCTGATAACACATATTAATTTCTGATGCATTTTATGCATATTTTGCATGTTATGAAAGGCAATAAAAATTTTCTAATTATTGATATCAGTTCTGGGAGACAATTTGTCTCCAGAGATTTGGGAAAAGGTATTGATTTGAGGTATGAGAATAATTGGAAGTCCATGTTTAGTTTGCTTAGATAATTATACAGCAGACTAGCATTACAATATTGGTTAATATCATTTTAATAAATGATAATATCTTTCATTGCAGATGGCTAAATCTAGCGAGTTACAGGCTGCAGGAAGATCACAGTCAGCTTCAGCTTTGCATCCTGCAGGTGCACAGGCTAGTGTAGGGACCAGATATGAGGTAAGTTTTATGAATAATATTGGGGAAGGGTGAAGACAAGGAGAAAATAGGAAACATGAGGGTCTTAATGAACATCAGTCAATCACACCAGTAAAGTTCTTCAAATGTAAAAAAAAATTTCAAACTTGGGTTCTGAGTTTTAATATATTGGGTAAACACCAATACATCCTCAATCATACAGGTAACCTGTCAAAGAGAGAAACCAGGTCATAATAGGGAGCAAATGGAAATGTTGGAACTGGCCTGTGGTCTGCTTATGTACAAAGTTAGATATTGTAATGCAAGCAAACAAAAGGTAAGCAAAGCAAGTGTTTGCAAGCTTAATTAGCTTTGAGGTTGCCTGTGCATAGCAGAGCAGTATAGAAACTTGAGTAGAATTCTCAGCACACACTTTGAAGGTGGCCTGTTTTCATAGTTCAGTTTTTGTCTTGCCTTTCGTCGCGGAAAGCGAGACATATGGATTGTTTTTCCGGCTGTGGCGGCATCAGCAATTGTTAAGTTTTCTTTTTAAGTTAGTTTGATAGGAACTACTTGTGATAGATCATTGATATTTTGTATGAAGATGCATTACTATCAGTACATATCAGTTTGACGACAATTTTGAGCCCCGGCCCTAGGCCATGGTCCAGTGACTTGGAATTGATTAGCAATTTTCAATGTTTAGTTTTCTGCTGAAGTTGAATTGATAGGAATTACTGGCGATAGATCAGTGATATTTTGTATGAAGTTGCATTGCTATCCGTACATAACAGTTTGACGCCCTTTTTGGAGGCCCTGCCCTCTAGGCTGTGGTCCAGTGACTTTGAATTAATTACCAATTTTCAATGATAAGTTTTCTGCTTAAGTTAGTTTGATATGAACTACTTGCGATAGATCAATAATATTTTCTATAAAGTTGCATTACTATCAGTACATATCAGTTTGATGACTATTTCAAGGCCCTGGCCCTAGGTCATGGTCCAGTGACTTTCAATCAAATAACAATTTTCAATGTTAAGTTTTCTGATAAAGTTAGTTTGATAGAAACTACTTACAATAGACAATATTTTCTATAAAGTTACATTGCTGTCTGTAAATCTCAGTTTATCAACCATTTCGAGGCCATCAGATTGTCTTTTTCTGAATTTTATGCTGACAGGCAAGACATATCTCTGTGTCAACAGTTTATTAGATGCTTTGCTACCTTATAGTCAGGTAACAATTAAACATGTTGAGAAGCATCTAAAGATAAAGCAGTGAGATTCTTTTTGATAGGTGTAGAACTAGCTATTGGTATGCATTAAACTCTCTGTTTTTCAGTCATCTACTAGAATTGGTTTCATATTTTTGTCTAAGATTAGTTCTTGAATATTATAAAAGTAGCAACAATGGTGTTACTTTTTGTTGAACTGCACCCAAAGAAAGGTCTCAACACCTTCATCGAATTCAGATTTTGGTTACTTAACAGACTACCAATCAACGGTTTTGCGATGTTTTCTAGTAAAAAGTAAAGTTTTATCATTGTTATTGCCAATATTGGATAAAAGAAGATTTCTTTCATTATTGCAATGCTTTGCTTGATTTCTTGTTTTTATTAATATACTTATTATTCTTGTGCTGAGAAAATTTTCATCTTTTAAGTAGAAATTTTTGTGTGTGTGGTGAGAGTGAGCTAGACAGTACAGCATATTTTGAGCAGGTATAAAATAATGGGTTGTGTTTACAGTTATAAATGCTTAGCTGCCTCAATTAGCATTTACTCATGGTTTTGTCAAATCAGGAAACAGTAGAAAGCTTATCGGCCTTAATGGGCATGTATTCATGTTTTTGTCAAATAAGGAAACAGAAGAAAGCTTACCTGCTTTAATAGGCATGTATTCATGTTTTTATCAAATCAGGAAACAGGAGATATAGAAGTTGAAATGTTGCTGCAATTAAAGGTTAAAAAAGTAAAATGGGGAAATAAAAAAAACCCAGACTGATGTATGCTGTAACCAAGAATGAACAGTTAGAACCAACCTGGCCAGTAACAAATTAGCACACATTTTGTGTATAATTCCAATTAATTTAATGCTGTTTATTGAAAATAAAGGAAAAGAAGGGTTGATTAATTTAGAATACAATATTTGCATGTTTTCTTAAATCTAATTGAATGGTATTTAATTATTCAAGGTTAGAGGTTTATCTTGAACATAATAAACTACTACTTTGATTTTAATCAGAAGTAAACAATAAGTTCATCAGAGAATAGAAGGTTAAATTGAAATTTATCAACAGAATAGATTGTTATTTAAACAATGTTGAAAAAGGTATGCTTAATCTTACAACGCGGTTGATTTTAAGCATGCCTGTGTAAGGTTGTTACTTTTGTTTTGAATTGCCATTGATACTTATTTGTATAAGAGTTTTCTGTGTTAAACAAATCAGCCGAAATAAAATCTGAACAGATGCTTAAAGCAAGTTTAAATGTCACTGAACCATGTGTACTAGTTAAGTCAAGGTAGGGATTTTGTTAAAATGTTGAATAAAATAAACTTTGATTTTAGGATCTTATGTACATGAAGAAGGGCTGGTTGATCAAACAAGGTACATCAGAAAAGGATTGGAAGAAGCATTGGTTTGTCTTGACTGGAAATTCTTTACGTTATTATAAAGATGCCAAAGCAGAGGAAACAAATTCATTAGATGGTCGAATAGATTTATCTACATGTTACGATATTGTTGAAGTCAGTATTGGTAGGAATTATGGCTTTCGTATAAAGGTAAGTCTTAAATAAGTAATCATTTTGATCTTAATTTTTGTAATGGAGCTAGGATTGATTTGATCTTTATTGTGCATTGACTCTTTCATCGGGTTTTTAGTAAAACATGAAGAAAGACACTAAATATTCAATTTGAAGGATGATTTTCAAATACCAAATTTTTTTATAGTCATATTTCTACAAATTGGATGTCTCACATACTTAATCATGTGACTGTGTTTGTTTTTAGCCTAAGTGAGGTTAAAATTTTATATTTCTTCTTGTTGCAGACAAGAAATGGAGAGTATTTGTTGTCAGCAATGACCTCTGGCATTAGGAACAACTGGATGAAAGCTGTTCGCCTTGTAATGGATTTACAAAACTCAAATGTAAAATCCGAGTCTAAATCTTCTTCAACTGATTCTTCTCGTCAAGGTTCAGAAGAATTAGACCAGACTGCTATCACCAATAGACTTGGTACTTCAGCTTCTAGTGATAGTAAACAAGACACTAAAAAGAAAGAAAGTTTCAAAAATTCTCGGAGACATCATTCTGATATTAATTTGGCTGTGAATGTAGGACAATTGTTAAAGGTGAATGAAAGGAGTGATAGTTTGGAAGGACTTGACTTAGGAAATGTTCAGGTTCCAGAACAATCTACTCTACCTAAGGATATAGCTGATGCTGGTGATGAACCAAAGCTTAGAATGTCTGCTAGTGAATCTGCTGTTGATAGTCTTCCATTAAATAGATTTGTAGAAGGTAGTGAAAACTCAACTCCAGTATCCACATCAACAACTTCTGTTGATCCAACACGTCCTAAAAAGAGTGAGAGTAAGAAAGAAGAAGATGAGAGGAAACAGCGAGCAAAATCACCAAGTGCCAGAATCAAGGACAAGACAAGGTCAAAAGCTCAAAAAATAAGTTCTGATGATCTAAGAATGGCTATACCTGGATCTGATAAAGATGAAACTAAATACTCAAGTTCTGATGGAGATACAGGTGATCAGGAATCATCTCAAGCTGTAAGTTTTTATTCTTCATTATTCATGCTGGATAGACACTAAAATTAATATTCATATACATATATGTATATATATAAAACGTCTAGATATTAGTCAATGATCTTTCTTACGAGGGCACTGGATCGTTATGAGTAACGATACATGTACACAATAAATATATTATATAAATGCCTAAAAAGTGTACAAAACAACGCCAATTTTAAAAAAAGGAAACATTAAATGTAATTATCTATAAATATTTCGGATAACAGATATCCTTCATCAGTATGATGATCATAATCATACTGATGAAGGATATCTGTTAACAGTTATCCGAAATATTTATAGATAATTACATTTATTTATATTTTAAAGTTGAGGTACATGTACATGTTACACAAAAAAAACATGAGGTTTACAATCCATGATGTCACAATAAGAGTAGTTGAGAGAACATGAAAAGTCACTATAGGTGTTTTTATGAAGATATAAGAGATTTTGGTCAATTTCAAATAGTTTTTGGACCCATAATTCTAGAGTACATGCAAATGTTGACTAAATAATTTACCATGATGTTTGTCTGTATGAATAACACCTCTCATATAATATATTTTGTGGAACTTGCATGTGCTCAATATTTTCTCGTCAAAATATCTGTCAATATATGCAATTTTTGTCTCGCCTTGAAGGAGTCAAAAAGCGAGACATAGGTATGCTGTTTCTGGCAGCGGCAGCGTCAACAATGTATTAGTTTGTGATTAGGTCTAGTTTATGGTGAACCACTAGTGGTAGGTCAATGATATTTGATATGCAGTTGTATTATATAATTAGCATTGGCAAATCTCATTTCCATGGAGATTATTTGGCCCTGCCCCCTCTGTCATGGTCTATTGACTTTGAAACTTTTGCTTAGTTTACATGTATTAGTTTGTGATTAGGTCAGTTCAAGGGGAACCACTAGTGGTAGGTCAAGAATATTTGGTTTGCAGTTGTATAAACATTGGCATATCTCATTTCCACAGAGATAATTTGGCCATTCCCCCTCAGTCATGGTCTATTGACTTTGCAACTTTTGCTTAATTTACATGTATTAGTTTGTGATTAGGTCAGTTCAAGGGGATCTGTTAGTGGTAGGTCAATGATAATTGGTATGCAGTTGTATACGCATTAGCACATCTCATTTCTATGGAGAATGTTTTGTCCTTTACTCCTCAGTCATGATCTATTGACTTTGAAACTTTTGCTTTGTTTACATGTATTAGTTTGTGATTAGGTCAGTTCAAGGGGATCTGTTAGTGGTAGGTCAATGATAATTGGTATGTAGTTGTATAAGCATTAGCACATCTCATTTCTATGGAGAATGTTTTGTCCTTTACTCCTCAGTCATGGTCTATTGACTTTGAAACTTTTGCTTAGTTTACATGTATTAGTTTGTGATTAGGTCAGTTTAAGATGAACCATTTATGTTAAGTCAATCATATTTGGTATGCAAATGTATTGGCATTTGCAATTTTCATTTCCATGGAGATTATATAGCCCTGCCCCCTCATCATGGTTCATTGACTTTGAAACTTTTACATAGTTTACAAGTTAATGTTTGTGTTTAGGTTTGTTTAAAGGGAACGATTTCAGTGGTATTCGGTATGCAGTTGTATTAGCATTTGCACATCTCATTTCCATGGAGATTGTTTAGCCCTGTACCTTCAGTCATGGTTCGTTGACTTTGAATATTTGTATAACTTACATACAACTTACAAGTATTGGTATTTTTATTTCAACATTTGCATTATCAAAATTACAAAAAGGCGAGACATATCTCTGTGTTAACAGTTTATTATCATATTGTGTAGATAAATTGAATTTATTCTGAGCTTAGCCTTTGGACTATAAAATTTTCATGAATATTAATAAAATTTGATAGATCTATTGGTTTAATTTTTGTACATACTTGTTAATCATCTTTACACGAAAACTGCCTTATTGTGTAATACTTCAATTTTTTAGTTCAAAAATGCATAAGTGTACCTCCTTCTTTGGAGACTGGGTAAATAATGCTTTATAAATAATATAAACATAAGGAAATGTGGAATGATACTGATATCCACCAAAGAGCAAACACGACCATGGATGTAGACAGCTACAAGCCACCATACAACCATCAACATTTATTTTACATTATTTTTCTTTATTTGCATAGATTGAAAGCAAATAGTCAGTGAAGCTAATTTAGGAAATAATCTCCTAGTTTTTTCACTTATGTGACGTTGGACTACATTTTATAATAAAGTGTATAATATTGATCATTTAGATATGACACAATATCTGTAAATTAGATGAATTCGTATTAATATTGATGGTTCTTCTTTTCACAACACATGTGTATCTTGTCTTGTATTTATCTTGTTACATTTATTTTGTTATTGATTATTGATTATTTTTCACCACATGTTGCATATTCTTACACCTAACAGTACTGTATCTTTATCTAACAGTCAATTTTTACATACACTTTGTTAATGTACCTTGTAAGACTGATTGAGCACTTTGTTTATGTCAAACTAATGGAATTTAAACATTCTTATGTTTTATTCAAGTAATGTTGTGAGTGAAATTTATAAATGTCCTTTAATTTTATAGATTGGAACTTATGTAATGGATGTTGTTGACAAAGATTTAACATGGAAATCACAACCTTTATATCCATGCATGAGGAGATACAAAGCTATTTGCATTTTGACATGTGTCACATGTATGCTTTTAGTGCAGTTGAAAAGAAAACTGATAAATAAACAATGTCGATATCATTAGAATACGATGATATATAATTTGTAAATAATGTTTACGTTTTCTGGTTACAGGAGACATCTTACCATTCTCTGATGGATGATAACCTGACTGCTTCCTCTGGTGATGGCATGTTGGTGGAACTACTAGAAACTGAGGTGGGTATATTGTATGACACTTATTTTTTTGTGAGGATCTACTTTTCTTCGTGCATAGCTGTGTGGTCTAAGTAGTTGTAGTCATGTCACTGCTAACTTAGTAGGAGTTAAGGTGTCACTTCAGTACACATCAGGTAAAAGTTCAGCTATCACATCAGTACACACAAGAGGTTACAGTTCAGGTATCACATCAGTACACACAAGAGGTTACAGTTCAGGCATCACTTTGCAATATTTACAAAAATAAATGGATTTTAGAATTTTACCTGTTGTGTAAGGTAATCTTAGTGAAAGTCAGTCATTTTCTACACTAGCACTCACCTTAATTAGATTGATTATGATATATATCTATAAAAGGAAAATGTGGTATGATTGCCAGGGAGACAACTGACCAACAAATAACAAAGGGAAGGAAGTACATAACTATTAGACACTTTATTGCCCTCAACAATGAGCAAAAACCATACTGTATAGTGAGCTATGAAAGACCCTGGCTTGACAAAATGTGAAAAAAATTCATAAGAGACCTGATTTATGCTAAAAACTAACAAACGAAAAACAAATAATGCAGACCTAGGTGTAGATAACAAGATTAAATCCATGATAATCATACATTGTAAAAAGATGCAGGCTTTGTGATGGGTACAAGTTAAAAAACTCTTTAACTGAATTACATGAAATGAAACCATAAATGATATTTCTTACAACTGATATATAAAGTGAAAAATATTTGGTTACATGTTACCAATAAATTTCTTCATCCTATATGATATTGAACCATGGGTGTAAGACTGAATATGCAATGTAAGTTATAGTTTAGATTACTTTACCTGTATTTTTGGTAGCAATGTTTTAAGACAAATGTTTAGTCGAATAAGGGTAAAATAAATTGCTTTCAATTCACTTTTACTGTGGTGATTGTCAGATATAAGTTACATGTAAGGACAGTGATTACATTTTACCTAACTTCGTTTAATATTTTACTGATTTTCCCAGATAACAAGGTGTAAATGTAGTCCAGATTTCTGATTTATTGAAGATTTGATTGATTTTTAACCACCCCAAAACAGCAAACCTTGTACTTAGCAAGTGGAAGTTAATTTTTACACATTTATCTCACAAGCTAGAAAGTTGAGGAAAAGATTATTTTTGATTGACAAAAAGATTATATTTACTGTAATTATCTATAAGACATGATAAAAGTAGCTAACATTGAGATAAAAGTCCCATTAGGTCAGGTAAATTTCCCAGGTAAGACCATGAAAAACATTTCCTTCATTTTCGGCAGCAGTTCAAATAAAATAAGATGGGAAATTTTGTTTGATGTTTAGACTTCAGACAAAACTTGTTTTTGATTTATTGTTAAGAGAAATTGAAAGGGGGTAGAGTTTATTAAATATGATAAAATCTTGAATCTATATAACTATCGCTATGTTTAGATTCATTGAAATTGATTTGATCCTGCCTTGACCATTGATTGATAGTTTATTGCAAGTAGCCTTTGAATTATTGATTCTTGACTTGGTAGTCATCAAGTCATAAAAGTTATCTTGTTTTAAAGCTCCCCAATAAACCTAATCACTGTTTTATGGACAAAGCAATAGCATAAAATAAGGATTAGTTTTAAAGTGCATTAGAAAGATAGATTTGATTGTGAAGCTGCCAACATTTTGACTGGTGATTCAATTTTGCAGCTATGTCTCAGAGCAGAAAATTGGTAGGATAATTTTGGTGTTTTTTTTACAGTTGCACTTTAGTTTCTGCCAGAACAATTGTTAAATTTGGATAAATGATATGAAATTTTTGTGTTATCTTTAGTGATATTTCGTATTCTCGTGATAATTTATAATATTTTCATATTTCTGCATAGTTTTGGGAGAAAAATAAAGGATAATAAAGTATCTAAACGTGTTCTGAGATTAAACCAGGAAAGATTAATGGACAGTTCTAGTGCTTACTACACTTTCCTTTCTTTACAACATTTCTTTTGTTTACAGTTTGATAGATTAATTTACTTTTGTGAGTATTTTTTGATAAACAGATTGTGACACAACTTATGATTTATAAACCATTAAAACAAGGCTGGAAAATAACAGGATAGGAGGGCAAATAGACCAATATGTCACAGAATTTCACCTCCCTTTACATTTTCTACATTTGTCCCTGTGCAAAAATATTTATTGTTGTCAGAATGATTAAAATATAATGGTAATATGATTGCAGGTTGATTCCCTCAAGGATCAGTTGGATCATACACATGAGGAAATAGTAAAATTACATGAGACAAACATGGATTTAAAGAATCGATTACAAACTGCAGTAAGGGAAAAGGACGTAACACAGGTATACACGTTGATTATCTCCCTTTAGCATGATTCTGCTGTAGATGTACACAGACAGATAGTTTGCACAAATAATTAGATATTTTGCTGCAGAACTAAATGACAAATTCTGCAGCTCTTCTGTTTGCAATTGTTTGCTTTCATTTGAAATCTAATGTATTTGTTATGATTGCTTTCTTTAATTTTTCGCTAAATTGAATGCTTCAGAAGCTTCTATTAATAGTTATCTTTTTAAATATTTTAAGTTTTCAATTATCCATCATTAAAGATTTAACAGAATGGAATATTTATATGTATCTATTTTATGCTTAAAGAGAGAGGTTTGATTGTAATGTCTTGATCAAATGTACAAATACTAGTAGTACCTCATAAAATCCTTATTTTACAAAACCAATACTTGTGAACTAAAAATATTTTTGATGAAAGATGTGTTCAACAACATAAATAATAGGACATTCTGCTTATTTCAATCTTTTCAAAATAAGGGTGCCACATGTTTTTACTGAAATTGCATTTTATAAAGAGTTTTGAACTTTTGTACTATGGGCACTTTAATTATTAAAGATAACAACTATATTTTGTGAGAAAAAAAGATAACATTAGAGTTATTTAGGCAACAAATGTATATTGTCAGAGAAAAGTTTGAATTAGTATTTAGGCAAATTGTTATATATTTTTTGGATGAAATGCTAGATAATATTGTTAGCTTACATTATGCCTGTTAAAGGACATAAAGCTTAATTAGGCTTTATAATAAGCTCAGGGCTATTCAAGGAATAACTGTATGGGTGTTGAAAGGCTGATTTTTACATAACATCATCATGCTTGAATTGATAAAATTCTTTGTTTTTTACTGACCACATTAAGGTAACAATAGTTACTCATCCAATTTTAATAAGGCCTTGCAGCACCTCATACTTATATTTTTGAGTAACCCTCATTATGTTTATGAGTTTTAGCTACTTCATTTGCTAATTTGGTTTAGATTTCTTTTTATTTCAGTCTGATCTGTAGCCATTTGCATGTTTGTTATTTTCTTTGATGTGTATTTATATTCAGTGTACAAATCTTTATCTTATAAACTGTTCAAGACTGATAAATGTAATAATTTTAACAAACTGAAGTGAAAATAAGTTTCAGAAAAATATCAATAAGAAAACAACATATCAAAGTTGAACATGTCATATGGTTACAGAAATTGAATTAACTATTGATTCATGGTCACATGCTGCTTGGTAAAAATTTTCATCTTACTATCAGAATTTCTTGTGGGATATTGTCTTGTAGCAAAAAAAGATAAAACTTTGAATGGGCTAGACTAAGGTACATGGTGATGGTCTTTATAAACAACTCCAGTAACATGTGACCATTGGTGTTTAGAGCTTTTGGCTTTGTAACTAAGCTTTGGTTAACTGTTTTTACAGCCTCAGACTGGGTTAGAAAGTCCCCTAATACGTAGTATGTACAACGATCAAAATCAAGATTCTTCGCAGGTTTGTATGAAATGCTCTGTTGCTTTAAATATATCTGCTTTGTTTGTGATGCTGAGATTGTGAAATGTTCATATGTGTAGCATTGCTGAGTAACAATGGGAAATGTTTCATATACCTTCTATTCAATTGTTTGACATACACATGAAATCCATTTATTGATGTGTTGAATACTATTTTGCTTTTGTATTTTAGTCTGTGTTTTATGCATGTGAGGATTTATATGTAGTTATATTTTTATGTTCTATGTGTTATTTGTTTCAACTCTTAGTTTTACTTGTTTATAATTGTCAGTTCATTATGTTACTTCATGAACATGTACTTTAAGTTAAAACTTTTATCTTGTCAACCAATTTGGATGGAGCAGAATGCAAGACATATTGATACTTATTAAGGGACAGTCGTAAACTATTTGTTTAAAGCTTTACATGTCAAAAGGTAAAACAGCTAAATAATCTGATTGTAATCTTGTATTTATATGCATTGTGGTATCAGGTTTCTGTCTGGTATATGCCTTTTGTCCTTGACTTTATTTTCATGGTTCAATGACTCAATCAAAAAATATATTTAGTTTATAACATAATCTTTTCAGTTCCTGTGAGTAATATGTGGACTATATTTGGTATATTGATTCATTGCAAGGTATTTTAATTCTTTACACATGGTTCACCTGACCTCAATCTCATTATGTGGTTTCTTGCTCATATATTTCATGATTAAGTCAGCTTCTCAGATACATAGTAATAGGTCAACTATATTTGGTTTATAGTATGATTGTAATGTCTATGTCCATCTGACAGGGTTCATCTGACCTGGAATTGCCATGGTGCATTGGTCAAGTGAAGTTTTAGTGATTAGATAATTTTTTTAGTCTATATAAGTAATAGGTGAAATATATTTATTGCATAGAATCGTTTAAGGTATACATGTCATTTTGACAGGATTTATCTTACCTTGACCTCCTCCTCATTGTTCACTGATTAATATCAAGTTTTCATGATGTGGTAATTTTCTCAGTTACTATAAACAAATGTTAACAACATTTGAACAATGTTATTATTTATACCATTAGTAATAATTTGATCTGAAAAACTTTCAAATTAAGATTCACTCATAATTATTAATATATTTGGGCATCTTCAGTTTTGCCTCTAAACCCATTTTTAGCTCACCTGACCTGAAAGGTCAAGTGAGCTTTTCTCATCACTTTGCGTCCGTCGTCCGTCGTCCTGCGTCCGTCGTCCGTCGTCCGTAAACTTTTACAAAAATCTTCTCCTCTGAAACTACTGGGCCAAATTTAACCAAACTTGGCCACAATCATCATTGGGGTATCTAGTTTTAAAAATGTGTGGCGTGACCCGGTCAACCAACCAAGATGGCCACCACGGCTAAAAATAGAACATAGGGGTAAAATGCAGTTTTTAGCTTATAACTCAAAAACCAAAGCATTAAGGGCAAATCTGACATGGGGTAAAATTGTTCATCAGGTCAAGATCTATCTGCCCTGAAATTTTCAGATGAATCGGACAACCCGTTATTGGGTTGCTGCCCCTGAATTGGTAATTTTAAGGAAATTTTGCTGTTTTTGGTTATTATCTTGAATATTATTATAGATAGAGATAAACTGTAAACAGCAATAATGTTCAGCAAAGTAAGATTTACAAATAAGTCAATATAACCGAAATGGTCAGTTGACCCCTTTAGGAGTAATTGCCCTTTATAGTCAATTTTTAACCATTTTTCGTAAATCTTAGTAATCTTTTACAAAAATCTTCTCCTCTGAAACAACTGGGCCAAATTAAACCAAACTTGGCCACAATCATCATTGGGGTATCTAGTTTAAAAAATGTGTGGCGTGACCCGGCCAACCAACCAAGATGGCCGCCACAGCTAAAAATAAAGCATAGGGGTAAAATGCAGTTTTTGGCTTATAACTCAAAAACCAAAGCATTTAGAGCAAATCTGACATGAAGTAAAATTGTTTATCAGGTCAAGATCTATCTGCCCTGAAATTTTCAGATGAATCGAACAACCTGTTGTTGGGTTGCTGCCCCTGAATTGGTAATTTTAAGGAAATTTTGCTGTTTTTGGTTATTATCTTGAATATTATTATAGATAGAGATAAACTGTAAACAGCAATAATGTTCAGCAAAGTAAGATTAACAAATAAGTCAACATGACTGAAATGGTCAGTTGACCCCTTTAGGAGTTATTGCCCTTTATAGTCAAATTTTAACAATTTTTCGTAAATCTTAGTAATCTTTTACAAAAATCTTCTCCTCTGAAACTCCGTGGCCAAATTAAACCAAACTTGGCCACAATCATCATTTGGTTATCTAGTTTTAAAAATGTGTGGCGTGACCTGGTCAACCAACCAAGATGGCCACCATGGCTAAAAATAGAACATAGGGGTAAAATTCAGTTTTTGGCTTTTAACTCAAAAACCAAAGCATTTAAAGCAAATCTGACATGAAGTAAAATTGTTTATCAGGTCAAGATCTATCTGCCCTGAAATTTTCAGATGAATCGGACAACCCGTTGTTGGGTTGCTGCCCTTGAATTGGTAATTTTAAGGTGATTTTGCTGTTTTTGGTTATTATCTTGAATATTATTATAGATAGAGATAAACTGTAAAAAACAATAAATGTCGGCAAAGTAAGATCTACAAATAAGTCAACATGACCGAAATTGTCAGTTGACCCCTTTAGGAGTTATTGCCCTTTATAGTCAATTTTTAACCATTTTTTCGTAAATCTTAGTAATCTTTTACAAAAATCTTCTCCTCTGAAACTACTGGGCCAAGTTAATTATAGATAGAGATAATTGTAAGCAGGAAAAATGTTCAGTAAATTAAGATGTACAAACACATCACCATCACCAAAACACAATTTTGTCATGAATCCATCTGCGTCCTTTGTTTAATATTCACATAGACCAAGGTGAGCGACACAGGCTCTTTAGAGCCTCTAGTTTGAATGAAACATTGTTATATGATAAAAAGAAAAATTACAAATAAACATTCAGATTTGACTAGTAGAAAAACTTTACCCTTACCATTCTTTCAATTGATGCTTTTTTCAAACTTCAAAATGTAACAATGTTTTAAAAGACATTGTAAAGTGAATTAATGGCTGAAAATTCATGGTAATTTATTTTACAGGTCACAACAATGAGAAGACAAGTGAAGGAGGCAAGAGAAACAATTCAGAAACAAAAACAAGATATAGAAACACTTCAGTCAAAACTTGCAATGTCTACGTCAAAATTAACTGGAACTGAAAAAGCTCTGTCGGAAGCACTGAAAGAACTGAAGCAGGAAAAAGATAAATTTATGAAATTATCTAATGACTGGAATAGAAAGATACGTAGTTTAGAAAACCAGTTAAAAGAAGTAAACGGTCAGTTCGAACGACAGAAAAACACCATCACTTCCAAAGAAAATGACAATAAACGCCTCGATAACGAATTAAAAGCCAGCCATGTAAGATGTAAAGAGCTTGAAAGAGAAATAAAATCATATGAACTAGAAAAAAGAAGATTGAAAGATAATTTAGATGATACCAACAGGAAAGTAACCTTATTGAAAGATGAATTAAAAATGAAAGAAGGAAAGCTTCAAGAGATAGAATCACATTATGAAAATCAGATTGCAGAGTTAGAGCAAGAATTTGCACAGGAGAGAGATGATGTTGAACAACACATGGAAGATCTAAAGAAACAATGGATGGAAGCTCAACGTAAAACGGACGAATCCGACTCTTTGACAAACAATATGGCTGACATTATAGGAGAAAAAGATGAAATTATTAACCAGTTAGAAGAGAAAATGATAGAATGTGACAAGAAAATGTGTGATATCACTGAAGATTACAATTCAAAAGTACACGAACTGAAAAACTTACAAAGTTCTTCTAAAAAACTCAAGGAAGAAAATAAAAAGCTAGAGAAGAAATTGGAAGATTTGGAAAAGTCAAAATCTAAAATTCATACAGACAGAAGTAAGATTGAAAGTGAAACTGAATCATACAAGAAACAATATGAGGATGTTAAGAAAGAAAACATAAGCTTAATGGAAGAACTTGAAACTGAAAAGCAATCGCTATCAGACTTGATTAAAGAAAAGGCAGAGCTTGAGCATACAGTAAATAGATTAGAAATGCAAGTACAGGAAACTCGTGGAAGGTCCAACGATTCAACTTCATCAGATAATTCCACCGTGAAAGAAATGATACATAATTTTATCATGATTGAATCTGAAATGCAGGAGTTGACACAGTCTGTAGAGGATATACAGACAATATTTAGTGATTATCTTTGTGATAAAGAAGAGGAAGACCATGTTGAGTTAGTAGGTGTGGCTCAAATGGTTGATGATGTTCATAGTCATTGCAACAAACTGTTAGATATTCTAAAGGAAGGATCAAGAGAGTTGGGTATGGAATCTCCAGAGAAAGACTTGTCATCCTCTGAAATAAGTAGCAAATTTCAAGAGGCAATGTCACAAGTTAAAAAGTTAAAATCTGAATTGAAAGATTCATATACTCAATATGAGTTGATGAAAAATAGTGAAAAAGAACTTACCACAAAACTACGCAACATGGAAACCAGATATCAAGGGCAGATTGATGCCATGGCAGTGAAGCTAGAAAAGTTATATAATAAATGTGAGAAAAATGTCAAACAAATGCCTAAACCACAACCAAAAACTACTGAAAAGGGTCGACATTCCTTAGAATTATCAGAACAAATTGAAGCACAATTAAGTCAGCTAGAGGAGAAAATTAACATTGTGGAACAAGTTTTACCTAACATTAGCATACCAGCTTCTGAGGAGGACGAGGATACAGGAAGTGAGATAGATGAAGATTCTGATAGTTTTGAAAGTTCAGAAGAAGATGGAAGTGAAAGTGATGATGAAAGTGAACCTAGTGATATCTTAAGTAAATTAAAACAAATGAAGTCACAGTTAGAAAGGACCAACAATAGAATTCAGGATTTGACATGTGATTTAAGTGATCAAACATTCAGTTCAGCTAATGATTCAGCAGCTGATGGTGATAGCCAGCAGCTTAGGTCAACGCTTCAGAAATGTGGAGAAAAAATCGATAGTTTAACTACACGATTTACAGAAAACGTTAGAATGGCTAAATCTGGTGTGGTACCAGGAAGTCTAGCTTCTGTTCATATGTTTAAAAATTGTGTTAAAGATGTGAAACAGAAATTGATGGACATTAACAAAATTGTTACAGAACATGAAGTACTAGATGCCAAAGGTCTGAAAGTTATTAATGATAAAATTTACAAGTTGTTTGAATATCTTGCTCCATACCAAAGACTTCAAACTTCTGACTTTGAAATAATTGGTCAGGTTTTACAACAAAAAACAGTATGCCAGTCTGCTCTTATTGATAAGGAACATGCTGCCAAAAGAAAACATTTAGGATATGAAGACAAACTCCATGTTTATGCTGACAGGTTGTCAGTTGAGGCCATTGTATTAGGGCAAATGGCTTCATTAATACAGCAACACCATGTGACCAATTTATATCGGGACCAATTAATGAATGAAATAAACTCTCTTAATCAAGTTCTTTATGAATTAAAAAAGAAAGTAGATAGTGTATCTCAATCACCAACTAGTGGTAATGTTGTGTCGATGTATGCTTCTGTACTTGCCGAGAAAATCATTCTAGAAGGTCAACTTGCATCATGTGCTGTAACTGATGACCATCACCCTACAGATGATACTGCCATTTTGTCTTCACTTAACATTTCTGACAATCCTTCAATTATGGCTATGGAAGTGTTTCTCCGTTCACAAGTGGATTCCTCTGTGTACCGACAATTACAACGATCAGGAGAATTATTAGACAATGCTACTGCTCAGGTAGTCACTCGGTTTCTGTTACAAGGGGAAATCACTCAAGCTTTACAAAAAATCAAAGATAAATATAGAACTGATACTGAACATGAAAAGGTTCAAGATTTAGTTATTCGACAAAGAAAGTTTTGTACCGAGGAACTTATAGAGAGACACGAGACTGTGTCAGAAAGTATCGATGTACAGTTAAAACTAGTTTTGTCTCTAATCAAACAATCACCAAATAAAAAGCAAGCTTTAGAATCATTTATTAATCTACTCAAAAGACTCTTTCAAAGACAATCAACAGAACTGCAAGAACTTCATTCGGGTAATAACTTTGAACAAAACAAAAGTCAGCAGATTTGCTCAACGCTTCAGTCTGACCTAGATCAACTGCTGTCTCAAATACCAAAGATATTTGATGAAGTAAGTGATGTGTCAACAGATGTGGAAGAATCTGTTGAAACCTTATCTACGCAGGTAGCAGACATGTTACTTCAGAAATCTGTTACCAAAGGATGGTTAACATACATTTGTCATTTAAATCAATCTGGTAGTGTACCAGTTGTAGTTGAGGTAGAAAACCAGTCCATTGATGGACACTCTCAGGCTCTTAGTCAATCTCTAATGGATGAAGCTACATCAAAGCAAACTTTATCTGTTGAGTTGAAGTCTCAAAACAAGGAGTCTGAAAAGTTAACAAACTTTGTGAATGCTCTTCCTGATATTGGCTTGTTCAATCCTGAAAATATGGATTCTTATTCAGAAAATTTAGTAAGGGAAGCCATATTTCAATCACAGTTGACCTACTTGACCTTCAAAATGAAATTAGAACATGAGCGACAAATGAGAGACTTGAAAATCAAACTAGAATCTGGTCAGAAAGTTGCATTGACTTCTGTAATAAGTAAAGATTCAGAAGGTGATATTCAGTCTTCATTATCTGTGTTTGAGGAAATATTAGAGACCAAATTTGAAGATGAATGTGAAGTTCTCAGCAATTTGGATAAGGAACTTAAACAATTACAGTCAATCACAAGTGATAATCCTGAACTTAGTAAAGAGTTAACAAACTTTGCTGCCATGTTTGATCATGAGCTTTCTGTGGCCCAAGAAAGACATGATATACATTTAGATGTACTGCGACAAGAAATGACAGCCATTTGTATCAGAATGGAGACTGTGGCTGAAAGCAACGAACAAGAAAAAGAATCTTTGATATGTGAATATGAGGATCGTATAAAGAGAATGCAGGATGAATTGGTGTGTGTGAAGATCGATCACGAGGAGGAGTTAGAACAAGTTAGGCAGGACATAATGACAGCTGTATGTGCCATCAAAGCTAATGAAGAAGAGGAGCCAGAGCACATTAAACATAAAATGTTACAACATAAACATGCTGTTTTGGTAAGATTATACTTTATAACATTACATACAGGTTTACCTAAAACATAAATTGTTATAACATAACATAACATTTACCTCATACCTAACATAAGGATGACATAAGTATAAAATTTAAAGACTCAAACATGGTATTTTGGTATATATATATGGGTATACTTTTTAGGTACATGAATAATGGAAGCACAAAAGAAATAGAATGTTTGAACAAAAATACATGTATATGTTACTTGTTTAAAATTGTATTTGTTGACATTTTTAACAAATATTACTTGGAATATAAAATATTACAAATCTAATGATAAAGTTACAATTCTTAACTTACTTGAACAATAGAAGTTATGAATACATTTTTTTTTTCACAAAAAATATTTCCTTACTAACATGAACAAGGAAAATATATCACATAAAATGTTACAACATACAGATAAGAGGTAGGACTGTACTTTTTAACTTGCACATGGTGATTAAAAAAGGGTAAATTAGACATGAAAAATTACACCATTAAGTAGTTATGATAATTTATATATGTCGATAAAGTTAGAATTCTAGAAAATACTGATTTTGACCACATAACTGATCATTATAGTTCAAACTATGACAAAGGGCTCACCACATGAAATAATCATCATAAACACAGAACAGATTCATGATAAAAAATGAATAATTACAATGATAAATAAGTTTGAATATAGTTACAACATTACAACAAGTTTTGTGCACTTATAAATCATTTCATATGTTGTTTTTTTTCAATACAAACTTATAATCAACACAATGATTCATTGCAAACATAAAAAAACAACATAGTGATTCATTACAAAGATAAAACAACATTGTGATTCAATAAAAATATATTAACAACATAGTGATTCAATACAAACATATAAACAAAATAGTGATTCAATACAAAGATATTAACAACATAGTGATTCAATACAAACATGAAAACAACATAGTGATCCAATACAATCATAAAAACAACAATGATTCAATACAAATATATTAACAACACATTGATTCAATACAAATATATAAACAACACATTGATTCAATACAAATATATATATAAACAACAAAATGATCCAATACAAAGATCAAAACAACATAGTGATTCAATACAAGCATATATATAAATAACAAAATGATCCAATACAAAGATGAAAACAACATAGTGATTCAATACGAGCATATTAACAACACATTGATTCAATACAAACATATAAACAATACATTGATTCAATACAAACATATAAACAGTACATTGATTCAATATAAAATAATCATAAAGATATTTTTTAAGGAATGATTAAACCATTACCAATGATAGTATTAGGCAGTAAAAAGGGGTAATCTGCATGAATAATAAACTAACAATGAATTGATATTTTAGATATTATTAGAAGACATACAGTCATCACTGGGAGGTGTCAACAATGATTTGGTAAAGAAACTGAAAGAACAAATAGAGGAACTCAAATCAGTATTCCTGACCATTGAGGTAAGCTAAAATGTGCCTAAAAATATTTTTGTTTTTCAAAGAACCACATTCAACAAAGCATACAGTGAATGAGGTAGACATATTTAATGATCTTTGAAACAACATTATTTTTAACTGAGGATTGAATGGATTGATGGATTTCTGTTTGTTTAACATCCAGTGGCAAATATTTCATGCATATTCAGGACTAGAACAAATAACAAAAAAATCAATTATGCAAAGTGGACAGACTTAGATGGAGGATAGGAACTGCGACTGCGTTATGTTGAATCAAGGCAGATATTTTGTCTTCTAACAGGCCACCTACATACCCCTAAGACTCACCATTACAACCGGATGTGGCTGTATATTTGCACATCCTGCACAGCTAAACAGACACCCAAAGTCACATGGCAACACTGAAATTATAGGAAAAATCAAAAATTATATAAAATCATATTATTGTTAGTATCCATTTGAAATACTTTAAATTCAGAAATTATTGCATGCATTAATTATTGCGAGCATTTATTATTGGGATTGTTGGACTATCGACACAAATGTAAGTTTAATAATTGTGATTTCAGGAAATGCTGCATACAGAAAATGCTATCAAAATTTACAATGCAAGTTTTGTATATTTATTGACACCATGCAATCTTGTAGCAATTTTCGCACACAAAAAAATTCACAAAAATTTCTGAATTTACAGTAAATCTTTAAATGATTCATGACTAATTCTGTTTTTTGAGTTCTTGCACATTTTTTATTTTGAAGGATACAAAAACAGATTTATTTGATGAAATTTTTTATATCACATTGCCTTTGATCATTCTGTCCATTAAATCATAAACTAATACCACTTGAATAATCATTATACAATTGAATGTTTATAGGATCCAACAGATGATCCAGCTGCAGTTATGTCCCCTGTTGCCAAAGATGGAGATGTTTACCCAGACAGAAGAATATCTGTCTCAGCATCTAACTTAGAGGTAAAGTACTATTTATTAATACCGGTCTACAATATATAGTTTATCCCATATTTATGTATTTTTGAGTGATTGGGTTTATTTTTGTGTTTAAATACAATAAAAAAAAATGGATGAGTTCCTTATTTTCTACAATTTTTTGGAAACTCAAGTATCTCAGCTTATGTTTATGTAAAGGGAGAGAATATTAACAAACACTCCTGTTAGTACTGATGCACATGTAATGTGGCAGATTCCTTTGACTTGCAAGTTTAACTAAAGATGATGCTGTAACATTAATGTATTGATTTCATTTAAATACATAACTATTTCTGTTTTAAGTTTCATGAGTTAGAAAAGATTCAACACATGTATGATATACACATGTTTTTAAAAATTTAAATGAATAAATTTTGAACACTTAACTTTTCATTGATAGAACAGGAAATATAATAACAAATTTTAAACTCATAAAATCTGACATGAATACCATTTTATTTCTTTTATGTATAGCCTCCTGGTACCCCAGGTCTGGATATATCTCACCATGAACATGAACTGGAACTTCTCAAGAAACAAAAAGATGATGCTCTTGCAGAGGAAATTAAAACTACAAAAGCCGGTAAGTCTGTGGGACACTTTTGACAAGTCATTGCGGAAGTTGAATTTAAAATGTTATCATGTAAACACTTAGATATTGAAGAACTTTGATTTTACCATACATAATCAATTGGATTTTGAAAAAAATTGTAAATAAATTGTATGTTTATGGATCTATTTTTATGCCCCCGCGTTATGACCCCGTGGTGGGGGCATTAAGTTTTACCCTTGTCCGTCTGTACGTACGTACGTCCCAAAATTTGAAAGATTGCAAAATTTTTAGTTTCCATTCTGTAACTTAAGTTTGCCCCAACCAAACATTATGAAACCTATACACAATATTCATTACCACAAAACTAAGATCAAGTACAAATTTTTTGTTTCCGTTTTCTAACTTTAGTTTGCCTCAACCAAATGTTATGAAACTTATACACGATGCTTATTACTACATAATACAGATTAAGTACGAAATTTGGTGACGACACTTTTACCATTCTTGAGTTATGTCCCTTTATAAACATAAAAATTGCTGAATTTTTTGTTTCTATTCTCTAACTTTTGTTTGTCTCAACCAAATGTTATAAAACTTATACACAACCGTTCTAGAGTTATGCCTGTTTACAAATAGAAAAATTGCTGAATTTTTAGTTTCTGTTCTCTACTTAATGTAGTGTCAACCAAATGTTATGAGACTTATACACAATGCTTATTACCACAAAACTCAGATCGAGTTCAAATTTGGGTAGTGTCACTTTTACCGTTCTTCAGTTATGTGCCTTTATAACTATATGATATGCAAGTGGGGGCATCATCTGTGTCCACATGTTGACACTATCCACATTTATTTGCTGACAGATGTGAGCCACTGCCTATAAATTATTTTAAATACTTTTAGTTAAAGATTTATCATTCTCTAAAATTTCATATTCCTCAATTCCTTTCCAAACTAAAACATTTTTCTGTAATTCTTTTGCTCTGTCTGCAGATAAGAGAATTTCTGGTAATAATTGTTTATTAAATGCATATTTACAGATAAAAAAATTTATTTTGTTCCATTTGACTTTCTTCAAGTGTAATTTTGACCTTTGGACTTACAGAAGTTTCTCCAATTTTGGTTGTAGGGCATGTAGGCATTGGAAATTCTTATTATCCCAAACCATATAATTTTATAAAATAATTGTTTTTGATTAGACATAATTTTGTATTATTACTTTGTTATTTATAACAGCTTTGGATGCCATGAGAAAGGCATATGAAGAAGATTTGGAAGAAGAGAAGCAAAAATACAGAGATGCTCTGAAATCTATGTTTACTGATGATTTTGTGGAAGAAATAAGGAGACGTCATGAGTATGTATACTTTCCTTTGATTTGACATGGATGAAAACACATTAGATATAATAGAATTTGTGTTTCAGGAGTACAAAATAGGTGAAAAAAAACATCCATCCTATTTATATATATATATGAAAATAAAGGGATGTGGTACTATTGCCAATGAGACAACTATCCACTAGAGTACCGGTACAAATGAAGTTGATGCAAGGAACTATAAGTCACCACATGGTCTTCAACAATGAACAAAACCCAAACCTTTTGGTGAGACAAGACAAAATTTGAAACAATTTAAGAAAAACCAAGGGTCTGATTTATAACATTACAATGAATTTACATGTGTTTCACATCTGATTATAGATCTTAGATTAAAAAATTATTGTTAAATAATACAAGAAATGAATATCCAAACTCCCATTCTATTTTACAAAAAAATCAAAGTATCATAAGAACCTTGCAATGTATATTTCATTGGTGTTGTATGATGTTATGTTGATATTTATTTTAGGACTGAAATGAGTAAAACAACAGAAGAATTGAAGCAGTTAAGATTACATTATGATTCAAAATGTGAAGATTACAAAGTTTTAGAATCTAAGAGTGGAAATACAAAGGCAGCTTATGAAACTCACATTAAACATCTAACAACCAGGTAATGTTAAACAACTAGATACCATGTTTGAAAGCTCTAGATATCTTGCTTGAAGTTATAGATATCTTGTTTGAACGTTAGTTCTAGATATCATGTTTGAAAGTTCTAGATATCATGTTTGAAAGTTCTAGATATCATGCTTGAACGTTAGTTCTAGATATCATGTTTGAAAGTTAGTTCTAGATATCATGTTTGAAAGTTCTAGATATCATGTATGAAAGTTTTAGGTATCATTATGAAAGTAATAAAGAATTATAATACTTGCAAAATTACAATGTTAATTTTTAGCTCACCTGGTCCAAAGGGCCATGTGAGCTTTTCTCATCACTTGGCGTCCTTCGTTGTCTTTTACCATTTTTTTTCATTTTTGCCTATTATCTTGAAAACTATAATAGATAGAGAGAAACTTCAAATTGCAAAAATGATCAGCAAGATAGGTTCTACAAATAAATCTAATTGTCGAAATCGTCAGTCAACTCCTTATTAGAGTTATTGCCCTTTGATGTCGATTTTTACCAATTTTTTGCTTTTTGTCATATATTTAAAAATGATAATAGATAGATAGAAACTTAAATAAGCAAAAATTATCACCAAGACAAGATCTACAATTAAGACAAATGAAGGAAATTGTCCAACAACTCCTTACTGGAGTTATTGCCCTTTAATGACAATTTTTACCAATTTTTTTTTGCGTTTTGCCTGATATGTTCAAAATTGTATTAGATAAATAGACACTTTAAATCACAAAAATGATCAGCAAGGCAAGATCTACTAACAAGTCAAATTTTGCCGATATTGTTAGTAGACTGTCACTCTTTATAGGAGTGATTGCCCTTAAATGAGGATTTTTTTTACCCTCTTTCGTGTTTTGAGCAAAAACTAAAGAATATAGAGGGACACTGAACAGACTAAATGATCAGCAATACAAGATCAACAAAACAGAGATTTTTGTCATGAATTCTATTCTTGTCTACAATGTTGGAGAGTGTCCTTTGTTGAATATGCACATAGACCAAGGTGAGCGACACAGGCTCTTTAAAGCCTCTATTTTTCCTAGAATCTTGACAGAGAATACTGTACAAATGCACATAGCTTTCCTCACTTATTTAGAAATTGTCATGCAAGTTTACATTTTACCGTTTCTTCAGAATAACGTAAATTTATAAATTATTGAGTGCATTTATTATTGCGATTATTGAAGAATGGACAAAAATGTGAGATTAATTATTGCAATGTTCAGGACGGTCGGCATTCAGATATATGTATCAGATATCAGAATGCGAGTTCTTATTATTGCAATTCTTACCCAGTCGCATAATTCACATTAATGAAAGAATTCCAAAAATTTCTGAATTTACAGTACATATACCTTTTTTCCACACAATGCTTAACAGCATAGAAACCTTTTGAAAGTATAGACAATTCTAAGATTTATGAGTAAGGCAACATTTTTTTCATAGAGAAAATTCAAGTATTTTAATAAAGAGAAAACAACAATTTTAATGCACTATAACTAAAGGATTGTAAAAAAAATGCATTTTATTGTTAAATGAATTGTTTTTAAAAGGAAGGATTAGTTAGGAATTGCAAACAATTTTGACGGTGTTCACGTAAAGAATGGACTATTTTTACAAAATTTTCTGAAAAAAAGTTGTATTGTTTTATCACTTGGTACATAAAAGTTATTTATATCAATTATTAATTTCATATTCAGCAATCAACAATTGAACGACCTTGTAAATGAGGAGATAGGAAAGTTAAAGGACTTCATAAAGGACAGAACTATGGCCACTGTGCCAGGAAATGCTACCATAGAAGAAGAACTATATGATGCTCAGGTAACCTTATCACAGAAGGTCACATGATATAAAAATGTTTTCATTGACTGTGATCCTTATAAAATTGTATTTTAAACACCAGTTGTGGAGTTAAAGTTTGTTTCTATAGAAACAGTACTCACATACTAAATCTGTAAGTAATATGCTGTAAACTGAGATTAAAAATCACCATTCCTTTGTCCTCAAATAAAAGATTTTGGTTCTGCTTTTAATGAAAATATTTTTAGCGCAAATTTGCAATAAAAAGTGACCAGACTAAGTTAGTAGGATTAATATGTGTTACTATATAGGAAACATCTCCACATGTACAGAAATGCATTGGAGGGCTGTAGGAATGTAATAAATCAGAGATGCTTTACACAGGTGTATAAATGATAAAAGTCTCAGTAGAGAGAGATGTTATACAAGTTTTTCATGAAATTTCAGATAATGGTAAGAGTAAAGGATGCTGAATTACAGAAACTACGATCACAAACAAAGAATTTACAGAACAGTTTGGATAGAAGTTCTGAGGTTAGTTATTTTTATTGTTTAAATGACTGATTTATAATGTCACATCATTTTGAAGAGTGTGATACTCAGTTTGAAGTTTTCAAGTTATTTTTATGCCCCACCTACAATAGTAGAGGGGCATTATGTTTTTCGGTCTGTGCGTGCATTTGTTCGTCGTCTGTCCCGCTTCAGTTTAAAGTTTTTGGTCATGGTAGTTTTTGATGAAGTTGAAGTCCAATCAACTTGAAACTTAGTACACATGTTCCCTATGATATGATCTTTCTAATTTTAATGCCAAATTAGAGTTTTTACCCCAATTTCACGGTCCACTAAACATAGAAAATGATAGTGCGAGTGGGGCATCCGTGTACTATGGACACATTCTTGTTTCGGCCAAATATGGCAAAGAATTTTTGCATTATTACATTACATATTCATTTAAAATGTTATTTTTTTTCTTACTTTTTCTTATTTGAGAGGTAGAACAAAAGAAAACAGTACCTCTCTTTTTTTTGGATCCCATGTTTTTTAAGCTGAATGTGATATTTTTGTGAAAAAAAATTTATTACTGGAAAGTCTTTTGATAGTACTCTGATGTTAGGTCATGAGATCCATTTATCACAATAGTTTGTTCATTTTTGTCTCATCAGCAACTTGGCTTTTATTTGATATATATTATACAAAGGACATTCTAATTTTTAGGTTTGTAAATATACCCTACACAGGGTTAAATATAAAATTTAGAGCAAGCAAATATTACAACAACTTAATCCATATTTTTCATTGATAGGAACAACGTGTTAGCATGACACAATATTTCCAACTAAATAAGAAATACCAGGAGTCCCAGAAACAGTTAAAAGAAATATTAGAAGAGAAACGCCAAGAGGAAGCTAAATCATCAAGATCCTTGCGTAGAGGTATGTCATTACTATTTTTTGGAACTTATAAGCGTTTGTACCAGATAAGATAGCACTATGATGAAGAGAATAACACAATATATATTTTTTTTTTTTTTTTTTTAATGTTTAGTAAAAAAAATTTCTTCAAGCATTCAATCTATTGCATGGAATTAGGAAATTTCATTTAAAAAAGCTTTCCTTTGTGACGAAAAATTAAAAACTTAAATGACAGAAATCTTTGGATTTTTTCGCACATGAAGTGTGAGTCTTTGATGCATGCTATAATATACGATTGGTTTATTTTCCAGCTCCATCCTTTCACCATCGTGCTAGAAGTCCCAGTCCCCAGCCTACAACTTCTCCTAATAAAAAGGATGCTGCTGAACATCATAGTAGAGATTCACATCGAAGGAGACATATTGATGCCAGAGGTAATGTATTATACCAAATCCTGTGTATTTTTTCAATACTGAAATAAATGATTGTATTAATGTTTAATGTTTTTTGTCGTACAGTATAGCTATATAATAGAAGTTCCTTTTTTTTATTAAAAAAAGCTACTCTTTTAAATCTACACCATTCAATTACTTCATAAGTTTCCATTGACCATTCAATTACTTCATAAGTTTCCATTGGAAAAAAAAAAACTATTAAAGAAAAGAAATTGCAGATGAACACATTTAGGTTCAACTTAATCATGTCTGTGCTACATGATTACAGATATTAAGTGTAGTTATCAAAACAATACATGAATATATGAAATGTTATTAATGAAAACTATGAAATTTTAAAATCATATTGATTTTAAAGAAACACAAAACCATGATCAAATGAATTAAAGATAAAAAGAAAAATTGTCCTCAAATCATAACACAGAAATACTTTAAAAAGATGGAGCAACTTGAAACCCATAAAAAAATGAACTCAGGTGCTTTTGAACATTGAACAGGTTCTGCTCCACTAGTGACACGTCATGTTGTTAAATACATGTAAAAATTTGGTTAGACAGCTTAGATTTATATACTCTAAAAAGGTTATTTTTGTTACTAAAATTAGAATAGATCATTAAAAAGTATCAAAGTGTAGATATTTAAAAGCAATATTTTTGTTTGTTAATGTATTATTGTTACGTTTCAAGTTTACATTTCATTTTGGATGTCCTGACAAATCTAGTTTTTATTTCAGACTTACAGGTTAAAAAGTAGTCTCTATATTCCTATAACAATAACTTCAAATTTGTTTGTATTTCTTTAATATTTTTATCTTTGTGCCATGTCAAACTCATAACTCTTTCTTCCATTTCAGACTTAAAAAGATCAAAAAGTAGTCCCTCTATTCCATATGTATTTGATGGTCGCCCAGTTGGAAGTCTTGGGAAAAGCAAAGATTTGAAGAAATTAACTAGATCTCCTAAATCCTGAAGAGATTGTTTGTTCAGCAAAAGAGACTATAAAAAGTTGTACTTTGTGGAAAAATCTTTATGCCCATTTCATGCCAAAACATATTTGTCTTCCTTTAAATTATTTTTGTATCACATAAAGACCATTAGATGAATCTTCCAATATGAAATGGTTAGAGCAAAAAATTACTGCCAATCATTTATCTACCATTAGATGAATCATTACAGTTTTACCTGCAATATTTTGACGAGAAAATGTTGGATGATTTTTTTCTCACATTTGATCAACCATACAGTCCATAGCCGTACAAGTTTCTTATGCCTTATGTTTAGAAAATATTTACAAATTTAGTTGTCAGCTGTAAAATTTTGGACAATAATTGTAATTCCATAGGTTGTTTACAAAACCTGAGTACAAAATGAAATGTTGTTTGAGTACAGATGCAAGATGTTTTTCAAAAATGTACAAATTGAAAAAATAGGAAGAACATTGTCTGACATTGTAAAATTAAGCTTGGAATATCCACAAAACTGGAAACTTTTCAAACATTTTTGTTTTTAAGGTTTTTGGATAATGATAGGTTGTTAATTGTTAGGTTGTAAAAGTTTAAGACAACGATTCACAAATAACAATACTGGAAAATATTTTATATATATATTAAAAGGATTTGTATAAAAATCAAACTTTTTAGTTATATATCGATTGTTCAATAATAAGTTTTGTCATGGGATTTTTTTATTGTATGAAAAAGCTGAAGTCTTATAAATTATTTTTTTTGTCTCTGGTTCAATTAGCTGTTATATACCACTCTCAAGCTGTATAATAAAGAAAAGGTTTGTAAGTTGTTTTTAAAACCGAAACTTAAAAATTCAGAACGGTCATGCATATTAATTATGGTATTTGACATGTGATCATGTTTATTATAAATATGCCATCCAGTGAAAAAACTGATTTGCACTTAAAAACAGTAATAAAAGGTACACAAATTGATATAACTAAAAGTAAGATTTATTCTAGAAGTTTATATCTACTTATTGTTTTATTCTTTTTTTCTCACAGAATTGCTAATTAAATTAAATGCATACCTAAATAACCAGCGCTTTATAAAGCTACTGTATACTTAACTAAGATTAATATTTTTTGCACTATGACAAAAGTCTTTAACAGGACTGAACCATTGCAGGTGATGGGCAATTAACCAAAAATTAGGGTGGAAACATCATATATACTTATTAATATATTACATATTTTGATATTGCTTTTGATGTGAATTGTGATAATTAACCAGTGTAATATCAATACCACATAGATCTGTTGCATATTATATTATGTAATACCATATCCTAGACACCTTTACATAGAAGTATTATATTGAAGTTAATCATCTTCTGTATTTAGTACCATATGCTAATCATGTATTATATTGAAGCTTATCATCCCCTGTGATCTTTAGACAAGTCTTTATAGCAAATTGTAAATGGAGTCTGCAATACAAAGTTGTCCATATTGTAAATGGAGTCTGCAATACAAAGTGGTCCATATTGTAAATGGAGTCTACAATACAAAGTGGTCCATATTGTAAATGGAGTCTGCAATACAAAGTGGTCCATATTGTAAATGGAGTCTGCAATACAATGTGGTTCATATTGTAAATGGAGTCTGCAATACAAAGTGGTCCATATTGTAAATGGAGTCTGCAATACAAAGTGGTTCATATTGTAAATGGAGTCTGCTATACAAAGTGGTCCATATTGTAAATGGAGTCTGCAATACAAAGTGGTCCATATTGTAAATGGAGTCTGCAATACAAAGTGGTCCATATTGTAAATGGAGTCTGCAATACAAAGTGGTCCATATTGTAAATGGAGTCTGCAATACAAAGTGGTCCATATTGTAAATGGAGTCTGCAATACAAAGTGGTCCATATTGTAAATGGAGTCTGCAATACAAAGTGGTCCATATTGTATATTGTCAGATATGAAACACATGTTTTCTTGCATTTGGTCAGTTGCGAGGAGAATTCAGAAGAAGATTTGTAACATTATATATATAAATATAATTGTTTTGTAAAGAGAATCATTAGGGGGTGGGAGTACTTTATAGAAATTGAGTTGTCTTTCTTTTACAAGAAAAAAAAGAAAAAAACCTAATTAGTCTTACTTTTTTGTTAGGAAGAATTATTTAAAAATTGGTAGCTGCCAATATCAAAATTACCTTTGGTAACATTTATGTCAAAAATAAACCTCAGTTTTGGTGTTATGTATGAGTAGCATTGCTTCAAACTGCTTCCCATTCTTTGAAATAGTTTTTACTAAAACTTAGAATACATCTGACAAATCACAAGACAATATTAATTATTTTTTAGAATAAAGTGTGTCTTCTTAACCCTTTTCATGTTACCTTTATGCGTGCGTGTGCGGATAATAGTAATATGCATGTAGATTTTATATGAAATTTGTTCCATTTAAAATCCTTCATGTATATCAAATCAATGTTTTAAAGTTCTTTGTTCAGTGTTACTGAATTATATGTGTTAATCATTGATCTAAAAAGTACCAAATCTCTCATCTTCTCAATTTTTTCATGTATTTTATGATTCCATTTAAATGATTTAAAGACTTGTAAGTGTATACATACCTACATGTATGTGCATTAGTGTGTTGTTTTTGTTATATGTTTATGGGTTGTGTGTATATGTAACCATGACAATTAATCTGTCCATTATTTTACACCATATCATATTTTTTTATAGATATTGTGATCGTACTATATATAATCATGTGTAATATATATGATTATTGTGCCTTTTTATTCAGGAATCTAGCTAGAAGTTTATTATTTAACCCTTGAATGTGAATTGTTTTGTTACAAAATAACAATTAAACAAGACTGTTAATTTTGTCTTACAAAATAACAACTAAACCAGACGATGGAATATAACCAAGATGAAGTTGGTTTTTAGTGTATAGTATAGAAAACCAAACATGTATATTCATTATAGGATTTTTGAAGTCCCTTTGTAGATGTTTAAAAAATAATGAAAAGCTAATGATCTTGTACTTAATATACTACCTATTAATTATCAAATACAGATTTGTTTAAAAATTATGACAAAAATTATGTCAACAAATTATTAGAGAAACCAGTTATTTACAATTTTTTTTAGAAGTTATAAGTTTTCATTCACATAAAAATTATTGATATTTATATTTACCTTTTGTTACCAATATAAAACAGTTATTTAGTAATAACCAATGTATATCTTCATTGCTACAACCATAACTGGCATGGTCTAACATTTGAAATGAGTTTTGGTGCAGACTTCCATATGAATAAGGTTTGCTTTTATATAAGCGAGAAAGGTTGTTGTTTACAAAGTTATCTGTTGTTGTAGTACGTTGATGTGAACAAAGATTTGTTAGTCAGTGCTAAAGTAAACATATTTATTGAAAGTTTTAAATTAAAAACAGATATTTGTGGGTTGGGTAATAATTTTAAAGTCTTTAACCAATTTACAGCCAAATATTTATACAATACCATTTTTATATTAAAATTAATTTAATATTTATTGTTGTCTTTATTTGTACTTCTACCGGTAATACCTGTTCACCAAATATATACCTTACTATTAGCTTTAATTGAGGAAACGATATAAAAATTATTTGCATATTATATTTTAGGTGGATTTCAGTGTCGTTTTCATGTAAATATGCAGTATTCCTCTTGCAAATCATATAAAATTAGAATTTTGAACCAAACAAACAAGCAATTTACTCAAGTCAGAAATATGCATTTTGTAAAAAATAATCTCTGGCAGGAGTCAACAAAGAGCCATTCATGAACTAACATGCCGTTTAGATTAAAATAACACACTTTATCAGTTTATTTTTAGGCACAAAAGTTAATGTGGAGTATCAAGTCTCTTCTTTTTTTAAAAACCACTTGTTTTGAAGGAAAAGCAAGTAAGAGAAATCTTACAGAATTTGTAGGAGCAGGGTCATGATGTCCCTAGTAAAAGCAAGTGTTGGTCACATCACTTGTAAAGGTATTGCTTACATTAGAACTGGGTAAAGACACAACAGTGTAAAAATAGGTAATCAATAATTATAAAGAACTCTTCACTTTCTTGAATCTATTAAACCATATAGCAATAACAAAACTTTTTGAAGCAAATAAAATTCCAGTGTAAAAGTCAAATGTAGTTCATAATTGCATTTGATTAACTAGGCTTGCATCCCAAATGCCTCATTACATGAGTTCAGATTAGACTGTTGAAGAAACAAATGAGAATGTATAAAAGTAGTTCTGTAACTGTATATGTTCATCCCTGCACAAACTGGAGACCAAGTTTTTGATTGTAGAACATTTGTTTTTATGAGAACTAAATTTACACATAAACTTAACCCAAGTCAAAGAAGCATGAAATGTAGGTCATAAGACTTTTTTATTGGCGGCTGTATTACACACAATGTATCCTTATACCAAGCGTTATGATTGGAGGCCACTTAGTATTGTAGAAATAGCCTTGACATTCAAAGTCAATTAAATGTGTAATTTTATCTATTTTTTTATTTGAGTGCTATACTTCTCAAGATGCTTCCTTACACTTAAAGTTATTCATTCTAGATGTATATTATGAATTAGTACATGATAACTGAACAGTGACTGATCACTGGAACATGAAATTGAGGTTAAGAATGACATACTTCTACAACAAAACTTCTGCTAAGTATTGTTAACCTCTCATGTACAGTCCTTAGTAACTGATTCATCAAATAGAAAAGAAAGGATATGGGGTATCCATCTATGACACAAAATCAGTGCATGCACAGCAAAAAACACAAAACGCAGAGGAACAGTGCTTATATTGATGTTCTTTATATCAAAGTCACAGTGATGCCTTCAAGATGGAGCAAAAAACTCTCAAATAAGCCTCTAGCACTGGTTTGAGTGGAATTTGAAAGCCTATTATACATGTCTGATATATACTCCTCATAACCAATGTAAATACCAAATATTGTAGACATGAAATGATTAGAACAGACCTCATCCTGGAAACCAGACCACTGGGGTGTGAAATTAAGGTCAAAGCCATATAACATATAAAAGAAGGACATATACCAGCAACCAATCTGTAAATCAAATATTAATAACCTTTCAAGTAGATTAAAATAGAGTTTATAGCTATATGACATAGCTGTGACATTTCAGACAGAAATTTATTCCTCACAACCAATGTAAAAGCCTAATATTCTTGACCTCTAATGTAAAGTTACTGTGGATGGCACCTCATACCCCAAAATTGATAATAATTGAAATTGCTTCAGTAACTGTTATTCTTAAATCAGTACTTTTTGTCGATGGTCATTTTTATACGACCGCAAAAAAATTTTTGTGGTCGTATATTGGTATGACGTTGGCGTCGTCGTCGTCCGGCGTCGTCGTCGTCGTCGTCGTCGTCGTCGTCGTCCGGCGTCGTCCGAAGACACATTGGTTTTCGCACTCTAACTTTAGTTTAAGTGAATGGATCTTTATGAAATTTTACCACAAGGTTCAATACCACAAAAGGAAGGTTGGGATTGATTTTGGGGGTTATGGTAATAACAGTAAAGGAATTAGGGGCCAAAAAGGGGCCAAAAATAAGCATTTTTGTAACTTCCAGACATAACTTGTGTGTTAGTGTATGGATCTCTCTGACATTGTACCACAAGGTTCCATATCACTAAAGGAATGCTGGAATTGATTTTGGGGGTAATTGCCTCCAAATTTTAGGAATTAGGGGCCAAAAAAGGGGCAAAAAACAAGCATTTTTCTAGTTTCATGACAATAACTTGTGTGTAAGTGTATGAATCTTTCTGAAATTGTACTACAAGGTTCCATATCACAAAGGGAAAGCTGGGTTTGAGTTTGGGGGTAATTGCCCAAAACGTTTAGGAATTTGGGGCCAAAAAGGGGCCAAAAAACACATTTTTTTCTAGTTTCCAGACAATAACTTGTGTTCAAGTGTATGGATCTCTCTGAAATTGTACTGCAAGGTACCATACCACAAAGGGAAGGCTGGGATTGAGTTTGGGGGTGATGAATCATAATGGGGGTTCAAAAAATTTTGGGGGGGGGATTTATTTTTTTTTCCTTTTTTTCCTTTTTTGTTTCTTTTAAAATTTTCCATTTTAAGTTGGTTATTTCTGATTTATATTTAAAATCAAATAATAATGATATGGTAGGAGATACACACCAAACAGGATGTGTAAATTATTATATAATAAGTATTGTGCAATAGCAAGAAATTTTCAATTGCACAGTATTGCACAATAGCAAGAAATCTTCAATTGCACAGTATTGCGCAATAGCAAGAAATCTTCAATTGCACAGTATTGCGCAATAGCAAGAAATATCCAATAGCACAATATTGCGCAATAGCAAGAAATTGTCAATTGTACAGTATTGCGCAATAGCAAGAAATATTTAATAGCACAGGATTGTGCAAAAGAAGATACTTCCTATAAATTGCTTATTTCTTGACCAATTTCAATGGGGTTTTATTCTTGATTTCATGGGGTTCTTTAATATGCTGAATATAACCGTGTATTTAGTTTTTGGATTTTGGGCCCCGTTTTTAAATTGGTCCACATTGAGGTCCAAAGGGTCCAAAATTAAACTTTGTTTGATTTCATCAAAAATTGAATTATTGGGGTTCTTTGATATGCCGAATCTAACTGTGTATTTAGATTCTTAAATTTTGGTTCCGTTTTCAAATTGGTCTACATTAAGGTCCAAAAGGTCCAAAATTAAACTTAGTTTGATTTTAACAAAAATTTAATTCTTAGGGTTCTTTGATATGCTGAATCTAAACATGTATTTAGATTTTTGATTATGGGCCCAGTTTTCAAGTTGGTCCAAATCGGGGTCCAAAATTAAACTTTGTTTGATTTCAACAAAAATTGAATATATGGGGTTCTTTGATATGCTGAATCTAACCATGTATTTAGATTTTTGATTTTTGGGCCCCGTTATCAACTTTGTCCACATTGAGGTCAAAAGGGTCCAAAATTAAACTTTGTTTGATTTCATCAAAAATTGAATTATTGGGGTTCTTTGATATGCCGAATCTAACCGTGTATTTAGATTCTTAATTTTTGGTTCCGTTTTCAAATTGGTCTACATTAAGGTCCAAAGGGTCCAAAATTAAACTTAGTTTGATTTTAACAAAAATTGAATTCTTAGGGTTCTTTGATATGCTGAATCTAAACATGTATTTAGATTTTTGATTATGGGCCCAGTTTTCAAGTTGGTCCAAATCGGGGTCCAAAATTAAACTTTGTTTGATTTCAACAAAAATTGAATATATGGGGTTCTTTGATATGCTGAATCTAACCATGTATTTAGATTTTTGATTTTTGGGCCCCGTTATCAACTTTGTCCACATTGAGGTCAAAAGGGTTCGAAATGAAACTTTGTTTGATTTCATCAAAAATTGAATTCTTGGGGTTCTTTGATATGCTGAATCTAACCATGTATTTAGATTTTGGATATTGGACCATAATAGGTGAATGTCCAATTTAAAATTTTTAAGTTCTTAGACCACATTCAATCTGTGTTAGAAACCTATGCTGTGTCAAATATTTAATCACAATCCAAATCCAAAGCTGTATCAAGCTTGAATGTTGTGTCCATACTTCCCCCAACTGTTCAGGGTTCGACCTCTGCGGTCGTATCAAGCTGCGCCCTGCGGAGCATTTTATTGATAGTTATTGGGGCTTAGAATCGATCTGATGAGTCCATCCCTTTTCAACTACAGTTTATATTTTGTTCTAATATACTGGTTCACCACTCCCAGGTTAGGGAGTAGGGACACATTCTTTATGTGCCTGTCCCATGCAAGAAGCATGTGTTTCACTGGTTGTCATATATTGCTTTTTGCCAGAAATTGTTTTTCATTTAATGGTATATGCTTATATATTAAGGTCATTGGTTTTATCTTTTGTTTTGTTATCGAAGGGCATTTTTATAGCTTACTATACAGTATGGGTTTTGCTCATTGTTCAAGGCAGTATGGTGACCTGTAGTTTTATTCAACCTAATGCTTTAGGCTTTGTTTAACATTGTTCTTATTGGCAATCATACCGTCATTATTTCTATACTCATCCTGAAAACTTAACCAGAGCACTTGAGCATAAAATTGAGGATAAAGGACACATTCTTCTTGCAAATAATCCATGTACAAAACTTTCCATTTATGGTTACTCAGGAACAGATGTCATTTTACTAACTTGACCTTCCCACTTGGTCTGCCTTGTTTATATTCAGACTTGAATTTGAGCAGTTTCTTTATGGTAAAATACTTATAGCACTTTATCAAAAGCTTGAGAAACTTAAATATTTACAAATTCATTTTTGAAAGTTTAAACTACCGGTACCTAAGTGGTCTAAGTAGCTGTGTTTATAATCCCTATCAGTCAAACAACAAAGGCTTTAAAATTAGTATTTGCTACTTCTTTCTTAAGCATGCAGCACTTGAAAGGATAAGCAGACTGGTCAACTGGATGAGTAAATTGGAATAATGTGGCTTCTTGCTAATAAGGTATGCATTTGTATATTTTCCACTGGACTTTTAGAACTCAATTGAGCATTTTAGTTAAAAGAGACAAATCTTCAAATTACTGTTGGCAAATTTGAAATTTTATATCTGGGTTCTTTACCTATTGCTTACAGTATAGAATTAGAAAAACAAACCAAAACACAATTACTTAACATTGACCAATGAACCGTGAAAATGAAGTTTAGGTCAGATGATACCTACCAGACTGACATGTACACCTTACAATCATTCTATACACCAAATATAGTTTACCTACAACTTCTACTATCTGAGAAACGGACCTAATCACGTAATTGTAACCTTGATCACTGATCCATGAAATGAGGTTGAGGTCATGTGAACCCTGTATGACTGACATGTAGACCATGCAAGGAACCCATTTACCAAATATTGTTGTCCTTTTACTCATTAAGTAAGAAATTCACCCGACAAAAAAAAAAAACAACTTTTTTTCAAGAAGTCACTGAACCACAAAAATGAGGTCAAGGACAACGGACATATGTCAGACAGAAACTTTGTAACATAAGGCATCTGTATACAAAGTATGAAGCCTCCAGGTATTCTACCCTTTGAAATATAAAGCTTAATACAAAAAGGTTATGCTGCTGCTTCCAGATTGTAATCCCTCTCACATTCTGCGACTTTCATCGCATGTGAGACAAAAAATATGTATAAGGGTTGTTTATCATGAAACTTTGTACGCTAGTCATTGTAGCCCGACATTAACTTCATTATCATGCTCCAGTAGTCAGGGTTAAGTTTTCAAGACGAATGTCTGTTCTTCATTACCTTTACAAGATGGGTCAACCATGTTTGATGTACTGATTGGAAATGTGGCGAATTTTATCCATCTGACATGTGTCATGAAGCTTTGCAGGAAAACCTTGCTCCATTTAGTCAAAAGCTTTAAATTTCATATATTTGCATATCCAAAGTATTTCCATCAATTAATATCACTATACTTTTATTGAAATGGAGATTGAGGGGACCCACGACCTTCAGCACTTGAGGGGAGCATGCTATCATGAGATCAATGAAGCCTTGTGCAAGATGTGGACTTCTAACATTAGGCCAAATAATGGAAAAAAAGTTCTAGGGTCAGGGGTTTAAACTAGGGTAGGTCGGGTAAATGGAACCACACATATAAAAAAATTTATTTGCCCTTATATTAAGTGGTTTATACATAAAATGTGCAATCTATCAATAGTGTAAGATTTTTAATTGAACCTTCTACTAAGTTTACCTGTAAAACTTGGTTGATTTTTGGTCAATGATCATAATAAAATGAAATTCTGAACAATTCAATATGATATAAAGTTGGTTCAAAATGATACATTGGTTTCAGGGGAAAAGATCCTCCTGTATAACTTTTCCTTGAATATCCCTTTGTGATATAAATTTGTGTTCCAGCCAAACCTCAGCAAAAGCTCCTTGGACTTTGAAATAGTTGTGTGAGTCAACATCAACCTAACCTTTATGCATAACTGTGAATATCTTAATCATGAATATAACAACAGTTATGGGTCCTTGATACTACCAATAGCAATAACAAGATGGATTGCTTTCTTCAATTTTTTTTCATCTTGCATGATTAAAAAACACTTTTTTTTAAATTCTAATTTTATGGTCAACATCAATTTTGATATTAAAATGGTTTGTACAATTACTACTGCAAACATACACACATACACAGTCCAACACTCATCCGAATACAGAAATTTTAACATTTTGTTATTTTTTATCATGATGTTGGTGGCATTGGTGGCATCATTCCTGGCATCATGGGAGAACTTCCACCCATAGCTGCATTTGGTCCCAGCAATATCTGTAAAAAAGTATATACATGTATATAAACTCAAAACTACATACAACATATAGGCTACAGAATTGATCTTGAAGTCTTAATCAGCCACAGTAAACATTTTTATACGCCCGTTTACGGGACGTATTATGGTATAACGTTGTCCGTCTGTCCGTCCGTCCGTCGTCATCATGTCTGACATTAACTCAAAAATGCTTTAACCAATTTGCATAAAACTTTAGTGAATTGTTTATATCTATTGACGTGAGCTCCCTTTCGTTTTTTATAAAATATAGATTTTACGTTTCCGAGTTATGGGGTTTTATTCATAAAAAAAAAGGGGGATTTTCCAGTTTTCGGACGAAACTCAAAAATGCTTTCAGCAATTCTTATGAAACTTTGGTGAATTGTTTGTATGTATTGATGTAAGCTCCCTTTAGAACTTTATAAATTTTACATTTTACATTTTTTTAAATTGACTTTAATTTGTTTTATGTAAGTTTGTTTGTTTGAAATCAATATTACATTTGTTTGATATCTATTGTTCCTGGGATATCTCCTGACTTTTTACTATTGAGATAGTAACAATCATTATAATGAGTCAATCAACCATCATAGAATAAAGGTAACTAAATGATGACCCACCATTTATTTCTATTTTTACAATACATGGTTGACCTAATAAGCAAGCAATAATAAATTTGGTAAACTAATTATAAATATACAGAGTAAATACTAATCACTTAAGGATTTGAGAATATATGATCTCTAGGACATGAGTACAATATTTACTACAGAACATTTTAGACTTCAGATGTTCTTGACAAACTTTGAAAACAGATTTCAGTTGAATGTCTATATAATATGCAACAGACTTGCAATTGTGTAACAATGAAGATATTCTCTAACATAATTCAACTTCTTATATCTGAATCAATGTTATGAAATGAAAGTGATCTTTTACTGTGACAAATTCACTACTTACAAAAATTTACATCAATACTGTAGTGTTAACCAACTTATTCCCATTGATACTTTTTTTCCAGCATTAGCCCTTTCTAGTCCACTTTGTTGAATTTATTTTTCATTTCTTTACTTTGTTGGTGAATAAAAATTAAAGATAATGGAAGTTTGAAACTTGAGTGGCTTATATATTCGTTATTTTTCCAAATGTGAAAGTCAAATTTATAAATTAGTTGGTTTACAGAAGACCCTTCATCATTGAAAAATCTGATTCTTTTTGCACCTGTCTCTCTTGTTGTCTTTGTTGTTCTTGATGTTGAGCCCTTTCTTTTTCAAACACAACAGGTAAGACTAGAAGTGTTGCAGCAGATGTAGCCACCCACAGTAAGTTTCTGGTCAGGCCATATCCCTGTATTGTATATTTTCCTGATAAACTGACAGCTTGACTGCAGAAATTTCTAAGTCTTTCAGGGAACATTTCTGTTAAACCAACCAATCTCTCAACAACGGTTTCATCCATTAAGTCCTGGAAAATAAATTATACTTTAATTCATACATGTATAAACAAGAGTGCACACGGTGAACTGTCTCCCCTGCTTTACTGACCATTGATTTTATGCTGATAGTCCTAAATATAAAGCTTTACTACAAGTATCACATAAACTTAACATGATCCAAGAAAATGAGGTCAAGGTCAGATTAACTAAATGTGGTCTAAGAACTTAAAAAATTTTAATTTACCTATTCAAAACATATCATTATTATTTGCTTTTAAATATAAATCAGAAATAACCAATTTAAAATGGAAAATTTTAAAGAAAAAAAAATCCCCCCCCAAATTTTTTGAACCCCCTTATGATTCATCACCACCAAACTCAATCTCAGCCTTCCCTTTGTGGTATGGTACCTTGCAGTACAATTTCAGAGAGATCCATACACTTGAACACAAGTTATTCTCTGGAAACTACAAAAATGCTTGTTTTTTGGCCCCTTTTTGGCCCCATATTCCTAAACATTTAGGGCAATTACCCCCAAACTCAAACCCAGCTTTCCCTTTGTGATATGGAAGCTTGTAGTACAATTTCATAAAGATCCATAGACTTACACACAAGTTATTGTCATGAAACTAGAAAAATGCTTGTTTATTGCCCCTTTTTTAGCCCCTAATTGCTAAAATTTTGAGGCAATTACCCCCAAAATCAATCCAAGCATTCCCTTTGTGATATGGAACCTTGTGGTACAATGTCAGAGAGATCCATACACTAACACACAAGTTATGTCTGGAAGTTACAAAAATGCTTATTTTTGGCCCCTAATTCCTTAACTGTTGGTACCATAACCCCAAAAATCAATCCCAACCTTCCTTTTGTGGTATTGAACCTTATGGTAAAATTTCATAGAGATCCATTCACTTAAACTAAAGTTAGAGTGCGAAAAAAAACGTTGTGGTATTGAACCTTATGGTAAAATTTCATAGAGATCCATTCACTTAAACTAAAGTTAGAGTGCGAAAAAAACCGTCATACCAATATATGACCACAAAATTTTTTTACAGTCATATAAAAACTTAACACTGAGTAATGAACCGTGAAAATGAGGACAAGGTAAAATAAAACCTGCCAGACTGACATGTACATTGTAAAATATTTCCATACACCAAATATAGCTGACCTATTGCATATAGTATTAGAAAAAAAGACCAAAACACAAAAACTTAACTTTAACCACTGAACCATGCAAATGAGGTCAAGGTCAGATGACACCTGCCAGTTGGACATGTACCCCTTACAATAATTCCATAAACCAAATATAGTAGACCTATTGCTTATAGTATCTGAGATATGGACTTAACCACGAAAACTTAACCTTGTTCACTGATCCATGAAATGAGGTCAAGGTCAGATGAAAACTGTCTGACAGGCATGAGGACCATGCAAGGTACGCACATACTAAATATAGTTATCCTATTACTCATTATAAGAGAGAAATTAACATTACAAAAAAACAAAACTTTTTTTCAAGTAGTCACTGAATCATGAAAATGATGTCAAGGACAATGGACATATGACAGACAGAAACTTCATAACATAAGGCATCTATATACAAAGTATGAAGCATCCAAGTCTTCCATCTTCTAAAATAATAAAGCTTTAAAGTAGTTAGTTAAGGCCACTGCTGCCCCCACAGCCGGATTGCTATCCTTATGTCGAGCTTTCTATGACGGAAGTCGCAGGCTCGACAAAAATGATAAAGACATCACAAGTCAAACTAGAGGCTCTAAAGAGCCTGTGTCGCTCACCTTGGTCTATGTGCATATTCAACAAAGGACACTCTCCAACATTGTAGACGTTTTGTTGATCTTGTATTGCTGATCATTTAGTCTGTTTAGCTTCTCTCTATCTTCTTTGGTTTTTGCTCAAAACACAAAAGAGGGTAAAAATATCTTTATTTAAGGGCAATCACTCCTATAAAGAATGACAGTCTACTAACTATATCAGCAAAATTTGACTTGTTAGTAGATCTTGCCTTGCTGATCATTTTATGATTGAAGCGTCTATTTATCTATTATAATTTTTATCATATAACATGTATAAGGTAAAACGCAAAAAAATGGTAAAAATCGTCATTAAAGTCCAATACCTCCACTAAGGAGTCGTTGGATGATTTCCTTGATATTGTCTTAATTGTAGATCTTGTCTTGCTGATCATTTTTGCTTATTTAAGTTTCTATATATCTATTATAATTTTTAAGATATACGGCAACAAGAATGTGTCCATAGTACACAGATGCCCCACTCACACTATCATTTTCTATGTTCAGTGGACTGTGAAATTGGGGTCAAAACTCTAATTTGGCATTAAAATTAAAAGATCATATCATAGGGAACATGTGTACTAAGTTTCAAGTTGATTGGACTTCAACTTCATCAAAAATTACCTTGACCAAAAACTTTAACCTGAAGCGGGACAGATGGACAAACGAACGAAAGAACGCACAGACCGAAAAACATAATGCCACTCTTCTATTGTAGGTGGGGCATAAAAACGCAAAAGATTGGTAAAAATACTCATCAAAGGGCAATAACTCTAATAAGGAGTCGACTGACGATTTTGACTTGTGGACTTATTTGTAGAACTTGACTTGCTGATCAATTTTGCCAATTTAAGTTTCTATCTATCTATTATAATTTTTAATATACATGTATAAAGCAAAAACGTAAAAAATTGGTAAAAATCATCATCAAGGGCAATAACTCTAATAAGGAGTTGTTTGACAATTTTGAAGCTGCAAAACTTGTTTGTAGATCTTGTCTTGCTGATCATTTTTGCAATTTAAAGTTTCTCTCTATCTATTATAGTTTTCAAGACAACAGGCAAAAATGAAAAAAAAATGGTAAAATTTGTCATTTAAGGGCTATAACTCCTATAAGAAGTTGTCTGACAGTTTTGACGTATATGGACAATAGGTAGAACTCTACGTGCCAAACATTATGCTACGTCATATTTTCTCCTTTTATTTATAACGGTTTTCAAAATAATAGACAAAACTTGCATTTTCCCCTATGTTCTATTTTTAGCCATGTTGGCCATCTTGGTTGGCAGGTGGGGTCATCAGACACATTTTTTAAACCAAGATACCCCAATGATGATTGTGGCCAAGTTTGGTTAAATTTGGTCTAGTAGTTTCAGAGGAGAAGAATTTTGTAAAAGTTTACGGACGACGGACGCCAAGTGATGAGAAAAGCTCACTTGGCCCTTTGGGCGAGGTGAGGTAAAAAGGGTTGAAAGTACTTTCATCCTGCTGACTCAATTAAAATGGTAATGACAAAAAAAATAACAGTGTACATACTTTATCTGCAATCGCATGATTCAGGAGCATTTACAAGTTGCTGCCACTATTCATTTTATTTATTCCTTAATTGGTTTAGCTAAATTTACACTGTAGTTTTTAACGAAGGGGAACCGGTCATCAACAATGTACTTTTAATATAAAGCAAACAATTCAAAATTTGAATGAACTGTGAATGGTCATTATTTTGCAAGGTTTGTTTTTTAAATTTTGACAATCATGAGATAATTCCTTTAGCATAACTTTCAAAATAAGGACAAAAGCTATAAGAAATAGATGTGCCAGACACAGAAGCAGAAATATAAAACAGTAATGCCCTGCATAGATGCTTTTGAATTACTGCCCCTATAGGGATGTTTAAACAGAACAAGAAAACAAAAATGCCAAGACTACAATCTATTCTCCTTTGGACAGCCAACAGCCTGTGCCAGTGTGTGGTTTATAAATGTGGGAATTTTTTATTTAGTGTATGCAAACATGCAGTTTAGAACATTTTCGTCAAAAACTGAAGAATATATAAATTAGATTCATAAATTTGAAAATAAGCAGCTGCTCCAAGAGTTCATGAAACACCCTTATTGTGCACATTGAAATTGTTGCAAAAATAATAGGATTTCTAGATGCATTTATTCAAAGGCTAATAAAATGCTCCCCAGGACGCATCTTGATACAAACGCAAAGGTTGAACCCTGAACAGTTGAGGCAAGTATGGACACAACATTCAAGCTTGATACAGCTCTGAATTTGGATTGTGATCAAATATTTGACACAGCATAGATTTCTGACACAGAATGAAAGTGGTCTAAGAACTTAATAATTTGAAATTGGACATTTACCTATTATGGACTTATATCCAAAATCAAAATACATGGTTAGATTTAGCATATCAAAGAATCCCAAGAATTTGATTTTGAATGAAATATAACAAAGTTTAATTTTGGACCCTTTGGACCTCAATGTGGACCAATTTGATACAAGGCTCAAAAATCCAAAATCTACATACATGTACATGGTTAGATTCAGCATATCAAAGAACCCTTTATATTCATTTTTTGTTGTAATCAAACAAAGTTTAATTTTGGAGCCTTCGGACCTCAATGCGGACCTATTTGAAAATAGGACCCAAAATTAAATAATCTAAATACAGGGTTAGATTTGGCATATCAAAGAACCTCAAGAATTCAAGACTTTGAATGAAATCCCATTGAAATTAGTCAAGAAATAAGCAATTTATACAATTTGATTTTTGATGAGATATAACAAATACAAAGTATTAGAAAAGTATTGTTTGTTGCCCCTTTTTTCTAAACGGTTATGGCCATAACCCCCAAAATCAATCCCAACCTTCCTTTTTTGGTATGGAACCTTGTGATACAATTTTATAGATATCCACAGACTTGTACTCAAGTTATTGTCTGAAAACCAAATGTCTTCGGACAATGATGGAGAAGACCTTGATGACGACATTCCATTGTGGAATTTATGGGTATCGTCCATTGTATGACAATGTTTTTATCATGATTAAATTTAGTTTGATCAAATTCTTGGTTTTTATTCGGCTATACCAACATAGGAATTGCACGATGGAAGTAAAACGAAACTCTTGTTGAACAATTCAAACATGAGGATTCTGATGCAAATGAAAAAAAACACAATATATTCATGGTGAAAGTGAAATTGATGAGTCGGAGACTGATTTTACTGAAGCCATTTTGACGGGATATCGTAAAGTATTCTAAAGGTTTGCTGACTTCGTCACCTTTCATAGGTAACACTAGCTGCGGTCCTTGTGATATTTTTTGACAATTTGTGGATTATTTTTGGCATAAATCAGAAAATATAATAAGGACCATACACCTTATCGCTATTTGTCCACCTTTACTGAACATCACAGATGTTTCCGTAAAATTTTGACATCACCAGAGAAGATGTCTGACGCCATAAAGAAAAAGTGATTGTTGTACGACGTCAAAAGTTCAAATGTCGCAAATTTTTTGGGTCAAGTGTTGCAGATTCCCAAATCGCAATAACTTGAATAAGGTCTATTAGAGCTACGGTTTCACAGCTAAGGTAACACCTGCCTCATATTATATAAATGTATTCTGATAAATATAACAAGACGGATTGTAAATATGTCCTTCCAACTCGTCACCGTATACCATATCAAGATCAAGGTTTGGAATCACAACAATTAGATAGTGTAACGTATTTTTAAAAATTACTATTGTTAGTTTCAACAAACAGACGAACAAACTATACAAGTGCAAATGCCTCTAAGATCGAATTTCTTCGTCAATGAATTTATCTCAACTCTTACATCATCGTCTTCGTCGAGAGGTATGTCTTGAATCTGTTTTTGTGAAGATCCTTCAGTTGACATTCTGATTTTGTCTTAAAAATATCGGCTACAACTCGTGTATCAGTTTACTGTCAGCGTTATTAAGAACTTGATGCGAATATATACTGTTTACGGATAATCAAACATCAATCTGATTTTGATATTTCAATGGAAAAAAATCGTAGCCTTCCGAATGCGTATACTGGTTACTTTACTACTGTTTTCTATGTCATCTCTATTTCTGTGCAAAATGAACCAGTTGTTAATTCATTAGGAAGTACCCCGGAAAAATGTGATATGTGATTTGCATTTGTTCCGTCTGCATTAGTAGAGAAAATGGTTTGTATTTATTGAAATAATCAAGCAAAACGGAGACATTCACATTCTGAAAAAATCTCTGCCATTTTTAGTGTTAATAGGGCTAGACTGAGACTATTATAACACATAGTATAGTATTCTAAGACTAAGGGCTAGGTTAAGGGTTGGTGTTAAATAGTTTAGCATGTATGGTCAGATCATATGTTTTTGTATGTCATATGAATTTGTTCTATGCTTTTTCAATGGAAATTGTGACGTCAAAATGCATTCTTAATAGCATGAAAACACACAAGACGAGGATATGATAAATGAACTAGGATGGAAAAGCTTACAGACAAGACGAAAAGAAGCCCGACTTATTGTTAATGCTCTTTTGTTCCGATGTTGGAAAGTTCCGGGCGGAAAGAACTAACTAGCCGAAAAGTTCCGGAAGAACTTATTAACTAGTTACTTTGTTCTTCCTCTGGTTTAAAAGTTCCACCCGAACAAAGTGACTAGTTGAAAAGTTCCAACGGAACATTTCAACTAGTTGGAAAGTTCCTTTTTGCCAATTGAGTCAAAACCGGAACTAACAAACTAGCCCAAAAGTTCCAACGGAACTTATCAACCAGGCAGAAAGTTCCATTTGGAGAATTGATGCAAAGTAAAAGCGCAACATATTATATTTGAACCTTTCAAAGGGAAACCAAGATACTGATTACAAAAGTCAAAAGGAACTTATCAACTAGCCACAAAGTTCCTCTTTGGCAAATAAGTCAAAACCGGAACTAACAAACTAGCCCAAAAGTTCCAACGGAATTTATCAACCAGTCACAAAGTTCCATTTGGAGAATTGATGCAAAGAACCACATGAGGAGGGGGGTATTCTTCCCTCTCTTGAGGATACTATGAATACTAAATTTGCATGATAATGCAACTTATTCCGTTTTATGTGAGCTATGAAATACAACTTAAATTTTGCATATTTGTCCCCAAAGAAACCCCTTTCAGTGCGTTGGGTATTCTTGTAAATTAATGATTTGCTCTTATATATACTGATACTCATTCTTCCCCCTCTTTCTACAAAAAGGACGAAATATGGTATATTCGGAACGATGTAACTAGTTGTTCTGTTCCGCCAGAACTATTCAACTAGCTACATTGTTCCTGGACTTTTCAACTAGCTACTTTTTTTCGGAACTTTTCGACTGCACTCGGAATAAAACAACTAGTTGGAAAGTTCCGCCGGAACAAAGTAACTGACGGAACATAGTGGCTGTTACATTATCATGTGCTACAAAATAACAAATGACCCAGTAGCAATAAACAAGAGTAAATACCTAAAAAAAAACAACAAGAAGCTCCAGTCGGACAGGACATCATTCGTACCTATTACAGCCAACCACCAAAGATTGTAGGAAATGGTCCTTCTTCGTATTAAAACACCGTCAAGGATTGGAACAAACTGCCCCCAGATATCGCCACAGCAAAGTCTCTTGAGATATTCAAGTCACAAGTGATCCACAACTCTAACTAATCAACTGAATTTCAATTTTTTTTTAACCAGTTTTTAATCATGCGCAACTTGCCCTAATATTCATCATGTTGAATGTGGGTAGTATTTGAAACTAGAAGAAGATGATTTCCTTGATAGAGGGTTGCTGCTTACAAGGAATCTATTGAACCATGGGTTCCAAGTAGTGAAGTTGAAATCATCCCATTGAAAATTTTACGGATGCCGTCAAGAGTTGGTTGACCCTTATCAGTCAGGGGAATTACTGAAATAAGTGATTTTGTAGTTTTACCAAAATTTTGAACATATAGGTTTAGATAATATCTTATTATTAGTAAAATTGGAAAAAAATGAACCTTTTTCTTCTTTTAATTAGCAAGGTTTATGCCTTTGATGCAATCATTTAGCTGTAAATTATATATTTGTTGAAAAAATGCTATAATGAAGGCTTTACATAATGAACTGATACTTCTTAACAGATTTTTCCCAGCAGTGGGAGTAATTTTCCTTTAAAATTCAAGGTTTCATCTTACAGATTATGTAATAAAATTTTACTGTTTGCGATCAAAATTTCACTGTTCAGGAGTGTTGAAATTAGTGGGGGTAATTAAAATAATAATACTTAAAGAAGTGATTTTTTGGAAGAAAATAGAGGTACATGTATGATACTTAAACAAGTGATTTTCATGTCATTATCCCAGATTCAGTACAAGATCATCACCTGACATGACCGGTCATCCTATCAACACAGATGTTGGTTCTGATAATTTTAGCAACATAATTAGTCCCTGGATCATTAGTATTGTATATTTAAAGCTACAATAAAATTAAATCACTTAATCTAGTGATTTGTTTGTACTACTTAAATAGGTGATTATTAAAGAAAGACAACTCTTACTTCCAACATTTGTGGACAAAATGTTACTCGATTCAGTGATTTAAAAATCACTCATTTAAGTAAGTCCCCTGACTGCTTATGGAATATCTGTTTGACAGATGACGACGGATATGTTCCAATTGTCATCACCATAATCCTGTTCTCTTTTCTTTCCTCACATGTGATCTCCCGAATTAGACTTATTACTTGGTTTGTAATTGCATGAACAACACAACGGGTGCCACATGTGCAGCAGGATCTGCCTACCCTCCCGGAGCACCTGAGAATACTCTTGGTTTTTGGTGGGGTTTTTGTTGCTCAGTCTCTATTTTTGGTGGAAGAAACTTTCAAGTCTCTTCAGAAATCCTATACTGCCGGCTGTCTCAAGTCTGAAATCATTGAACCGTTACCAGGAGTGTTGCTGTATCCTTTCTGTGCTTTATAATTTTATAACTTCCATGCCTTATCTGGACACTGATTTGTACACATGATTGGTTACAAGTTTGTAAAAAATAGCGTCTGCATCATATTAAACAAATATGTAGAGTCAATTACTGGTATAATTGCTTCCATCAAGTTGACCATGGCATGCTGAGACAAATGTATGAAATTATAGAAAATTTAATTTGAATCAACAGTATTTGTAGATTTTTATGTTTAGTTTAGTCAGTTTTGGTGGAGACATGAGTATTAATTAAAGTATGTTATTTTTGGAAGAAAAAATATGTCGATAGCAATAATGGCACAGAGCAGGCTGGGTTGGTTTGGTCTGCTTCATGGTAATTCAAGTTATCCTTTTATGTATCTTCTTCCACCTTAGAGCTATCAGCTCTTTGATTTTTTTGTTGTGTTTTGTGTACTGTTTTTCTTTCCGTTGTTTTTAGTTTTTTTCCATGGCTTTGTCAGTTTGTTTTTGATTTATGATTTTGAACATCCCATTGGTATCTTTCGTTTCTCTTTACTGTACTATATCTTGGTCCAAGCTATTGGATCAAAGAATTTTATCAGCAATGTCTCGAAAGAGTTCTGATCAGATATAAGCTCTTATCAGTTATTCTTACTGGAGTTACATTTTGTACATGCATGTCCCTTAAACTAGTCTACCATCCCAACTACAAGCTCCACTCTGAAAGAAATGGTTGGAGCCATTGTTGTCTTGAGATTAATTCCACTTTTCAGAATCTAAAGGATTATGGGTAATCTCCTTTTTTGTACATCAAAATGATGTTTTTTTTGCAGGAAATTGTACATTGCGATTATTAAATCAAAATAAATAATTGTGTTAGTTAAATACGTGTAGTATGAGAGATGGAAAACAGTTTTATCAAAAACCAAAGGAATAAATCTTGAACTTCATACTATTTAACTAACACAATTATTTGTTTTGATTTAATAATCGCAATGTACAATAAGCTGCAAAAATTTCTTAACAGCATCCGATTTTTACCTGGATGGCTGCATGCGCCTGATGAATTAAGCTAATTTGTTGAGCGAAATATTGCGTGAATATATATTAAGTATAACTACTATTTTTATAACAATCATAAGCGTGTTAAAGTTACATTCTTAGGCATTTATATATATATATATATATATACAAATGTATATAAACATTGACAATGTTTACTTAGAAAAATGAAGTATCCTTTACCATTTTCCATGGGATATGCTCATCACATTGCAAAGTTAGATGTAATTTATATTTAAGACTTAACAGAGTGAAAAGTCTTAGCATTTAAAAGAGAAATACACAAATAGAAAATAATGTTTAATGCCTTAGATCATGATGTGTTGTTCTGTCAAATATTTACTGATTATTTAGATCTTTTGTACATTTAACTTCAAAAGATCTAAGCCATCACAACAGGCGGCCAGTTTATATGTCCATTTGAATTGGAAATATATGGAAAATTGCTTTGTAAGCACTCTTAAGCCAACATGTACTTTTCTTGTCTGATGTTTTTATACGACTGCAAAAATTTTGCGGTCATTTATTTGTATCACGTCGTTGTCGTCCGAAGACATTTGGTTTCCGGACAATAACTTTAGTATTAGTAAATAGAAATCTATGAAATTTAAACATAAGGTTTATAACCACAAAAGGAAGGTTGGGATTGATTTTGGGGGTTATGGTTCCAACAGTTTAGGAATTAGGGGCCAAAAAGGGGCCCAAATAAGCATTTTTCTAGTTTCATGACAATAACTTGTGGAACAGTGTATGGATCTCTCTGAAATTATACCACAAGTTTCCATACCACAAAGAGATGGTTAGGATTGGCTTTGGGGGGTTATGGCTCAAACCGTTTAGGAATTAGGGGCAAAAAAGTGGGAAAAAACAAGGGTGTCCTGGTTAATGGACAATTACTTCAGTACAAATTACAGTGTAAGGGAGGTAATTCAAACACAACTTTGAATTACCTCCCTTACACTGCTTTTAAATTATGTATAAAGAATTTTTGTATTGTCTTGAGGTGATTAGCTGTCAATTCATTTTTAGAAGTTACCATTTTAATAATTTTAAAAATGCTGATTAAGGTAAATTAATTTTACCTATGATTTTTATGTCATTTTCTATTTTAAGACTTTCATGATGTTTTTAAATGGGTTATTATGATTGCAAACTCCATTGGAAATTTGAATTGAAATTATGACCATGACTGAGGGAAAGAATTTTCTTTTTGGAAAAAGGGGGTGGGGGTGGGGAGGTTAAAAAAAATTGGGGAGGGGGGGACAATTTTTCTCCTCAAGATTTCAGAAATCAAAAAAATCCTTCAAATTTATCAGCAATTTCTTGGACCAGTTGAAATCAGTGCACATCATTCAACTATTTTTACAGGAGCTATGTTCTTTTGATTGATTAATTGTTGTTTGCTTTACACCCAGTGGCAAATACATGTATTTCATGCTTTACACCCAGTGGCAAATACATGTATTTCATGCTTTACACCCAGTGGCAAATACATGTATTTCATGCATGTTCAGGATGATGTTTTTCTGAAATGTTATTCTAAATGGAAAATTTTGAATTGTAAGCACTCTCATGCCTACATTTCTTGTCAGATTTAAAAAAAAAATATATCAGCAAGGTCTTTAATGAGATGATAATCAGTACTTCTCAATTAATTTTTGGGTCTTATGCCCCTTGGAAATAGAAATTTTATGGAATATTTTATTTTTAAGCGATCTCATGTCCACAATCCTTGTAGGATATTTTTTTTCAAAAATTGAAGAACCTAAAAAAATATAATGGATGTTTTGTGACATTGGAAGTTATTGCATTGAATTTGATTGGGCTGCTATACTATTTAATAAAAAAAAATGATTTGCCTTTTTACCCAAAAGGTTAACATTTTGAAGAAGAGATAACATACCACCATCTTCTTCGTCTATTTTTTTGTGATATAGTCCACATCATGTTTTCATTTAAGGATTTCCTTGATAGTGTTTCGTTATTCATGCATGAAGCTGTTGAACAAAGAGCTCCCAGTGTAAAGTTGAAGTCATTACTTTGAAACATAATGACTTTGTTCCATCAACGATGACCTCAGATATGTAACAATATACAATAACTGAGACAACCTAATTACCAATAATTGTTCAAGAATAGCCTAAAATTTTGAATACACTGTAGATAATAGATAATAAGATTGAAGATAACTTTTGCTTTTATTTTTCACCTAAACCAACAAAATTTTAAATCCTTAAATATACATAGACCAATAATTATATTACAGTTCCTTTAACAAGGGAAGGACAAGTGTGGAAAATTTGTTGATTTTAATTCTGAGGAAATAAACTCTTAACAATTGATGTTTGAAATATATAAATATATATATATATTTTTATTTATTTTCAGGCTTCAGATGAAAATTCCTTGCAAGCCTTGGAAGGGCTTATGAATGAATTCTTTGCTGGCCAAACAACTAATGAAAGGAAAAGAGAAATTGGTATAAAATTATATATATTACTAATATATAATTTTTCATCTTTTATTTTCATTTAATTTCTCCACAGGTGTCTTTAATATATTTTCATATAACTTGCATTCATGTGTTGCCATTTTTGACTGCCATATACATGTATGACTACAATGGTTTAATAATCATCATTGCCTGCAGACACTGTTGTTTCTTCGTAATAACTTTTTAAAAGATGAACAATATGAATACAATGTTCCTTGGCCAAAAAGCAAAGGCTAACTAGTTTCTAAACAATGGCCACAAGGAAATAAAAAAACATTTTTTGATAGTCTTACCTGTTAACAAATGGTGTGAAGAGTGATACAGATTCTACTCATCCAGCATCACTGTCAACTCTGAATATTATTAAATTTTCTAATAAGGTCCATTTAAGAATAAAGACCTTGGATGGATATTATATCATCTACATATTGATTATAGGTGCTGACTTAAGCATTATTGGCGCGAATATAAGACGTAAGCTTTTGCATGAACATTAATGCACCCTAAGTCATGCTTGAATTTTTATTATATAGTTTAAATTGTTTTATTGTTTAAATGAATAATTTTTTTATGAGGTGCATAAAAAAAGAAGTATATTTCAGTGTTGGCGACTTCAATAACTGTTTAAATTTGATAATTATGTCACACATAGGCGAGACATATCTCTGTGTCAACAGTTAATTTATATATAACATTGCATACAAAATAATAGGTTTATCCCCTTAAGGTATAGAACCACTAATTCAGGCCCGGTCGGAAAGAACATACAAGAAAGTAGTACATATTTTAAACAAAATAGTTCCTACGCATAGCTGTATCTTTGTCAATAGTGGAAATATTTGGGTAGTTTTAGTATCAAATGAAAGGTTGGGGACTTGGGATCACTGTAGAACCCTTGTTGAAAGTTTTATTTGAATAATAAAGAAGTATATGAAATTTTAATAGGAGGGCTCATTTGGCCTGTTGATCAGATCAAAAGTTCCTGTTTTTGTACTATCAAACTTCCGGGAACCAGTACGCTCTAATATGCAATTAAAGGTATGTTGATTTTTTCAGCACAAGTCAGCATAAGGTACAGTTTTGACATGAAATAACTGCCACTTTATTTGAACTTAAGAAAAAGTAGCCATTTATGCTTGAAATTGCAGAATTTAACATAGAAAGCAATGGGGCTATGAATTAGTGGTTTTATACCTATTACTGACAGGCATGTGAAATTCTATTTTTAGAAATCATACCCTTTACAGTGAAAATTGGTCACATTTGTAGTCAGAAATCATGTTACATTATTTTTTTCATATAACCATTATGTTAGTGTCAAATTACAGCCCTCAAATTGCTACAATAAGGTATTTTAGCCTTTTTTGGTCATTTAGCATGCACACAGTTAAGATTTTATCTGAAATTAAAATTTTTGGATTATCTAACACTGAAACCAATGAAACTTGTATATTATGACTAGTTTATAGTATAAATATTGTTTTTGGTCAAATTATCTAGTGAGTGTTCATGTTTTATTGTGTTTCTTGGTGAATTATTTATTTCAAGGAAAATTGGTGTATACTTATATAGGAATTCCAAAATCTCACTTGTAATGCATTTTATAACCATTTTAGCAAGTTGTCTAGCTTGGAGATACATAAATTGCTCTTGTTGATCCATGTTTATTCATAAAAGTATGTTTTTTTTTACCAAATCACTCTCCTTTTCCAACATGTAGAAAAAAGGGGGGGATAAAATTATCAATTATATTTTATGTTTGGACCACTGTATTTATATTCAAGGAAGAATCTCTGATAAAAATAAGACATATAGGTAAGAACACTGTTATTTGAGTAGATATTAACAAATCAGAACTGGAAAAAATTGAAAAAGTGTCATATCTGTCACTATTAGTGTCCATATGTAGTTTTCTTTGTTTAACGCATATGTTACTACCAGTCCAATTTGAGCTTGAATTCAGTGATAAAGTGTTTTGACAAAAGCTTTATGTGTTTTTCTATGCTAGAAATAGATCATAGAAGGAAATTAAGTCAAGCAGAAGTCAATATAACAAGTTTGGTGCTGTTATAGGTATAGAACCACTAATTCAGGCCCGGTCGGAAAGAACATACAAGAAAGTAGTACATATTTTAAACAAAATAGTTCCTACGCATAGCTGTATCTTTGTCAATAGTGGAAATATTTGGGTAGTTTTAGTATCAAATGAAAGGTTGGGGACTTGGGATCACTGTAGAACCCTTGTTGAAAGTTTTATTTGAATAATAAAGAAGTATATGAAATTTTAATAGGAGGGCTCATTTGGCCTGTTGATCAGATCAAAAGTTCCTGTTTTTGTACTATCAAACTTCCGGGAACCAGTACGCTCTAATATGCAATTAAAGGTATGTTGATTTTTTCAGCACAAGTCAGCATAAGGTACAGTTTTGACATGAAATAACTGCCACTTTATTTGAACTTAAGAAAAAGTAGCCATTTATGCTTGAAATTGCAGAATTTAACATAGAAAGCAATGGGGCTATGAATTAGTGGTTTTATACCTATTACTGACAGGCATGTGAAATTCTATTTTTAGAAATCATACCCTTTACAGTGAAAATTGGTCACATTTGTAGTCAGAAATCATGTTACATTATTTTTTTCATATAACCATTATGTTAGTGTCAAATTACAGCCCTCAAATTGCTACAATAAGGTATTTTAGCCTTTTTTGGTCATTTAGCATGCACACAGTTAAGATTTTATCTGAAATTAAAATTTTTGGATTATCTAACACTGAAACCAATGAAACTTGTATATTATGACTAGTTTATAGTATAAATATTGTTTTTGGTCAAATTATCTAGTGAGTGTTCATGTTTTATTGTGTTTCTTGGTGAATTATTTATTTCAAGGAAAATTGGTGTATACTTATATAGGAATTCCAAAATCTCACTTGTAATGCATTTTATAACCATTTTAGCAAGTTGTCTAGCTTGGAGATACATAAATTGCTCTTGTTGATCCATGTTTATTCATAAAAGTATGTTTTTTTTTACCAAATCACTCTCCTTTTCCAACATGTAGAAAAAAGGGGGGGATAAAATTATCAATTATATTTTATGTTTGGACCACTGTATTTATATTCAAGGAAGAATCTCTGATAAAAATAAGACATATAGGTAAGAACACTGTTATTTGAGTAGATATTAACAAATCAGAACTGGAAAAAATTGAAAAAGTGTCATATCTGTCACTATTAGTGTCCATATGTAGTTTTCTTTGTTTAACGCATATGTTACTACCAGTCCAATTTGAGCTTGAATTCAGTGATAAAGTGTTTTGACAAAAGCTTTATGTGTTTTTCTATGCTAGAAATAGATCATAGAAGGAAATTAAGTCAAGCAGAAGTCAATATAACAAGTTTGGTGCTGTTATAGGTATAGAACCACTAATTCAGGCCCGGTCGGAAAGAACATACAAGAAAGTAGTACATATTTTAAACAAAATAGTTCCTACGCATAGCTGTATCTTTGTCAATAGTGGAAATATTTGGGTAGTTTTAGTATCAAATGAAAGGTTGGGGACTTGGGATCACTGTAGAACCCTTGTTGAAAGTTTTATTTGAATAATAAAGAAGTATATGAAATTTTAATAGGAGGGCTCATTTGGCCTGTTGATCAGATCAAAAGTTCCTGTTTTTGTACTATCAAACTTCCGGGAACCAGTACGCTCTAATATGCAATTAAAGGTATGTTGATTTTTTCAGCACAAGTCAGCATAAGGTACAGTTTTGACATGAAATAACTGCCACTTTATTTGAACTTAAGAAAAAGTAGCCATTTATGCTTGAAATTGCAGAATTTAACATAGAAAGCAATGGGGCTATGAATTAGTGGTTTTATACCTTAATCATGCTTTAATAACTTTGAAATGTTTACCACCAACATTTTCCTTAAGCAAAGACAATGATTTTAAAATTTTATCTGACTTTTTAGAAGTGCTAGAAAAACCTGTGTCTTTCTCATTTATAGCTATGTAAAAATCAAAATGTTTTATGAGTTATCTTTGTACATATACTAATATTATTATGTAAAAACTGATATTTTATACTTTCAGAAACAATTCTAAACAGTTTTTGTCAGACAAGAGATGCTTGGAGACATAGTTTATACTTCCTTGCCAATACACAGAATGAATATGTTATGATGTTTTGTATGACAGCAATGGAGGTATTTATAGTTTATCTTATTGTTAGTCATAGAATTGAGAATGGAAACAGGGAATGTGTCAAAGAGAAAACAACCTGACCAAAGAGCAGAAAACAGTCCAAGGCCACCAATGGGTCTTCAACGCAGCAGGAAAATCCTGCACCTGGATGCAGCCACAGCTGGCCCCTTAACAGTAATGTATACTAGTTCAGCCAAATGGACGCCACACTAAACTCCGAACATATACTGTAAATTCAGAAATTATTGCATGCATTTATTATTGCGAATTTTGAAGAATGGACTCAAATGAGAGATTAATTATTGCGAATTCTGGAAAATATGCATACAGTTATATGTATCAGATATCAGAATGCAAGTTTTTATTCTTGCGATATTCATTCAGTCACATTATTCGCATTAATGAAAACCTCTCAATAATTTCTGAATTTACAGTAAATGAACTACAATTAGAAAACACACAAGACTAAAAAGGCTAGAGGTTGTTGACAGGCGCAAAAATGCGGCAGGGTTAAACCTGTTTTGTGAGATCTCAACCCTCCCACCTATACCTCTCACCAATGTGGAATAAGCAAACACACAGTAATGCGCACAGTAAAACTCAGTTTAAAAGAAGTCTGAGTCCGATGTTGGAATAGGTAACAGAAGAGACTAAGCAAAATGATAATGCTTGTGAAAAAGCAGATGTAGAACTTTTCTACCAATGTATGTTGTTTGTCCATCCATCTATTACATAGACGACTAATACAAAGAATTACAAGACTAGATTCATATTTTTTAAATAATTACACAAATATAATACCCTTTATCTCTTTTAATTGATGATTTTTTGAATGATAAGATATTTAGACAGGATGTGTTTAATTGTAAAACACATTCTGGTGTTTACTTTCGGAGTTTATTAATGAGATAGATTTTTATAATTATTTAAACCATACTGCTACTTTTTTTTAACAACACTTGTATATTGCTGAGTATGCTTAGAAGAAGAAAATAGTTCCTTAAACATTGTTACTCAAAAACGTTTTTTATATTTCTGTAATGCTGATTTTTTCCCATTTTTATTTGAGAGGTAATGCAAAATGTTAGCTTTAACTAGTTTTAAGATAAAGCATTAAAAATTTCAGAAGGCTTTGTAATGTTTGATATTTGCTTAGTTAACTCAACCATGTGCACTGTATAAAAATAACCTTCATGGTCTAGTTAATCACTTTTACAATATTTTATATTAAAATTAAGTTAGCACAAGTAACATTATATTCAAGCTTGATGAAAAAAGTATGATGCAATTGTTAAGAAATTAATTTAAACATGTTTGCCTATTGTAGGATAGGTAGATAATTAGATCTGTATCAATCCACTGAAAGTTGGGTAGTGACTTATATGTTTAGGAAAAAATAAAATTCAGTATTTTTTTAATGGTTTTTTTAATCCATTGGTTGTTTTCCTATTTGTAAAGACAACAAATTTGTCGGAAGCCTATCAAAATTAATTTGGTTTTCTTTTCATTTTTCTGTTAAATATGCTTATGCTTTGGTAACAATATAACTTAATCCTTCATTCATTTGAGGATATTTTTTTGGATTAATCAGTTTCTTATACTTACACATATTATTATCTTTTAGAACATGATAAATAGACAGTGGATTGGTCTGAGTGCAGAAGACAAATTAGTGATTAGATCAACCTTAAACCAGTTTTTACTTGAACATCATACGAAGGTTCCAAATTATATACGAAACAAACTGGTGAAAGTAATAGCAGATATAGGACGTATTGACTGGCCACATTTCTATCCAGACTTCTTGTCAAACATTTTACAGGTTTGTATTGTGTTTAAGAAGATGATGTTATATGATTACAGATGAGAAATATATCCACCCAGAGACCAAATGGTGTAGATGATAGCATCTATTGGTCACTGTAAGGCCTTCCACAATGGGAAAACCCCATGTTGTATAGTAATCTTAATTTATCATTCACAATTTATTGAAAAAAATCTGTTGCCAAGTGAATGATAGTTCATTGTTCACTGTATTACAAAGTCTGCACTATAGTGAATAAAGAACAAAGTTGTTATTTCATTTAATATTATTTTGCTTATTTGAGATATCAGATACAAAAGAATGAAAAATAAAAAAAGGCTAAACTCTTTTGATGGAAATAACTTGCTAGGAAACATATGCATTGGATTAAATGATTTTGAAAATAAGCTGAAGATCATTAATCGTTGTTACCGCCACAATATACTCCAAGTGCATCAAAGAGTCGGGTATATATAAAGAAAATTCACCAGACAATCATCTGTTTGTCTGTCCATCAAAATTAAAATTTGGTTTCAAAATGATAATAACAGTACTGCTTTGGAAATTTGAACACAATTTCAAGGACCATAAAATACATTGTACAAGTTTGATTTTGATTTGGGTTTATATATACATTTACCGTTGAAGAGTTATATCCCTTAGTTTTAAGAATTACTTTAAAAACAGGATTTTTCCAGGTTATAGTTAAAGTACTCATTAACAAAATCTTTTTAGATGTTAACACAATATTATGAACCATAAAATACATGTGAAGTTTGATTTTGGCATTTACCTTTCAAGAGTAATGTCCCTAACTATCTTTAAATTGGATTTATTGTTTTGTTTCTGGATACTAAAGTACCACATGACAGAATTTTTAACATCTTTGACTGTGATGTACAGGTCAAGTTCCATTTTGCTAGTGGAATTTACAGTTTTTCTGTGGACAGGGATATCATTGATCACTTGGTGACCTAATTCTAGTTTTGAAATAGAGAAAAAAGAAATGCAAGCATTGTTGTCCAAGTTTTTGAATGCAATGCTTAGAAGAAAATTCACCAGGGTTTAAAAAATTATTAAACTATGAACAGCAAAGATCCTTTATGAAACCATTCTTTTGTGCCTTAATTATTGTCTTTTTTATTTCACATATGTTAACCCTTATTAATTAACACTTTATAACTTTAATTATATATTTCAGTTGACATCCCAAACAGACACTGTATTGTTAGGAGTGATAATACTACAGACTGTATCAGAAGAATTAGCAACACCAAGAGAAGATCTGAGTATGGCTAGGAAGGAAGAATTACAACGTCTACTGATAATTCAAGTGCCAAATATACTTAGTCTTATTAACAGTAAGATTTAATAGAGACTGCTGATACTGTTTAAGTTTTAGAGCTATTGATTGTCAATGATGTAGATTTTTGCATGATCCAATTAGGAATTATATGTTTCATATTTTTCCCATCACTTGGCATCCGTTATTGTCGTCCGTTAACTTTTTTCAAAGATCATCTCCTCTAAAACTACTGGGCCAAATTTAACCAAACTTATCCACAATAACCAATGGGGTATCTTATTTAAAAATGTGTCTGATGACCCCGTCTGCCAACAAAAATGGCTGACATGGCTAAAAAAAGAACATAGGGTTAAAATTCCATTTTTGTCTATTTTGAAAACTGCATCTGACAGGTGATAAAATGTTAATAATGATGAGCTCTACCTATTGACTATTGATATAAAAACTATCAGACGACTTCGTATAGGAGTTACTGTCCTTTTACCAATTTTTAAAATTTTTTCTTATTAAATTGAAACTATAATTATTAAATAGAAACTTCAAATAGCAAAAATGATAAGCAAGACAACATTGACATATAAGTTTGCATGACCGAAATAATAAGTCGACCCCTTATTGAAGTTATTGCCCTTTAATGATGATTTTTTGGCATTTTTTGCCTATTTCTTGAAAATTATAATAGACATACATGTATAGAAATTTCTAAAAGCAAAAATGGTCAACAAGACAAGATATACAAATAAGACATCATGGATTTTTGCCTATTATCTTGAAAACTATAATAGATACATAAAAACTTTAAAAAAGGAAAATAATCAGCAGGATAAGATCTATAAATATTTAAAACATGGCTTAAATTGTCAGTTAACTCTTAATAGAGTTATTCCCCTATATTGATGATTTTTACTAAAAAATGGCCATTGTGGACGATGCAGGTGACCATCTCTGTAGAAATACAAATGTATAGTAATACAAAGTCTCTCCCTCCATTGCCAATGAGTAACAATTTTTTTCCACTTGAGAAAGTCGACATATAAGCCATAAGAGAGCATGTTTAAATCTTAAATTTAACTATTGGGAGATGAGAAATATTTACATGTAGTTCATAAAATAAACAGTTGGAACATTTGTTTCTCCTGTTTATTTTTCTGTCTTTCTTGTGTAAAATCCCATTATCAGTTAGGACAACAATAGCACCACTGTCTACAAAGCTTACACTTACATGACATCATAATAATAAGCTTCCAATCATAGCACCTAGAATTACCTGTAAATTTTGTATAAGACAATTTAAAATGCACCTTCATGTAAATTAAATTAAGTCATTTTCAAAAAGCTTTTGTATGGCTTAATTAACATAATTATAGGTACACAATTTAAGTTGTAAATTTACTTCTAATTTAGTCCCAAACTATTAGTACTTGCAATCTGTAACAATGCTTTTGTCTTATTTCAGATATATTAGAATCTGTTTTGGAGAAACACCGACACTTGGTGGCTGCTACACCTCCACCCTCTCCAACATCAGGAGAACGAACAACTCATAGAGGATTGGAATCTTCAATGTTACTGATTTCATCTTCACCATCAGGTATATTTTCTGTTTAAAGGTAGATGGGGGTCTAATTTAAAATCGTTAAAAGATGTTTAAACATTTTATCTGTCAAAGCAAATAATCTTTCAGACTTGATTATTTAGTTTTATTTCTAAAACATGGTTGAAATCAGAAGATTTCGTCAACTTTAACCAAAATCTTTATTTAAGGTGTAAATGTCAATGCTTTATCAGACAAGATCAACAAAAATTGTTTTTCTGTTTCACCTTGTGACATATTTACGCACACCTTGAAGAATTTTCATTTTGAAATAATAGACATACTATTGGGGCCTCAATTTGGGTGAAAAATATGGCCATCACTTCCTTATTGAAATATGCAACCTTATGAAAATCGGAAAATTCAATATAAGCAACAGTAAGAGCAGCTACTAATACACATATGGTCTTCTGTTAGATGTGATATATTCTATCTGAATTGTCTTGAGTTGTTTCCCTTGATTACTGGTTTGTTTGATTAATTTTATTGACAATTTTATCTTTTATTGATGGCATTTTTTTACTTATACTTGGCATTGGTTTACTGTAGAACTGTATTACTGATAAAATTATATACAATGAAAATACAATGAATACTTTTGAATTGCATTACAAACAATATTGTAAGTAAAAATGAAGACCTTTCTCATTTAGTTAAATGAACATAAGACAGGAGTGTGTAACTTTTTAATAGAATGAATCTGTATTAAGAGAATGCTTGTAGTTTTGTATTAAACAAGTAGGGAGTTTCTTTCATGTTTATGCAAAGCGAAATAAGCTTTCCTAGATCTTCAACATGATAAGGATAAAATGCACAGCTCAGTGTGTATATCAATTTATACTTGGGTTCATGCAATCCCAAAAATGTTTTTGATTGTATCAGAAATTTATTCAAGGACTGATGCTGGAGAAATGATACATATTAATGGTCAGATTTTTTTATTTTTTCCAGATACCATCCTTAGTAACATGTTCAAGTCACCTGGTCGTCATGTCCAAGTAGAAGCATTGCCACCTTTGGATGATCAGTCTAAACTTTTATGTACACATGCATTGACAACATTATCACAATATTTTAGTTGGATTCCTCTGTCTTCAACAATAACGCCACAATTATTAAGTACTATATTTCATTTTGCTGGTTTTGGTTGTGAAACAAAATCGTCTTCCTCATCATCCACCTTTAACACTAATACTCAATCTTTAGGAATTTTAGCAATGAATTGCATCAATGAATTATTGTCTAAAAACTGTGTTCCTGTAGAATTTGAAGACTTTCTGTTACAAATGTTTCAACAGACATTTTATCTTCTACAAAAGTTGACAAAGGACAGTAGTACAAATTCAACTGGAAATCGATTGTCTGAAATTGATGAAGGGTAGGTTGATATATTATATTATCATATACTTAGAGTAAATAACTTATAATTTTTACAGTATGATAATAGCATTAGATTTACGTGAATTTCACATAAGCGGGCTGATATGAAAAATTTATCAACTGCTTCCGGTTATTATCGCATGCCTTTCCGTAACGTTATCGCATGGCATTCCGGTGTTACTCAGCAAATTCCAGAAGTTACACCGCAATGGTAAGTTTTCAGTGAAAAATATAACAAAGTAGGGTACAAAACAAATTATAGGAAACAGGAAAATATATTATGTAAAATGCAAAACAAATGATACAATAAATACATTTTTCTAAGTTCCAGCATCATTTAGCAAGTTACTTTACAAATGTTGACTTTTCACTTGAACTTCTACTTGAGAACCACTTAAAAGGATCAATATATTAAACTGTTATTTTTCTACATTGTTGAAGCATATGATAAAAAGATCATAACATGGCATTTTTCATATTAGATGTATTATCAGCCCTAGGCTCTTGGGCTGATATTGAACCTTGGGCTGATAATACATCTGGTATGAAAAATGCAATGTAATAATCTGATGTTACGCATGTTGAGTAAAACACAACATTTAGTGTTGTTATCTCATTGATTTTATATTTTTAAGAAAGGTATGAAAATATACACCACATTATTATTTAGAAATATTATCTATATTTATTTTGCTGGTCTTCATTAAATATTTACTTGCAAAAAAAAGCAAAATTAACTCACCACCAAAATTCCTTATCTATACATTACTAGCAAACATCAATATACAGAAAAAATATGCAAATTTCGTTTGAATATTGATTAAATCTTATAAACAGATTAATATTTCATGACATATGTTTCACTTATTCTTTGATAATGTATACCGTTACTTTTATGAACTGTTGATAAATTTTTTGATCAAAGTCCAGGTTATTTTTTTAGCTCTTTATTGATCAAAATCTAATAACGATGTTAAAATCTTTTCATTTCTCTGTTTTTGCCATTGTTACCTCATATAAATTTGCAACTGTGACTGGTGATATTACATAGAAAGAAAACATTTTCCCCAGATCACTAGAAAAGAATGTCGTAGTTTGTGTACTTGCATAAGATTATTAGAGAAACATATTCTATTACAGTATTTAATGTGATCACTTTTTAACACTCAACTACTTAATTTCATATATTGAAAATGCTTGGCAAGCCTTGTTTTTTGGTTTTGTTTTTTTTTAATTTTGAAGTTGGGATGGAAACATGTTTTATCTCTGCAGATGCACTGATGGAAACTATATTTACGTCACGTTCCAGTTTGATTTATTATAGAATTGTTTGGCAATAATTTTGATGCAAACAATATTTTCTATGGTTAATCTAGATGATAGAAACGTGGAAAGCTAAATACATTGTAGAAATTTGGCTCTATCTATAAGGACCTAAATAGAACAAACAAAAGTTTATAAAGAAAGACTTTGCCTTTATTTTAGGAAGGGCCTGTTATGTTTTTTTTACCTTCTGGAGTTGGTTTCCCAAAAAACCTACAACTAAGATAGATCGTAAGTTATGGACATATCAGTATACTTAAGATCAATCTTAGTCCTAAGTTTTTTTTGTGAAACTGACTCCTGTTTCTTGGAAACAAGACAATAATTTGTAACTTCTTTTAATTTTCAGATATTTAGAGAAATTTACAGATTTTTTAAAGTTGTTTGTTAGTATACATCTAAGACGTTTTGAAAGTAATCCCAAATTTTCTGTGATGGAATTTTTAGCTTTGTTCCTTAAATACACTTTTAGACAAGTAAGTTGTATTTTATTTTGCATGCAGTTTTGATGTGTACATGATCCTGTTGGATTTGTCCTATATAAAGAATGCACCAAAATGAGTTTCCATAATTAATTCTAGATAAGTTTTTATGATTGATGATGCAGGAAATTTATGTTAGTTGAAAGCATTTTACCCAAGATAAATACAGAATGAAATAAATGATCCAACCTCAGAAAATCCATGAAACATGAAAGGAGCATTGGAATTATGATTAAATGATGAAAGTTATTCACTCATATCTTTTTATGAAATTAATTATAAATATGTCTTCAATGTTAACCATATTGAAACAGGAAAACATGGTGCAACTCACAACCTCAGATAAGTCAAATAGTTGCATTTGGTCCCATAGACTTTGACTTATTGAGGTTTGACTTCACATAATTTGTTTTAACTCATAGGTAATTTTGGAGAAACATTTAACCATAACATATTATATATGTAACTGCTATGAATCTTAAAATTTCCATACTACCTTTAAGGTGTACTTTTGTGGAGGTGCTGATAAACAAAATTGATATACTACCTTTAAGGTGTACTTTTGTGGAGGTGCTGATAAACAAAATTGCTATACTACCTTTAAGGTGTACTTTTGTGGAGGTGCTGATAAACAAAATTGCTATACTACCTTTAAGGTGTACTTTTGTGGAGGTGCTGATAAACAAAATTGCTTTACTACCTTTAAGGTGTACTTTTATGGAGGTGCTGATAAACAAAATTCCTATCAATAAAATTCAATGATTATACAAACTATTTTCAGCCAACTTTTGATGGATATTATAATTGTTTAGATACTTGGAATACATTCCTTGATTTTATCCACACAAAGGAAAGAACTGCTGAATGGAAATCAATTATAACAAGGTATACTATTTTTCTGTTGTTTATCTTTTGAAAATAAGCATTGTAGAAGTTCATATGAAAAATTTAATATGTGGAGGGAAAATCTGGCAATTTAGAGCTTCACAAGGACATATGTCTATTATTGAAAACATCGGTGATGACAGCTAAATGTTTCTTATATTGCATGGTGTTGTTTAGTTGATGTCTAATTGATGTATACACAACATCTCCTTATTTGTAATTTTTTATTCATCATAATTCAAAACAAAAGCATTTTAACACACTTTTTTTCTATATTCTGTGTAGAAAGTTTTCCTGGAAATGCATGAATAGTAATCTTAATGTTTTTTGTTATTTGATGTTGATGGCAGACCTTCTCTGTAAACTTTTTGACTGGGTAATTTAGAGCTTGACAAAAACACCTGTTGATTTTTGAAAACTATGTTGACCTCTAGATTTTTTTGTAAATTATTTGTATAATTGGGGACTGTCTCTTTGGCATATACCCAACATATCCATTTATGCATCATTATGGAAAACATTATCAAGAATTTAGAGCATCACATTTAAATGTAATTTACCAAATTGCTGTTGTTGATATCAGATCTTATCATTGTAATCAGTAATTTACGAAATAGGTATGGTTATGTAACAGTGGTTTGATTCCGCCAGTGTACTTTATCCGGAGGAAGAAAATCCCCAGTGATTTTTATCTACCAACAAAAATTCACTAGGTTTTTCTATCCGGGTCCAGTGTAAAACATCCACCAGTCATTATAAGGTTCTAAAAAGGGTTTTTTGAAGGGGAAACATGTATAAAATGTAGCTTTATATTTTTTAGTGTATTTAAAACTTGCATAGTTGATTTATGTAAAAAGTGGAGAGTTTTCATCCAAGGAATGTTCACACTAGTGTTTTAAACAAGGAATGATTACACTAGTGATTTTGTACCGGAATGATTGCACTAGTTATTTTATACCGGGATTAATTACACTAGTGCTTGAAATCCATACATTGATGAAGTGATTAGTACTCATTTTGAACACACAAAAACACAATAAAGCTTATTAAAGAATAAGATTTAAATAATTTTTTGTCGATCCTGCGACTTTTGTCGCAGAAAGCTCGACATAGGGATAGTGATCCGGAGGCGGCGGCGGCGCTAGCTAACTTCTTAAAAGCTTTATATTTTAGAAGGTGGAAGACCTGGATGCTTCATACTTTGTATATGGATGCCTCATGTTACAAAGTTTCCGTCAGTCACATGTCCAATGCCCTTGACCTCATTTTCATGGTTCAGTGACTACTTGAAAAAAAAGTTAAGATTTTTTGTAATTTTAAATTCTCTCTTATTATAAGTAATAGGATAACTATATTTGGTATGTGCGTACCTTGCAAGGTCCTCATGCCCGTCAGACAGTTTTCACTTGACCTCGACCTCATTTCATGGATCAGTAAACAAGGTTAAGTAAAAAAAAAAAAAAAAAAAAAGTTTTGGTGGTCAAGTCCATATATGAGATACTATAAGCAATAGGTCTAGTATATTTGGTGTATGGAAGGACTGTAAGGTGTACATGTCCAACTGGCAGGTGTCATCCGACCTTGACCTCATTTTCATGGTTCAGTGGTTATAGTTAAGTTTTTGTGTTTTGGTCTGTTTTTCTTATACTGTATGCAATAGGTCTACTATATTTGGTGTATGGAATGATTGTAAGGTGTACATGTCTAGCTGGCAGGTGTCATCTGACCTTGACCTCATTTTCATGGTTCAATGGTCAAAGTTAAGTTTTTGAGTTTTGGTCTTTTTTTCTAATACTATACATGCTATATGCAATAGGTCAACTATATTTGGTGTATTGAAATATTGTACTATATGTCAGTCGCGCAGGTTTTATTTGACCTTGACCTCATTTTCACGGTTCATTGCTCAGTGTTAAGTTTTTGTGTTTTGGTCTGTCTTTCTTAAACTATAAGCAATAGGTCAACTATATTTGTTGTATGGAAGAATTGTTAGCTGTACATGCCTGCCTGACATGGTTCATCTGACCTTGACCTCATTTTCATTGTTCATTGGTCAATGTTTAGTTTTCTTGGTTAATGTTAAGTTTATGTGACAGTTGTAATAAAGCTTTACATTTAGGACTATCAACATAATATCAATGATTAGTAAAGAAGGCGAGACATTTCAGCGTGTGCACTCTTGTCTATGCAAATCTATAAAATCATATGCTTTTAAATTGTCACTAATTGTAATATTTATATTTATTGGAATGCCGAAGTTTTTCTGTGTATTTGCTTTTCGGTCGACTTGGATATAAAATCATATCTTCTATGTCAATATCAAAGGGTGCTTCTATATTTGAAACTTTATGTAAGAACAAATCTGCTCTTTAAATTTGGTTTATATCAAGTTCAATGTCCTGGTCATTGATAAAGTATTTTGAGTTATAAAAACATCCTCCTCATTATCATCAATATTATTTACTAGATTGACTCAGATTATTTAAACTGGTTCCTTGAAAATCATTTTAATTTTAACCCATTTATTTATGTAAACAATAAACCGGTCTAATATAAACAAAACAACAATATCAAGTTCGATGCTTTCACACTATTTACATCCAATATTCTCTAGTGAAAAACAGTTACCCGGAATAAATACACGGCGGAATGAAAGTACGCTTACAATATACCATAGTCTAATTTGATTGTAGATATCAAGAAGCTTTACTGACTCTAGTATCCCATATTTTACATAAGTTACAGTTTAAATATAACCAGTCACAGTTGGAGGAGCTAGATGATGATATACTGGATGATGATGTAAGTTTAACATATGTTCACCGACTTATGGCAATGTTCTTTTCTATAAGAGATAGTGGATGAAGATGCAAGTTTAAAAAATTGTTCACCAACTTATGGCAATGTTCTCTTCTTTAATATTGTCATATATTATGTTTTTAAGATAGCCAAAGGTAATTCACCTCTTTCGAATTGAAAGGACTATGGGTAATCTCATTGTTCGTACACCAAAATGAAAATAACGTTACGTTAATGGTTGAATGTCCATTGTTTACTACCTTTTTAACCAATCACAACATTTTGTTGTACGCTTTTGAAAATATTAACCAGAATGCATTAGATTCTGAGACGGTGAATTTTTCTTTAATTTAAATTGTTATTATATTATTTTTATTAATTTTTTAAACACCACTCTAGGAGCCTGGGCTTTATTGCATCCCCCCTTTCCAACCATCTGTTCATCTGTTTGTCAAATCAATATTTCTATTAAATTAGCCACAGAAACTACTGAACAAAATGATTTCCTATTTGGTCAGCAGTTTGACAAAGATGAGTTGTAAGTTGTGTGTACTTTTTGGATCTGTCATACACCTACTTCCTGTTTGCCAATACTTTGAAGTTTTAAAAGGCTGATTTATATTGAAAAAAATTGTCACACATTTCTCCCATTACTACTAAACAGATTTATCTCATGTTTGGTCAGCAGCTTGACAGTGATGAGTTGTTTAGTGTGAGAGCTTTTTGGATCTGTTGTCCGAAAAAATTTGAATTACAAGTGAGGGTTTGCTTAGCATGGCAACATTTGCATTTTTGTTATTTCTAGAACAAAGATTTGATGCTTTGGCAATGTAACAAGTTTCACTTCATGTCAATTTGCACATACAGTCAAACCTGCCTTAATGGTCACCTCGTTTCAGCGGTCACCTGCCTCCTACGGTCACTTTCAGATCCTCCCAAACGCTTTCTCTTTATAATTTAACTCAAATCAGTGGTCACCTGTCTAACGCGGTCAGCAGTCACCTAATTTTTTATGGAAATCTTCATTTCAAATTTTAACCACTGTCATTTCAATGTATTGAATGATAAAAATAATCATGATGAAAGTATTTAGTATGGAAGTCAGAATGAAAATTTGAATCCTTTTGCAACTGAGATTACCCAATATGAGGTGAATTTGTGAATTCCCTGTGTTCCACTCCTTTCCATTCCCATTGAAAACTGTATTACCTACTTATTTCTCCACGAATATTAATATATTTTTAATGTTTTCTTGGAATTTACAGTGCCTGAATTCACCATTTTTAGCTCACCTGGCCCAAAGGGCCAAGTGAGCTTTTCTCGTCACTTGGCATCCGTTGTTCGTCATCTGTCGTCGTCGTCACAATCATCATTAGGGTATCTAGTTTAAAAAAATGTGTCGGATGACCCAGCCAACCAACCAAGATGGCTGCCATGGCTAAAAATAGAACATAGGGGTAAAATGTAGACTTTGGCTTATATCTCTGAAACCAAAGCATTTAGAGTAGATCTGACATAGGTTAAAACTGATTTTCAGGTCAAGATCTATCTGCCCTGAAATTTTCAGACAAATCTGACAACCCGATGTTGGGTTGCTGCCCCTGAATTGGTTATTTTTAGGAAATTTTGCAGTTTTTATATGACCGCAAATTTTGAGGTCCGTATATTGGTATGACGTTGGCGTCGTCGTCGTCTGAAGGAACATTGGTTTTCGCACTCTAACTTTAGTTTAAGTGAATGGATCTCTGTGAAATTTTACCATAAGGTTAAATACCACAAAAGGAAGGTTGGGATTGATTTTGGGGGTTATGGTACCAACATTTAAGGAATTAGGGGCCAAAAAGGGGTCAAAAATAAGCATTTTCTAGTTTCCAGACAATAACTTGTGGAATGGTGTATGGATCTCTCTGAAATTATACCACAAGTTTCCATACCACAAAGGGATGGTTAGGATTTGCTTTGGGGTGTTATGGCTCAAATCGTTTAGGAATTAGGGGCAAAAAAGGGGGAAAACAAGGTTGTCCTGGTTAATGGACAAATACTTTAGTACAAAACATAATTTAAAGCAGTGTAAGGGAGATTAATCAAATACATCATTTGAATTACCTCCCTTATACTGCTTTTAAATTATGTATAAAGTAATGGTTAATGAACAATTAAGACAATTTAAAACAGTGTAAGGGAGGTAATCAAAATACGTTTTGATTACTTCCCATACACTGCTTTTAAATTATGCTTAAAAAAATGCATATTTATAAAGGAAGACCAGTAAAAATATCTGCAAATGTTGCATCTTTGTTTTTTTACAAAAAAATCCATATTTTAAATTCCATTATAAAATAGATTAAGTTAGCACTATGGTAAACTTAATTGGGTAATTATGGTTGCAAACTCCATTGGAAATTTGAATTGAGATTATGACCATATCTTGAGGGAAAGAATTTTTTGGGGGAAAAAGAGGGGGGGGGGGGGTAAAAAGAAATTGTGGGGGGTCAATTTTTTCTCATTTCAGATATCAGAAATTAAAAAGAATTATTCTTCAAATATTATTTTTTTTCAAATTTCAAATATTGAAAAATTTCAAGAAGTAATCTTTAATTGCACAGTATGGCGCATTAGATTTGTAAAATCTTTGACCATATTTATTTATTTGTAATGCCGAATCTGACCGTGTATTTAGATTTTTAATTTTGGGTCCAGTTTTCAATTTGGTCTACATTAAGGTCCAAAGGGTCCAAAATAAAACTTAGTTTGATTTTAACAAAAATTGAATATATGGGGTTCTTTGGTATGCTGAATCTAAACATGTAGTTAGATTTTTGATTTTGGGCCCAGTTTTCAAGTTGGTCCAAATTTGGGTCCAAAATTAAACTTTGTTTGATTTCAACAAAAATTGAATATATGGGGTTCTTTGATATGCTGAATCTAACCATGTATTTAGATTTTTTATTTGTGGGCCCCGCTATCAAATTGGTTCATATTGAGGTCAAAAGGGTCCAAAATTAAACTTTGTTTGATTTCATCAAAAATAGAATTTTTGGGGTTCTTTGATATGCTTAATCTAACTGTGTATTTAGATTTTTAATTTTGGGTCCTGTTTTTAAATTGGTCTATATTAAGGTCCAAAGGGTCCAAAATTAAACTTAGTTTGATTTTAACAAAAATTGAATTCTTGGGGTTCTTTGGTATGCTGAATCTAAACATGTGTTTAGATTTTTGATTATGGGCCCAGTTTTCAAGTTGGTCCAAGTTGGGGTCCAAAATTAAACTTTGTTTGATTTCAACAATAATTGAATATATGGGGTTCTTTGATATGCTGAATCTAACCATGTATTTTGATTTTTGGGCCCCGTTATCAAATTGGTCCACATTGAGGTCAAAAGGGTCCAAAATTAAACTTTGTTTGATTTCATCAAAAATTGAGTTCTTTGGATTCTTTGATATGCTGAATCTAACCATGTATTTAGATTTTGGATATTGGACCATAATAGATAAATTAAAATTTTTTAAGTTCTTAGACCACATTCATTCTGTGTCAGAAACCTATGCTGTGTCAAATATTTAATCACAATCCAAATTCAGATTTGTATCAAGCTTGAATGTTGTGTCCATACTTGCCCCAACTGTTCAGGGTTCGACCTCTGCGGTCATATCAAGCTGCGCCCATAATTGGTTATTATCTTGAATGTTATTATAGATAGAGATAAACTGTAAACAGCAATAATGTTCAGCAAAGTAAGATCTACAAATAAGTTGTCATGACCAAAATTGTCAGTCGACCCCTTTAGGAGTTATTGCCCTTTATAGTCAATTTTTAACAATTTTTCGTAAATTTTTGTAATCTTTTACAAAAATCTTCTTCTCTGAAACTACTGAGACAAATTTAACCATACTTGGCCATAATCATTATTAGGGTATCTAGTTTAAAAAATTTGTCTGATGACTCGCCTTCCAACCATCATGGCCGACATGGTTAAAAATAGAACATAGGGGTAAAATGCAGTTTTTGGTTTATATCTCTGAAACTAAAGCATTTAGAGCAAATCTGACATGTGGCAAAAATGTTCATCAGATTTAGATTGATCTGCCCTGAAATTTTCAGACGAATCAGACAACCCGTTGTTGGGTTGCTGCCCCTGAGTTAGTAATTTTACAGAAATTTTGCAGTTTTTTTGTTATTATCTTAGATATCATTATAATATATAATATCTAATATTATTAATTATGATTTTAACCTTATTTTACATGATTTCCAAAGCATTAGTAAATACAGGTGAGCGACACAGGCTCTTGGGAGCCTCTAGTTTATTTCACTGACGAAAGAACCATAACTCTACCAATTGAAAACACTAGAACAATTTGCCCCATTCCCGGCCACAGGCGATATTGGAATCAGGATTTTTTTTGAAACCTCATTTAAAAGGTCACTTTTCTTGAGCAGTCACTTTCAATACTTCCTAAGAGTGACTGCTTAATACAGCGTTGACTGTATATCTCAGTTTGTCTATTGCTGTTCTTACTGTTATTCCTTTAAATGCTTTTCTTAATTTGTTATTATTATCTTTTATAGTTTACCATACAGGAATGGGTTTTGCACATTTTTTTAAAGTCTGTTCAGTGATCTGTAGTTGTTTCGAATCCTTGTGCTTTGGTCTTTGGTGGATAGTGGTCGCATTGGCATTCATACCACGTCCTCTTTTGTATACTGTCTTGTTTCATATTTATAATTTCTAGACAAATATTAGCAACAAATAGAAAAACCTGCTCTTGTTGAAGGTATATGTATTAGCTTTCTTAGAATTGCTTGGTGTCTTCACATGTTATCGAAGAATTGTTTTCAAGATGAACAACTCCAATATAAAAAGAAATGTTTTTCCTACTTTTATGTATCTGTTTTCTATGTACATTCATACCAAATGTTTTCATACTTTCAACTGATAACTTATTATTGTAGAGTGAAACTGAATGGCAACAGTTCATTAGACAAAGTTTAGAAGTTGTTGCTAAAGTGGCTGAAATGTTAACTGCAGAAACTTTCCAGCTTTTGGTATGTACTTGAAAAAAAAAACATAATATTTTATGTATTTTCAAATTGGTTTCAACCATAAATGGCATGATCATCTTGTACAAACCCCAATAATAATATTGCATATATTATATAATAGGACATGTCATGAGCTTGTTAAAATTTTTCAAGGAAAAATTTGAATGATTTGGGAGACACACAATATTATTTTAAAGTGTAAATTGGAATTTAAAAGATATGTTTTCCTCTAATAACATTTACAATTTATAAAAACATTTTTATGGTTATGTGAAAAACAGAAACAATTTTGCACAAAACTTTACAAATATAATGCCTAGTTAAGGATTCCTAATTAATTTTAAAAGAACCAATGTAATGATTTTATGTTGCATTTAACTGTGCCATGATAAGTGATTGTTATACTTTGACAGTACCAGCCATTCAGTGAGAACATGCATGTTTACCACAGTTTAGAACAATATATTGCTGCTAGTGGTAATAAAAGACATCTCATAATCTCAGCTGAAAATGAATGTAGACGCTTACATTGTTCCTTAAAAGATCTTTCATCATTACTGCAAGCATTAGGGAGAATGGCAGAACATTTTATTGGTGAAAACTTCCCACAAAGACTATCTGATGGTACCATGCTGTTAGAAAAGTAATACTGTTATGTCGCTATTTTGTATCTTTTGTATTGTTCAAACTTATTGACTGTTTCAATAAAAAAGTTTGTGTCTCATTTTAAATAAGGAAGGTATGTGATATTGTAACAATATTTTATTTTATTTGATAGTTGTAATGAAATCTTTATACTTATTTTAATACCAGTTAAGTTAACACAAATTAATTCAATTTGACTTTGTCCATTATTTTTTTATTGTTCGTTAATGAAACTTTCCGTAGTTGAAAGAACCTTAGTTTTAAAATTATTTTCATCAAAGACATGTAAAGGAGTAGGTCCAGTAAGACCCCTTTTTGGCCCCAAAATATAGCAGTTTTACAAAATTGTAAAAATCTAAACTTTAAGTTATTTATTGGTAAGAAGAATGCTTCTGCTACATAAATATGGGCTGTTTTTGACAATACAATGTACATATATCGGATACTAGCATCCTTTAGTCAGGCTAAAGTACTGAAATCTTCACAATTTTAGCATTTTAGTTAAATTTTAGACGGTTTCCGTCTAAAATGAAAGTGGCCGCATTTGTGTTCATTCTTAATATTGAAATGTAAGTTGTATTTGATGATAATACATAACATATATAAAGTTTGAGGATGAACACGGATGCGGCCACTTTCATTTTTGACAAAAACCATCTGAAAAGTGACATTTTTGGCATATCTGATATATTTTTCATATTTAAGCTTGAATCGGAGCGTTTTTAATGACTAAATCAGTTAAAATCTTTCACATGAACTAATAGAATCAACTGAAATAGACACTTTAGTGTTCAAAAAGTGTCCAAAATCCTTCGTCATATGAACCTGAAATTTGAGGCCAAAATCGGCCCTTACCGGACCTACTCCTTTAGATGTATACTTTAACTATAACTTTACAAAGAATATACTGTAGCGACTGTCATTTAATTTAGTAGCATTTTCTGATACTTTAAAGATACTTGAGAATTTGTTGACACTCCGTATTTAAGCATAAAAATGATATCAGATTAAAGTAATAATTGGTGTGATTATACACTTGACACAATTTTCTAATAGAAATACTGTTATTTGTACTAATATAGAGCATTGGATAGAAACGAATGATGTACGAATAGTATGGAATCTGATCATACTACTTAACTGTTTGCTTATGTTTCATAAACTTATGAAGAAAAACAGGATATGTCTTGTGGTTGTCGGAAAAATGAAAATAAAAATGGCACAAAATAGATTATATTTTCATTTGATTGATAAATTCAGTTTTTATTTAAGGCTTGTAAGCTGTGTAGAATATGGTACGAAAACTAAATTATATGAAGTCAGATCTACAGTACAGAATGTTTTGGATGCAGATTTTCAGTCAGTGTAAGTATCTATTTTTATGCAGTGATGCATTTTTGGTCTATTTTCATCTGTAAGTCTCCAATCTTCCTAAACCAGTCAAATGGTATCAATAATCACTCCTGATTACTAATGGTATTTTTTAGACTTTTTCAATTTTCTTGACAAGTGTGTTTTTTTTTTATAGTGCAAAACATGGATCTTGTTATTTCATTATTATATCTAAAAGGAAAAAGTATTGTTACCTGCATTTCCTTATAGACCAGTGGATAGATTTCATTGAAACCTTCAGAGGATTTGCCTTTTTGAATGTGTTATTTTACTCTTAGATAAAAAAAAATCTATATTATATTGCATATCTTTTTCAGACAAGCACAAGCCATAGCATCAGTTAAAGCATTTTGTCACTTATCTTTTTCAGACAAGCACAAGCCATAGCATCAGTTAAAGCATTTTGTCACTTATCTTTTTCAGACAAGCACAAACCATAGCATCAGTTAAAGCATTTTGTCACTTATCTTTTTCAGACAAGCACAAGCCATAACATCAGTTAAAGCATTTCGTCACTTATCTTTTTCAGACAATCACAAGTCATAGCATCAGTTAAAGCATTTTGTCACTTATCTTTTTCAGACAAGCACAAGCCATAGCATCAGTTAAAGCATTTTGTCATTGGTTATCACAGTATTACAATGAAGTAAATAAAGAACCACAGATGAAGCAGAAATTTATATCTATGATGACCACATTGTTAGAAGCTGTTACACCATTATTTTCTAGTCAGGTAAAAACAGAAGGGTTAAGTTTCCTGGACATATTTTAAGGTCAGGGGGAATTATTGACAGTCTAAAATGCCTTACAAGTCACCTATATAGCAGAAAAATACCTATAAAGGACCCTGTCAAAATATTGCTTACATTAACGTAACTTGTAATATGAACCTTTGTGTAAAGGGCACATTTCCTACTACCCATGGAAGCCCTTCTATGTATTGGTTTGACTGTAGTTAGAAATCTGTTGTGCATTTGATTTCAAGATATTTAAAGGATTAGCAAGCAAAGTCAGATGAAAAATAGTTAAATTTCAGCTGTGATGTCAAATTTTGGAATTAGTATGGAAAATGAATTGGTGACCATACTGTGTTTTATGCTGTATAAAAAATGTAACTGGGGCATATAGATTTACATTTGTCTGTCTAGTTTGTGATTTGGTCCATTTCCAATAAACCTACGTCAATAATATTTTACCTCTGCAGACCTCAAGTTTAGTATTATGTTATTCTAAAAACATTTTTGTAACACTGACCTACATTTCATGCAAGAACAAATTTTGTTGTTTTATTTTTGGGCCTATTTTTCAGAATCCATGGTAATTTATTATGATTTTCCACAACTACTGATCAATTTAATTTTTTGTAGTTCATTTCTATTAATCAACATGTTTCCACTATGACCATCAATTTTCTCTTAATTTTTTGTCGAGCCTTCAACTTTTGTCGAAAAAGCGAGACAAAGCGATCCTACATTCCATCCTCGTCGGCGGCATCCACAAATATTCAGTCTGTGGTTAAAGTTTTTGAAATTTGAATAACTTTCTTAAACTATCCTGGATTTCTACCAAACTTGGAAAGAAGCTTGTTTATGATCATAAGATAGTATCCAGAAGTAGATTTTGTTAAAAAAAAATCCTTTTTTTCTGTATTTTACTTATAAATGGACTTAGTTTTTCTGCCAGTTAACATTACATTCACTCTGTGGTTAAAGTTTTTAAAATTTTAATAACTTTCTTAAACTATCCTGGATTTGTACCAAACTTGGACAGAAGCTTGTTTATGATTAAAAGCTAGTATCTAGAAGGAAATTTTGTTAAAATTTGTTCCATTTTTTCCGTATTTTACTTATAAATGGACTTCCAGTTAACATAACATACAGTCTGCAGTTTAAGTTTTTAAGACATTTATTAGCTTCATAAACTATCCTGGATTTTTTACCAAACTTGGACAGAAGCTACTTACAATCAAAAGATAGTATAGAGAGGAACATTTTTATTAATTTTTTTCCTCATTTTTGTTGAGCCTGCGATTAACAGCAAAAGTAAGCTAGACACCGAGGAACCCTTACGAATTTTTTTTTTAAGTTGGAGTTATTTTGTCTTTTAATACTAACAAATCATTTTGATATTACCAAAATGCACAATGCACTAGATGTTGTAAGTTTTGTTTTATTACAACATTTTTATTTGTTAATTAGAAATTCTTAAATGTGTTTTTGTTGACATATTTTAGGTACCAGAAAGAATAGTTCATTCTGCAGCACATCTTGTTTTATCAATAACAACTACAGTAAAACCCGCCTTTCTGCTCCAGCTTCCCTGTATACAGAATTTATTATCCTCTGTAACACAAGGTACACTGGACAGTCTAACAACAGAGGTCAGTATGAAGAAACTGTAATAATATATATATAATAATTGTTTTAGTAATCTTGCATTAAGTGAAACATATTGAAAACCACATCTTTATTTTAGAGAATAGTAAGTTTTTGTCAATCTGCCATCTGTAAACATATTTTTCCTGGCACTGAATGCTAAACAACAATTTAGGATCTAACACATCTTTTTCTTTCATTTCAATGGATGCTGTCGAATAATTTTAATGATTTCCTAAAATTCACCAAAAGACTGTTGGACATATAGTCAATAGAAATTGCAATGATTTATCTGACCAACAAATCTTTTGTAGAAGATAAAGTCTAATGCACAATACTGAATAACCACCTATTGATAAAAGGAGATTCAAGATGCTGAACTTGAATAAAAAATATTTACCAATATTGATGTACTAAGATTAAAAAACAAAGGATGACATAAAGTAAATAATTTGATGATGATGAACTTGTGCACAACCAAATAACATCAATTAAATGAACCATGTTGATTTTGCATCAATAGGTACAACTTCTGGTATACAGATCAATGTCAAATGCATTAATTCTACCTTGGCCAAATGAGTCGGATGCTGGTCAAAACTGGACAGAGAGAGCTTCACATCACCAAATTTATGTACAACAGATAGCCAGGAATGTCCTGCTGTTAAAGTCTGAACTGGGTAATCCCAAACATCTGAGGGAAGATTCTACAAGTAAGTGTCTTCTTGATTTCATCAAATGCTCAATGGCGTAGCTTACATTGAGGCAACCGAGGCGGTGGAAAAAAAAAAAAAAAACTTTTATAATCTTATAACAACTTATTTAAACAACTTCGACCTTAAGCAGCAGACTCGCTACTAAACGCTTATTATAAACTGACTTGTATAATACTATCAGACGGCTTGTTGTCGGTATTAATTCATAGACAGTATCCTTTGCGAATTCAAGACATATTGAAACATTTCCCTCCCCTTATTGGAAATCCCCTTTGCGGTGGTTTTCAGTAATCTAAATATGTCCGAGTCAAAGAAATCCACACAATTGAATTATTTAACCCTACTCCAAGCAAAATCAGTAGAATAGATCCTGATGATGATCCAACTCACGAGACTTCTCCGATCGAATCACTTGCCCATTCAGGTAAAACATTCAAATTATTAATTTTGTGTGAAAATATTGAAATTTCTAGTAAATGAGGGTCTGGATGAGGTTAATAGACTTGCAATAAATGTAAAGTTGAAAGAATAGAAATTTAGAATGGTGTCAAAATATAAAAGGAAAATAAAATTATGGGCAAAAAGAATTAGAAATGAATGTTCAAACCCTCATATAACCGGCAGTATGTAGTACTAACATATACAATTGAAACATCATTGTGTGTTGACCCCCTTACTTTTTCCCAGAGTCCCATGTCTTCAACTTTAATTACACAGAGTTTCAATCATTGACCAATAAATATAATATACAAATTTATATATATCAATCAACATGCAGACTGACACAATTTAAATTTTGTATGTTGGTTTTTTCCTCTTTTCTCGCTATTTTAAATTTATAGTTTGGCATTAGTAGAATTTAGATATTTAAAAGAGTCATTAATTCTAGTCCTTCCAAGAAATATCGGCGAAAACACAACTGAATAGAAAGTGCCATGTCGCACTTTACATGTAGCGTGCATCCCGGGTTATTTCCTAAATTATCAGGAAATGTTGCTGTTCAATCCCTTCGTCATTTTGTGAAGATCATCTATTCGTTTGTTCGTGACCGAGTGAGAAAATGATTATCACAAACATTATTTTAATTATTTTAATAAACCTTAATCGTTTCGTTTGTTTTTTTTTGCATTGAAAATTCTGTACATGCGTCTTCTAATCATCAAACACGGTCCTTTTTCCCTTCTGATATGACGTTAAATCTTGTGTCACAGTAAGGTACAGACACAGATATTAGAGAGTGTACGTACAACGGCTTGGAAATTGATTGGCAGATTCTGCGAGGTGATCATATTTTCACGTGTTTTGTTATTTTTATAACTTTGAGTTGACCGTAGATTAAGATAGTATCGGTTTAAATCATACACAACTTACTAAAGACTCTGGAGTCGAAAAATTTTGCACCAGACATATTAATAGTATATAGTCACCTGTGTTTTGGTGAAGACAGTATGATGACCTCAAGATGTTGTAAAGTTATTTGTGTCGTTTCAATGTGGTTGCTGTCTCATAGACATATACACTGTCCCATATCTCCTTTTACTCACTACATGGTTATTTGAGTACCTTCAATTTATATCATTCATAGCGTAAACCATTTAATCGTTATCCACTCGTCAATCGTTTCAAGACTTATTATTAATTGTTTTGGCTTTTAACTAACTAGCTGTCAGTAACTGCGAGTACTCTCAAATCGTACTTTCTTGTTTATTTGACCTGTTGATACTAATTGTATTGCTGTTTTGTTATTTAATGTTATTCAGGGTTATATCTGGTCTATATACCAGCTTTTATAAGTGTTTGGTATAACTATAAATTTTCACTTCGTACTATGAACATCAAAATTATTTATTTTGTAAAAATATTTCCTTTCTCTATTGGTACTGTACAGGTATACCTAACAACAAAATTATTTTCATTTACCTGTGTTTAAAGTTATTGCAAATGGATGGTATTTTTGTTCGAGCATATTGTTTTTCTTTAATTGTTTAACATTTCTTACCGATATAACATGTTACTTTTACTATTCTTCCCTTAGTTTATTTATTTTGTATTTATATTGTGTCATAGGTCAAATTTATTTGTTCAGTGTATGTTCAATGGTGTTAATATGTCCTTTGATTGAGTTAAGCTATTTCAGTTGATATTTTATAGTATGTCTTTCTATGTTGTGATGTTACACTATTGTTTCAGGAAAAAGGGTGAAGGTTTGGTACCATTAAAACGTTTAAACCCGCTGCATTTGTTTGCACCTGTCCTAAGTCAGGAATCTGATGTTCAGTAGTTGTCGTTTGTTGATGTGGTTCATAAGTGTTTCTCGTTTCTCGTTTTTTATATAGATTAGACCGTTGGTTTTCCCGTTTGAATGGTTTTACACTAGTAATTTTTTGGGGCCCTTTATAGCTAACTGTTCGGTGTGAGCCAAGGCTCCGTGTTGAAGACCGTACTGTGACCTATAATGGTTTACTTTTATAAATTTTTACTTGGATGGAGAGTTGTCTCATTGGCACTCATACCACAACTTCTTATATCTATTTAAAGGTTTTGCCGGAAACTAGCAGTTTACAACTCTCCACAAGAGACCAAATGGCACAAAAATTAACAACTATAGGTCACTGTACGGCCTTCAACAATGAGCAAAGCCCATACCCCATAGTCATCTATAAAAGTCTAAATCATCCCGAGGGTCCGTTAGTCCACAATGGAAATTAGGGAACTGATATAATCCAATTTTACAATGAAATCATGTGATGAGGGTAAACTTTAGATTTTTGGTTCATAAATCTTTATACTGAGAATAAATATTTTTACAGAATCTCTTCTAAAACAGTCTGATCCTACAAACAGTGATCCTTACTACTTTTCTGGGAAATCTTTGAATGACAGTGACAGGACACAACTACTGTTTGATATTAAAATGTCATCCTCTTAAATTGTATTTCCTGCAACAGACGGACGAAGATACTCCTCTTAGTGGGAAGAGAAGTTTCCTTTGTTGAGATATTCAGTACAAAAAGATGCAGCGTTTTGTATAAATTGTTTAGCGTTTTGTAATAGAAAGACAGAGATGTTTTCACAGACAAAGGGTTTAATGATTGGAAAAATGCCACTGGGTCCAAAAGAGGAGTATTTCTTTCCCACAACGAGTCAAAAACCCACCAACAAGCAACAAATAAAACTATAAATTATAAACAAATAGTTTCTAAAGAAGAAAAGGATATATATGTTTCTATCTCAAAAAGTTATGAAGAAAAGGTAAAACATAACAGAGAAATACTATTTCGAATAATAGACACCATAGTAGTTTTAGGACAAAAAAATATTCCTTTATGGGAACACAATTGGAATAAGGAAAAAAAGATAGAAGATGGTAATTTTTCTCGCTTCTTACAATGGAAAGCCGATAATGTGCCCATTCTAAAATCTTGTTTGGAGAATGCGCCCTATAATGCACAATACACAAGCCCAGACATTCAAAATGAACTGATAAGCTTGTGTGGATTGCAAATTGAAAATACAATAATTTAAAGGTACAGGAGGCAAAATGGTTTTCCATCATGGCTGATGAATCCACGGATGTAGGTACAAAAGAGCAGATGGCACTTTGCATTAGATATGTCGATAGAACTGCTACTGTGTTTGAAGATTTTATAGGTTTTATCGAGATGGAAAAGGTCGATGCAGAGTCAATTGCAACAGCAATAGTTAATAATGTTCAAGAATGTGGGCTAAATATGGACAATTTACGTGGTCAAGGATATGATGGTGCTAGCGTGATGTCTGGTAATATTTCTGGTGTTAAAGCCTGCATACAGCAAATACAACCAAAAGCATATTATCATCATTGCAGAGCGCATGTTTTGTATCTTGTTGTTGCAACATCTTGTAAAGCACTAGCTGAGATTCGGAATTTGTTCGATTCTGTAAGTCAGCTGACATGGTTTCTTGGAGGAAGTGCCAAACGAATGGCTATTGTTTCAAGATACCTGTCTGGTGACGACACTGATAAACTTGTAATATCGGGAAACAACGAGAATGAACCAATGCTCAGTGACACATTAATTGAAAAAGCTGGTAAAAGACATTCAATTCAAAAACTGTGTGAAACACGTTGGACAACAAGAGTAGATACGCTGTCTTCTTTAAAAGCTAAATACAAATCTATAACACAAGACCTCTGACTCAGGTTCTTCAGAAAATCGACTGTGATATCATTGAAGCATACCAAGATGCAAACACCAAAACCGTCATTAATGAGCAAAGGAACAGTACCGTATTCGACAGTATTTGGGAAAAGATGAAAGTTTTGGCCACATGTGTCAATATCCAATTAGAAAAACCGAGAACAGCTAAGAGAATGACACAGCGCTCAACTGCAGGAGACACCTCAGACACAGCCAGTAAGAACTTCAAAATAAATGTATTTTTCCCTTTCATTGATCATTGTGTTGCTCAACTGGAAGAGATTTCCAGAGGACAAATCGGCCATGTTTCTTGCATTTAAACTAATGCCTTTGAAGGTCCATACGATGTCACAAATTGAAACCGCAAAGATATATGAATGGTACAGTTCAGATTTACCAGATGGGCATACGTATTATATGGAAATTCAGCGATGGATGGCTTTCTGTAATCACCTTAAGGATCCACCTACATCGCTTTCAAAATCGATAATTCTAGCTGATTCAGACTACTATCCTAATATAAATACAATATTTCATCTGTTACTTACGATGCCAGTAGGTTCCGTTCCGTGCGAAAGATCCTTTTCTGCACTTAGAAGACTTAAATTATGGAACCGGACAACGATGACCGATCATCGATTGAACAGACTGGCCTTAATACACATCCACAAGGATAAAGACGTTGACCGAAACCTTGTATTGGACAAGTTTGACGCTAGTGGAAATAGAAGAATTGGTGCTTTGCACCTGTAGAGGGTTTTCACCATCAAAATTTAAAACATATTACAGAATTCAACTTCCATAAATAAATCTAAAGCACACATGATTATGGTATTTTAAAACACTAGTATTCAATATCTCTTACAAACAAAGAGAAAGGAAAAAAGTAACATCGGAGCTTGACTTATTGTAAATACATGTAGCTTTTGTTAAAACATATTAGCATTATTATGTTGAATAAAGTAAAACAACTGCCATAAATCTTTTTTTTTTTTTTTCGTTTTTCAAATGGAAAAACCTCTATAGCTTATGTGCCCCCCAGACCCCCTGCCTCTGTAATATCAGAGGGCAAGCTACGCCACTGATGCTGCTGTGAGCAAAAATACTAAACTACATTTTGCTTCAGTAAAACATTTTAAAAATTGTAGATATACAATTATTCAGCTGAATAATACACTTTTCATATACCAAAAATGCAAAATGCAAATTATAATGTTGTAAATTTTGAATAACAAATGTACATATCACAAATATACCATGTTGCAAAATTACTGAGTTACATACAAGTAATTACAATGAAAGAACTGCAATGATGTAATTTTGACCCTTGTGGCTTTCCTTTGTATGTGTTTGAAGACTATTTGTTGACCTCTTTATGTTTTTCTGTTATATGTGTCATTGGGTTGCTGTCTTGTTGACATATATTCCACATTTCTTTTAATTCATTACATATTTGTTCAGTTGCAATAATACTTTGGTAAATATTTTATTATTGACTGTGCAAGACCCCTTTGGTGTAGTCAAGGTCTTCAATATTTATAGCAAATAACAAAAATTGTATTTAACTTAAATATGAACTAAATTGGAACAGTTTCTAATGATCAATGTATTATAGTATGCTCAATACTCATACCTTTCTTAGAAGAATTTATAGTATCTTTTATTACAGGTAAACAAGTGATAAGAAAGGCATTGAGTATATTCCAGGATTGGATTGAGGCTGTCTCTGGAGAAGTTGTGAAAAGTAAACAGATCTGCTATCAGTCATTACAAGAAGTCATTCAAGTGTCCATAGCATTGTTTCCAATCTATCTACATCCCCCAGGTAATTCATTTGTTATTGGTTACTAAAGTTAGTGACCCATCAATTACAGCTTGTAAGAATATTATTAAATATAAGTTTGATTTTGTTAACATTTATTTACCTCAGACATACTTTTTTTAGGTTAAACATCGAATAGAATGGTTGTTTTGTTATCAGTATACATGCTAAATACTTTATATAAATGACATTATTTTAGAACTTCAATAATTTTTATACACCCGTCAAAATTTTGACAGGACGTATTATGGTATACAAATGTCCGGCGTCTGTCTGTCCGTCTGTCCGGCGTCCACATGTCGCACCCTAACTTGAGAACGACTTATCCAAATTTCATGAAACTTAACATAGTTGTTTCTTATGATTGTCAAACGATATGTATACTTTTTGGTGACAATAAGATTAAAACTTTTTGAGTTACGGGACTTTGTAACTAAAACAGGGGGGTGTTTTTTTCACGTCACGCCGTTTCTCAAAATCGATTTATGATTATTGCTTAAAACTTTACACACTTCTTAGTTATATTAATCTAAAGATCTGTATACTTTTTGGTGATGATTCAAAATTTTATTTTAGAGTTATTGAGTTTTTTGTAAAAAAAAATGGGGGGGGGGTTTCACATGTCGCGTCGTATCTCAAAAACGATTTATGATTATTGCTTAAAACTTTACACACTTCTTAATTATATTAATCTAAAGATCTGTATACTTTTTGGTGATGATTCAAAATTTTATTTTAGAGTTATTGATTTTTTTATAAAAAAGGGGGGTTTTCACATGTCACACCGTATCTCAGAAACAATTTATGATTATTGCATGAAACCTCACACATAAGACGACGGGCGTATCATGCGTTCGTGGTGCAGCTGTTTATTAGTTTTAGCCAAGAAAATTTGAACTATTTGGCAGTTTGAATCAATGTTGCCCTTGAAAGTCACCGCAGAAATTGGATTATTTTGAAATCAGGACATTTTTATCCTCTACTGAATAACTTTTAGTTTTATTTTCATTCAACTAGACTTTTGTAATTCCACAAGCCAATCCGAAACAGATATATACAATATTGATCATAATGAAAGTCTCTTTGAAATAGGAAGTTTAACATATTTTACGAAAGATTTTGAATACATGACCTATAATGGTTTACTTTTATAAATTTTGACTTGGATGGAGAGTTGTCTCATTGGCACTCATACCACATCTTCTTATATCTGTATTATGATGAAACTGGCAAATATATTTCAGAGGTAGAAGTAATAGAAGCAATGATGAGTTTCTTTTTATCCCTGTTTCAAGGATTGAGAGTGCAGATGGGTGTTTCATTCACTCAACAGACAATAACAACCTTTATGTCACTTTTTACACAGTAAGTTATTTATCTTGTCCCTGTAACAATGATCAGTTGTGTATGCATCATTCTCTCAAGGTAAAGATTCATGTGTCATTCACTCAAGGAATATATGTATGTGTCATTCATTCAAGGTATAGATGGGTGTGTCATTCACTAAAGTAATAGATGGGTGGGTGTGTCATTCATTCAAAGCATAGATGGATCTGTCATTCACTCAAGGTATAGATGGGTGTGTCATTCACTCAAGGTATAGATGGGTGTGTCATTCACTCAAGGTATAGATGTATGTGTCACTCACTCAAGGTATATTTGTATGTGTCGTTCACTCCAGGTATAGATGGGTGTGTCATTCATTCAAGGCATAGATGGGTCTGTCTTCACTCAAAGTATAGAAGGGTGTATCATTGCCTGTATGCATTGATGGGTATGCCAATTCAATTACACATTAAGTTTCTTTTTATATGCCTGTCAAATACAAGACAATTTTATATGGCAAAGGATATTCTATTGTCTAATTTTTTCTGCAGGCTCATTTTATTGACTTCTGATTTAATGCCTTTTACAATATTCCATATATGCTTGCAACAATGTCCACATGCATATGATGGTCATATGATGCACTCCTATTACATGTGTTTTTTTAACTGAAATTTGAATGAAAGGAGATGTTCGGTATGAGTAAGCAACCCATACACACATACACACACACAAGACATTTAAGTCTTAATTAGATTCCAGAGAATCTACAACTTAACCAAAAACATCTTTGCAAATGTAAACTATTTATTTATACATTAAGAACCTCATATACCTTTTTGGTTGTAAAAGTCAATTTGTTTACCATTTCAGACAACAGTTGGCAGAGACAATTTTCCAAGAAAGTAGTGCTGCCCACAGAGTTGTAGAAAAGTAAGAATATTTTACTGGTATGAAAAAAGTATAAATAAATATACAGGATTTTAAAGTTTAAATTCATCAGACTATCCTTCTTTTTAGCTAACCTGTATAAAGGTCCATGTGAGCTGTTCCAATCAAATGTTGTCAGTAACGTTTTTTAAATCTTCTCTAAAACTACTAAGGCAATCTGAACTTTGGGCACAATCATCTTTAAGGTATTTAGTTTTAGTATTCATGTATGAATTGTAACTAGATATATGACCCAAGTGGCTAAAAATATAACATAGTGGTTAAATCATGTTTTCAGTTTATATCTTGACAATAATAGCATATATAGAAAAAACTTTCCTCAAAATTTTCCCTCTGTATTGATCTATCATTCTTTATGTCAGTCTATATAAGTCTTATATGAAAAGAAAAATGGGTGTTATGGGGCAAAATATTTTACCATGTATTGTAGGAAAAAACAAAGGAGTCCGAACATTTGACAAAAATTCCTAAACCTCACTTAAGTACATCCTTAAGAACACCAAACTTTACATATAGAGACCATGATTTAAATATAGAAAAAGGAGGACATTCTAATATTGCTAGAAAGCAGAGATTATGTTTAAATGTAACATATTAGATTTTTTATTAGATTTTGAAATCAATAGGGAGCTGAGAAACTACTTTTTTCATAATTTGAAAATAAACTTTTCTGTTAAAGATTTGTCTGATGAAGAATAGATGATTTTTATAATTAATCCATCAACACCATCACAAGTAAATAAATTGGGGTCCTACATTAAAAAGTCTTAGAACTGAGGACAGGGGACTCTGGACTATTTACTGTTTAAATGGTTGTGTATGTATATTTGAATTTCAGTTATAGTGTATACTTATTTTGTATTTGTCACAAACTTATTGTTTAAAATTTATATGGCAATAAACATTTGAATTGAATTTTATTGAATTACATTTGTTAATTGTAAGGTTTGATGCATTAATATGACTTCCTCACTTGGTATCTTAATAACTTTATTTGCTCTTAATGAAACTATGCCATATTTGAAATGTGTATGGCAGGTTCTCCAGTTACTATGAATTTACACAGATTTTAGATTTGGGATTAAAACCTTACATTAAAAGATTAGAGTTCTAACTGTTAATTGATTGACCTTAGAAGAGTCAGGACAGCATATAATATGTTTTTAAAATGTGAATTGTTTGAAAAGGTTATCTTGGTTGTATATTGTAGATTTTTAAAGATATTAGAATTAGTGGTACAAGAACCTGGGTCAGCTTTCAAGTCATTCATACCAAGTGTTATATCCATATGTATAGATCAAATCTACCCTATCATTGCTCAGGTACTGTATTTTATTTAAATTGATAGTCATGAAAAGATGAACAATTATTTTTATTTTTAATATCTTTTATAGTATTTTTTCTAAACGTAAAAAAAATAAAAGACTAATAAGAAAGTTTAAAATTTGGTATGTGGTTCTGAAGGATTTGAAAAACATGTTGATATTGAAGTTTCAACCCCTACCTGTTTCAGAATTATTGCCCTCCAGATTTGTATTTTTAAGTTTTTTTCATTTTGCCTGTAGTAATTGATAGGATTTTAGTTTATAAGTAAATGATGGTGAGTTGCAAATTGAGTTTGTTTTGGATATATAACGTTAAATAATGTAATTCAATAGAAAGACTTTGTCACATTTGACAACATAACTAGAAAAAGGATCAGCAAGAAAAACTTTAGTTTAACCCCATGTATTTATATAATTTTAAAAACTTGAGTATGCACCAAAATTATTAAAATTTTTTAAAAAAAACAAGAAGCTGCAATTTTAATATGAAAATTCAAGCATTTTCCTAATACTTTGAAGCAAAAATGATAATGTTTATTACATTAAGAATGTTTATGTTATACAGAGACCATCACCAGATATGAAACTAGTCCTGTACAATCTTCTGCATGAACTTCTGGTTCATAACTGGAGATATTTCTTTAAAAGTAATGTACTAATGAAAATGAACAACCAGCCTGAACAAGTGGAGAATGTTCAACAGTTCACAGCCGTTCTTCAGGTAACTCTACTATATCTTATTGTGTAGTTTGACATATGGTTATTTCAGAACAAATATTCAGCAATTTGGTCTCCTTGTAGACCTTATAGAAGTTGACAAAATATCAGAGTAACCACTCAGCTGTTCTTGATTTTTAATGAAATTTCATGATATTCTTACATCAGCTATATCAAAGACCATCCCCATATGTTCAGAATGCTGATACAATGTCATGCAAAGTGAACGATTGAAGAACACAGTAAAGCTTGGGGCCAAAGGAATATTATTACAAAAAAATAAACATTAACAGTACTGAGTAGGAATAAAAAACTTTTTCTTTGGACATAGATTTTAGTATGCAAATTTTCCTGTGAAACAGAATTTTAAGACGGGCAACTGTTCCTTTATTTAGAGAAGGTTCTGTAAGGCATTTGATTTAAGTATAAAAATATTCAAGTCAAAGCTTAGAGTGCTAATTTTGATAGGATATTTCATGTACTGATGTAAGATTTTAATCAAAGAGCTCACCTTAACTAGTCAGATATTAAGGTTTTGTAATATCAGTCATATGGCCTGTCTTTTCTGCAGTCAGAAATTGATGTTTTATTATTTCAGTCATACGGCCAATCTTTTCTGCAACCAGATATTGATGTTTTCAGACAGAATTTAGAATCATTAGAAAATCTCAACTTCAAATGGAAACTCTACAGCAAGGTAAGACATTGAAATATATAAACACTAAACTTTATGTTATTTACATGCACAACTAAGGACTGATGCTGAGTAGTTATGTTAATGTATTGAGTCTTGATAATTGGATTTAGTGCTTTTATTAATGAAATACCTCTTCTTAGTATGGGGTGAATATGTTGTATTTTCCAGTAACTTCCATCATTCTAATTTGAAATTTAGCTGATATTTATTTAGTATTTTATGCATAATGCTAATTTGTTTGAAAATGAATAGAGACTTTTATGGGTTTTTATGCCCCCGCTGTAGCGGAGGGGGCATTAAGTTTTACCCTTGTCTGTCTACGTCTGTATGTCCCAAAATTGGTTTCCGTTCTCTAACTTTAGTTGCCTCAACCAAATGTTATGAAACTTATATACAATGCTTATTACCACAAAACACAGATCTAATTTGAATTTGGGTGGCGTAACTTTTACCTTTCTAGAGTTATGCCCCTTTACAAATGGAAAAATTGCTGAATTTTTTGTTTCCGTTCTCTAAAGTTTGCCTCAACCAAATGTTATGAAACTTATACACGATGCTTATAACCACAAAACTCAGATCAAGTACGAATTTGGGTAGCGTCACTTTTACCGTTGTTGAGTTATGTCCCTTTATAACGTTATATGCAATCAGGGGCATCATCTGTGTCCCATGGACACATTCCCCATTTATTTTTACCAGAATGTGAAAATGCATTTAATATGTATAAAGTAACCTTTTTCATGCTTACATATTTATATTTGTTATAATAATGTTATAATAATACATAAAGGGAAAAGTTGTATACAAGTATTATACCACTTGAAACTGTACTACACTCCAACTTTGTTAAAATTCCACTAAGATATATGGTTATTTTTTTGAGCGAGTTTGTTTGTTCATAAAATTTCTAAAAATAGAAAAGTGACAATAACTTGAAGTTAAATAAAGATCACAATGTATTAACAGCTTTTACATACTCCAATTATTTATATCCAAATTTACAGCAAAGATAAAGATTTTTATTCATGTTTTTGATATAATTACCTCAACTGATATAATATGGATTCATTTGATATTGTATTTATCAAATTATTTTATTTATCTGTATTGTTGTAATGTTACTTTTCTTTTTCAGACTATCTTTGCCCAAGGAATGTTGACACAGTTTCTAAATGTTTTATTACAAGTTCTTGTACATAGATCACATGACCTTCTTCAAGAGGAGATAACTGTTACTATTCACAATATGGCATGTGTAGATTTTGAAAGATTTTATAATGACTTCCTTCATCAGTTTCTCTCAGATTGTGAAGGGCTTCTTCCTGATCAGAAGAGTGTTTTACAACAAAATTTCAAAACAGAAAAGGTAGGATTAAATTTTAAGATAATTTTTACCCCACACTACAAAAAAGGGGGGGTATATAGTGTTTGACCCATCTGACTGTTATATAGATATAAGAAGATGTGGTATGAGTGCCAATGAGACAACTCTCCATCCAAGTCAAAATTTATAAAAGTAAACGTTATAGGTCAAAGTACGGTCTTCAACACGGAGCCTTGGTTCACACAGAACAGTAAGCTATAAAGGGCCCCAAAAATTACTAGTGTAAAACCATTCAAACGGGAAAACCAACGGTCTAATCTATATAAAAAACGAGAAACAAGTAACACTTATGAACCACATCAACAAACGACAACTACTGAACATCAGATTCCTGACTTAGGACAGGTGCAAACAAATGCAGCGGGTTTTTTAATTTTTAATGGTACCAAACCTTCACCCTTTTTCTAAAACAATAGTGTAACATCACAACATAGAAAGACACACTATAAAATATCAACTGAAATAGCTTAACTCAATCAAAGGACATATTAACACCAGTGAACATACACTGAACAAATAAATTTGACCTATGATACAATGTAAATACAAAGTAAATAAACTAAGGGAAGAATAATAAAAGTAACATGTTATATCGGTATGAAATGTTAAACAATTTAAGAAAAACAATATGCTCGAACAAAAATATTAGCCATTTGCAACTGCTTTAAACACAGGTTAATAAAAATAATTTTGTTGTTAGGTATACGTGTACAGTTCCAATAGAGAAAGGAAATATTTTTAAAAAAGAAATAATTTTGATGTTCATAGTACGAAGTGAAAATTTATAGTAATACCAAATACTTATCAAAGCTGGTATATAGACCAGATATAACCCTGAATAACATTAAATAACAAAAAAGCATTACAATTAGTATCAACAGGTCAAATAAACAAGAAAGTACGATTTGAGAGTACTCACAGTTACTGACAGCTAGTTAAAAGCCAAAACAATTAATAATAAAAAAATCATGCATCAGAGACTAAAATCAACTAAAACACATCTGTCAGTCATTTTGGATCCAGATGATAAATCAAATACTTTAATAGGATTACAACTTCTCTTAGAAATATGTTATATAATGAGATAATTTATGTATAAAACAGGTAATTTAGTTGCATTTACAATAAGTCTATGTTTAGATGATCCTGATTGTTTGTTTATCTTTATTGCAGGATTTACCATCATTCAGTCAAAGTATACAGAGATTTGTTAATGATCTGAGATATTACAGACAAGTGAACAGTAGTCTACCAGAAGGATCTGTCAAATTCTGAAATATGCAGCCATTGATGATAACAATCAGATATGCAACCATTGATGATAACCAGTTTAAAATATCAGGGACATATTCAGACATTGTAAACAGTTTGATTTTGGACAAATCATATAAAAAAAACTTGGTGCCATCAGATTTATCTTTTTAAACAACAGGTTTGCTGTAGCTCTTACCACCGACTGTGATGAACAAAGAGATTTCACAATTTTATCCATTCTATTTTTTATACGACTGCAAAAAAATTTTGCGGTCGTATATTGGTATGACGTTGGCTTCATCGTCGTCGTCCGAAGACACATTGGTTTTCGCACTCTAACTTTAGTTTAAGTGAATGGATCTCTATGAAATTTTACCATAAGGTTCAATACCACTAAAGGAAGGTGGGGATTGATTTTGGGGGTTATGGTACCAACAGTTAAGGAATTAGGGGCCAAAAATAAGCATTTTTGTAACTTCCAGACATAACTTGTGTGTTAGTGTATGGATCTCTCTGACATTGTACCACAAGGTTCCATATCACAAAGGAAATGCTTGGATTGATTTTGGGGGTAATTGCCTCCCAGAAAAGGGGCAAAAAACAAGCATTTTTCTAGTTTCATGACAGTGTTCTCCCCAGAAATTTTGGATAGCATCACATTTGGCGTAAAAAAATAAACTGTATTTTTTTCAATGTCATTTGTCGTGATGCGGCGATGGATGCTCTATTTCCTTTATGATCATGATGATATATATGTTTATATTGTTCAATTCAAACCTGAGAATGCAATTAAACTATAACCATGATAACAGTTGTTTCAGTTTATGTTTTCTTTATTCATTTATAGTTACAGTATTATTTTTTTCCTCTTGGGCCAAATAAAAATATATGTGTGGTTCCAGTTACCCTATCTACCCAACTAAATGAATGAATGAATGGTTTATTATAGTGCAACCTGTAAATATACAATACTAAATATCTAGTAAAAAAAAGAACTGTCTTTTATTTAAAAAGGGAAGAGAAAGTATGACATATAGCAATAAAATTTCAATTAAAAAACTTTTTTCTTTATCATGGCTATGAAATTCATTGTTTCATGGTATTCAATGAATTAGTCCCAGTTGTTTCTTTATATCAAAATAATGTATATTTTTAACAAAGTTAAGCTACTTTAATTAGTATATTGAAACAATGCATTTTCAAAAAGGTTACATTTAGCAAGGAGATCTAACAAATAGTCTGTTAATGCTTGTAGAATACGTAGTTTTCTCTTTTGGGATCATTTTTTCTGTCTACTGTGCCATTTGTGCCTCTGTAGTTATTATCGTAAAAATGCAGAGTTTTGTCATATCTGGTCCAGTTCCGATCCGTATTTTACATAAATATTTCAATGGCGGCCGAAGCAAAATTAACGAAAATAAACATTGTTTGACAAGAGATTGGGATTGAATATGACACTTTTAATGCATTAAATGGATGAAACATTAACTAAAGCCAATTATGATCACTTTCTAAAGAAGTATCAAACTTATTTAGCTCAAAATAGAAATGTTTAATATACGCTCTCGATAAACAAGTAGTACCAGAAGGGAAAGAAAGTAATTTTTTTGAAAATTGTAAAAATATACGATCAAACCTCTTTTCTAAAGAGGTAAATCGTTTGTATCTATGAATTTCCATTATGCAAACGTAAATTAAGGAATTGTTTTATGATTTTCTGATTACATTTTCTCCATATCGAAATTTGTGATTGGACCACGTGGTATAAGTCATGTCACAAGTGTCAGCTTGGGGTATTCGTATCCAAACAGTTATCACCCAAAGGGCAATTAACACCTATTTAATCACTCTAAATTGCCTCTATTGTCCGACTTGAAGGGATTACAATTAAAGGTGATATAATTTTTATGATCACAAGCGGTAATTAGATGAAAGTTCAAAATTTAGGACATTGTTTTGCGATATAGAGACAAGTAAAGTAGCATCCTCAAAATAATTATAGCGTCGCGAAAATTATTATAGCATCACGGGAAAAAAATATAGCGTCTCGGTACCGCGACGCTAAAACGGTCTGGGGAGAACACTGCATGACAATAACTTGTGTGTAAGTGTATGGACCTCTCTGACATTGTACCACAAGGTTCCATATCACAAAGGGAATGCTGGGATTGATTTTGGGGGTAATTGCCTCCAAATTTTAGGAATTAGGGGCCAAAAAGGGGCAAAAACAAGCATTTTTCTAGTTTCATGACAATAACTTGTGTGTAAGTGTATGGATCTTTATGAAATTGTACTACAAGGTTCCATATCACAAAGGGAAAGCTGGAATTGAGTTTGGGGGTAATTGCTCTAAACGTTTAGGAATAAGGTGACAAAAAGGGGCCAAAAATAAGCATTTTTCTAGTTTCCAGTGAATAACTTGTGTTCAAGTGTATGGATCTCTCTGAAATTGTACTGCAAGGTACCATACCACAAAGGGAAGGCTGGGATTGATTTTGGGGGTAATTGCCTCAAAATTTTAGGAATTGGGGGCCATAAAGGGGCAAAAAAACAAGCATTTTTCTAGTTTCAGGACAATAACTTGTGTGTAAGTGTATGGATCTTTATGAAATTGAACTACAAGGTTCCATATCACAAAGGGAAAGCTGGGTTTGAGTTTGGTGGTAATTGCCCTAAACGTTTAGGAATTTGGGGCCAAAAAACAAGCATTTTTCTAGTTTCCAGACAATAACTTGTGTTCAAGTGTATGGATCTCTCTGAAATTGTACTGCATACCACAAAGGGAAGGCTGGGATTCAAAACAATTTGGGGGGGGGGGGGATTTTTTTTTCCTTTTTTTTCTTTAAAATTTTCCATTTTAAATTGGTTATTTCTGATTTATATATAAAAGCAAATAATAATGATATGGTTTGAATAGGTAAATAAAAAATTTTTAAGTTCTTAGACCACATTCATTCTGTGTCAGAAACCTATGCTGTGTAAAATATTTAATTACAATCCAAATTCAGTGCTGTATCAAGCTTGAATGTTGTGTCCATACTTGCCCCAACTGTTCAGGGTTCGACCTCTGCGGTCGTATCAAGTTGCGCCCCAGCGAAGCATTTTATTCTAAGATTGAATGGGGTCAAAAGATACTAAATCTTTTAACAGTTGTATCAGCATCAGACAAGGTTTTTTTTAACGACCTTGACTACCCATGAGGGTCTTGCATCATTATCTTTTTGGGGATATATCATTATTTCTCATGCTTTCGTCTGATTTTTTATATTGAATGTTTTTTAAAAGCAAATTGGATTTTATACTTTTAGGAGGGAAAGAATCAGCTAATCATTTTACCTGCTGTGCCAAACATTTACGTTTATGATCTAGTGCTATTGCGGTGAATTTTTACTATTGGTATTAAATCCTTATTACAGCTATATTTATTTGTATATTGCATGTCTTTTTCACATCTTTATTGATGTATCCTCGAGAAGCCTGGTAACACTGAGTAACACTGACGAGAAAAGTTTGTTGATATCATGTGCTTGTATAAATGTGATAAATATAGCTATAAATAAACTATGTTATTTTACAATTACCTTGTTGTAATCTATATGACACGAAAATTCATGGCTGGAAAATGGGGTATGGGATGGATGCAACATGAGATAACATTCTTTAGATATTCTGGGTGATAACAACATACCAAGAGAATAATGCTTTATATTTTTTTTTAAATTTTTATACGCCTGTTTACGGGACGTATTATGGTATACCGTTGTCCGTCCGTCTGTCCGTCCGTCGTCAACATGTCGGACATTAACTCAAAAACACTTTAACCAATTTGCATAAAACTTTGGTGAATTGTTTATATCTATTGACGTGAGCTCCCTTTCATTTTTTATAAATTAGAGATATTACGTTTTCGAGTTATTGGGTTTTTTTCATTAAAAAAAGGGTGATTTTCCAGTTTTTAGACAATAACTCAAGAATGCTTTCACCAACTTGCAAGAAATTTTGGTTAATTGTTTATATCTATTGACATGAGCTCCGTTTTGATTTTTATAAATTTCAGATTTTACGTTTCCGAGTTACGGGGTTTTATTCATAAAAAAAAGGGGGGATTTTCCAGTTTAATTGTTTATAGTCTGACAACAGATTTACTAAATATTGCGCAACAGCACAGTGTTTTGCACAACAGCAAGAAATCTTTAATTGAATATAAATTCAATTCATATAACCAATTTCAAGTTCTTTGACTACATTTATTCAGAAACCTATAATATGTCAAATATTTAATACAATCCAAATTCAGACCTGTATCAAGCTTGAATATTGTGTCCATTTTTGCCCCAACTGTTCAGGGTTGGACCTCTGTGGGCGTATCCAGCTGCCCTCAGCGAAGCAGTTTATTTTATTTTGACAGTGATGAAAAGTTTTTTATTTTGACAGTATTGGAAAGTTTTTTATTTTGACAGTATTGGAAAGTTTTTTTTTTATTTTGACAGTATTGAAAAGTTTTTTATTTTGACAGTATTGGAAAGTTTTTTTAATTTAAACAGTATTGCAAAGTTTTTTTTATTTTGACAGTATTGGAAGGTTCTTTTTTATTTGACAGTTTTGGATTTTTTTAATTTTGATAGTATTGGAAAATTATTTCTTTTGACAGTACATGTATTGGAAAGTTTTTTATTTTGACAATATTGGAAAGTTTTTTATTTCAACAGTTTTGGAAAGTTTTTTTTATTTTGACAATATTGGAAGGTTCTTTTTTATTTGATATTTGACAGTATTGGATTTTTTTTATTTTGACAGTATTGGAAAGTTTTTATTCTAACAGTATTGGAAAGTTTTTATTCTAACAGTATTGGAAAGTTTTTTATTTAAACAGTATTGGAAAGTGATTTTTTTTACATTATTGGAAAGTTTTTTTATTTTGACAGTATTGGAAAATTATTTCTTTTGACAGAACATGTATTGGAAATTTTTTTCTTTTGACAATATTGGAAAGATTTTTATTTTGACAGTATTGGAAAGTTTTGTTTATTTTGACGGTATTGAAATTTTTTTTTATTTTGACAGTTTTGGAAGGTTCTTTTTTATTTGACAGTATTAGATTTTTTTATTTTGACAGTATTGGAAAGTTTTTATTCTAACAGTACTGGAAAGTTCTTTTATTTAAACAGTATTGGAAAGTGATTTTTTTTACATTAATGGAAAGTTTTTTTTCATTTTGACAGTATTGGAAAATTATTTCTTTTGACAGTACA